GTACGTTTTTCAATAAAAAAAAAAAACATAAAACTGCAAACCCTACATCTACACCACAGTGTACCAGGAAAAAATGTGGATGTACATGTAGCCACTAAGAGGAAACTACAGATTTTTCATAAATGATTACAAGCCATGTGACCGCCGAGATTACATAGGTACTCCAACATTGCACAACTGGTATTGGTAACGAAAAATCTCTATATCTTGGCATCACCAATATTAATGATCCGTTTACAATGAACAATGACAAACCATTACATCTACACTCCTTGATTGGTTGAATAAAATCTCGCGAAAAGTTACACCAGTCACAACCGATGAAACAGAATGTTGTGTTTTAATGTAATCTTGATCTTATTGTTTTAATAATATTTAATTTTACCGAATTTAATTGCCAACATGACGTAAATAAAATTACTGTTCACCTGTCTTGTAATCATTTATGAAATCTCTGTAACAACAGCACTTGAGTATTTGATCAAAAACTGTTTCACATCTAATGTTTGTAGAGCCATGGAGCATCTAGGCAACAATCTAGAGAAAAAATTACCCTCATTTTTTAATTAAATTTTGACGAAAAGTATCAAATCCACAAATTTATGGCAACGTCTCTGTTACATCCTGTATTAGTAAATAATTAAACTATGTTCTTCAATTACCAGAACGAAGTAGAAAGATGAACACCCAACTAGTGTGCTTCAGTAAGATGTTTTGTTTATACTTTCGATCAATTTTTAACAGGAGTTCTATTTGGTTTCACTCTTTTCACTCTCTACCGCCGTTCGTTTAAAAATAATCTGATACGGTTTATATCGCCCTTGGCTATACGGTTTAAGAAGCACCTCTGTGATGCTGTGTAGAGCAATTTACTCATGCATTTGTAAACAAATTTACATTAGCGTTAATCAAATCAGATACTAATTTCCGTCTGCCATATGTCGTACATACAGACATGTAATGTTATCTTACATAGAAGCAGGTGTTGAAGAGAATGGCAACAAATGTTAATTATTTAATGAATCTAAGTACCTACTTTAAGTAAATGATTATCGTCATGCGTCCATCAAGCTCCAAGAAGCTTCAGCTCAGAACAAAACATGAGATGGTGGTCACCATCTCTACAGCGTTGCCAATGTTCTGTTGTAAGATTCCTTAGAAAGAATTAGATGATATTCTTTTAAAATACAAAGGAAAAAATTAAATATATGCATCAGGTTTTAATCGCGATACCAGGTGATAGAAAATTTGTAAATTATGTGAATTTTTTATTTGGATTAGTGGGTTAGCGAAGTTTTTCCCGTTTTATAAATTTAAATGAATATTTTAGTAGACGATATAACATTAGCATGGAAATGTTCAGAAATAAGGAAAATATTTATTCCCATATGTACTTAAGTACTAATACATAATTTTTAACATTTTAAAAATTTTTGAGTAAAAAAAAACAAATGCAAACATTTTTTAGTTAATTAGTTGTACAAATTTGTACATTTTTTTGCTATGTATATTATCCTTGTAGCATGCTCTTTTATGTGTCTTAGTGTTGGAAAATAGATCCATCAAACTTTATGTCATATCACGAGAACTATCCGAAAAAGCTTTCTTACTATGTGAAAATATAGTGTTTCATTGATAAAATAAGGTTTTTTATTATATTTAGCATATTGATAACAAAGTAATTGGTTCCATTAGACCAATCTTGCTGATGTATCTGCAGATGTCAAATTTGACATCAATTAATCCATATACCGAGTTATCCAGAATGATTGAAGCGATTGAGGAACGCAGCCTGGTTCTAACATCATCTTTAGCATATAAAAATCTGTAGTATTGATAGAGACAGGCACATGCTACGATCTCCAAACACTTCAATCATTCTGGATCTCTCTGTATAAGTTACAGAGATGTACCATTAAAAAAACTATCTATACTGCTAGAACTACAAGATAATTTTATTTTTCTGTTCATCATTCATCGAAAAAACTGTATTTTGTTACTAGGTACTAAAAATTATATCAAGTAGCCTTGAATTCATTTTTTTTAAATAAAAATGGAATATATTTCACGTTCATTGGGTATCTAAGCTACCAAAAACCTCCTCAAAGAAAATTGGTCGTTTGGTTGCATCTCGTCTAGATAAAATTTACGCCAAAACATTATGAGTGCAAAAAATAAAGTACCTAAGTGTACTGTGAGAACTAAAGTACATTTTAATTATAATTTAATATAATTTGAAACTGTAATATTATATTTCACATATTCTAGAAAATTTGAAACAGAAAGAGGGAAGTTAACTTACATGTTGACAGATTTAAGTAATTATTTCTAAAAGTGGCAACGCCGCATCTCGTTTGTTGAGATGCAGCGTTTCACCTGTACAATGAATGCGATGCGCAGGCGCACTCGCACCTTACCTTGACAGAAACATTGACCTAACGCATCAAGGTATCAACCATATTAAACAAACGAAAACCGTTGTTCCTTAAGTTTAGGGTGATTTTTGTGAGAGACAATTCTTCGGCTACGCAGAGAATGCTGCGGATTTAACGATGTAAGACGGCGCTGCTACATAACGGTACCTACCTACTTCTGGTTTCAGATGGGGGAAACCACAGACTCTGATTAGAAGCTTGACTTGTAAACATTAAACCGATACCATCTACTTCTGAAATCATGTGTATGACGTTTATATAAATTAATATAAATATAATTTGCCTATCTTAAGTATTTCAGTTCAATTTCATAAATATTTTCAGCTAGGTAATCTTTTTAACTAAAGATATTGTGGGAAACTACTACTATGCGGACTAAGGGCCTGTCCAGATAAGATCATTCGTCAGCAGTATCACTAGATATAGATTTTCGAACTTGTTAGTTCTCATTAGTGTGCCAAAATGTGACACTAGTATTTACAAATCAGTAGGTTACTCTCTGCCAGTTGCTCTGGGTCGATAAATTTTGAGTACAAATGACAATTAAGATACGACATACTTTGAAGGTTATATCTTACCACACTTTATATCCACCAGCTAATTCAGACGAGCCAAAATTATGTATAAATGCAAAATGGCTGATGCGAAATGCTGAAATGAAATATCATTTAAAGATAGATTCACAAACAAAGAAGTCGCACACTGAAAGCAGTGAAATGATTGTCTACTGTCTGTTTTGCCTTGTTAGAAAATAATTCAACTCGTATAAAGCTTATCATCAATGCACTTTTTCTTATAGTTTTTCATATATTTTAAAATTCTTGAGTGTTGTGGACTTTATGTTTTATACATGCGTTTTAAAACCTAATTTAGTTTTGTATTGTTTCCACTTTCTTTCGGGAATTAAAAACAAGAGTGAAAACAATGTTTCAAAATACTCATCTGATTATTTAAAGTAAATAACACTGTAACTGTGTTAACTACATACTTAAATTTATGAAAATAAAAGGCATGGGTTTACAAACGTATGCAGCGCAACATACAGCAAACCTGTATGCAGAATTTTTGGAATGAACTGCTGAAATTATTTTTTAATTTTTCATTCTTTGAAAGCGTGTATGTCTAGAATGAATTTCATATTTTTATTTGTTGTTAATAATATACCACGAATCTTTTTTGTTACTGTAAATATATGATAATAAAAATAATATATGTTTTATAATAATTTATTGAATTTCGTCAAACGGAAACCGAAAAATGTTGAGATATATCTACCTAGATATTACAAAGGTATTATCAGGTTGAGCTGTTTCTTTTCTTAGCGAGAAGGTATTTACATGTCAAAAGAAAAATGATTTTTGTCGATTGAAATTTTAGACTTCTAATCATCACAATCATGTAAAAGTGATGGACTGTGGACCCTACTTTAGCGATCTTGAGTGTGGACTGCTCCTTAGAAATGAAATGAAATACAATTAGCCTGGATCCACAGTCATGCGTAAGCACAGATCCATTGTAACCACCTGACCAGCAACATCCAATTGTGCATCAGTAAAGCGACTTGACACTCCGTCAAAGTCAAAACGGATTGGATGTTGATGGTCACGTGGTTATAACGAATCCGTCATCACGCATGTGGATTCAGATTTAAACTTCTACGATCTTTCCTAACAAATTCAGATGACAGTGAAGACGCTTCACTTACCCCAAAATTTTTTGTCCCAAATAAAATACACTTTATATTCAATCGCATATGAGATTTTAGAAAAAAGATTGATGCAAATAAGATTAGACCAGAATTAAGTAACATCATTTGTTTTGCAAGCTACGCTGTAACAGGATGGTAACTTAATATTCATACTTTAATTTATTTTGTCATTTTAAATTAGATTTTAAATGGTCAGCTCGTGAAAAACTATATTGCCCGCGTCTAACGGACGGGGTTTAAGTCCATTCTGTTTGGAAAAAACTCTGAACAAACCTTCGAGTATATACTACTGGAGGTAAGTTTCCAGCTATACATGTTGAAGAGATAGATAGCTATGAAAATATATATACTATCTCTCTCTCTCGTCGAATGTGACTGGCTGTTCAGTAAGAGAGAGATAGCATTTACCTTCATAGCAGCTATCTCTCTCTTCGACTTGTAAAGCGCCCAGTGCTCGAAGGAAAAATCGAAACTGCGTCAGTTACTAAAGTCAGCTCTGGGGCTCCCAGCATGCGCATTTTTTATTATTGTGATGAAGGCCAGAGGAAGCTTTAATGGAATCATTTTTACATTCATAGGGGCTAACCAAATAAGTATGTGGGGCTAACCTAAAAGTACCTGCCGTAAACTGTGTAACTCGCTTTTCGTGCTAATTAGATATAGTTCAGGATACTATAAATAAAATAGTACTTTAAATTCTTATTTCTTTTGTATTTAAAATGATCTATAAATAAATTCATTTACATCACATTGGCTGAATTGAAAATATCTGTACCTTAGAAAATCGGCCATTTTAGGTACCCACCACACTGAATATTTAACAGAGTACGCGATCTGGATTTCTTTTGTATTCGTGCGGATTATATCGGTAAAGTAGATTGTTGCATCTTTCTTTTCGTTGGAAGAAGTTGTGGCGGACACGTTTTGGCACATGTAAGTAATTTATTTTTACATTAAGCATAAGAAAAATATTATTTCATATGTAATCAGTCTTATTAATAAATACAAATGAACTGAATGTTGCTGTAGTCAAATTTGTATAAGGATTTTGTAGCGTGGTTAATAAAATCTGTATTTATTTTTTTGAGGTTATGTGAGTTTACCTTTCATTTTCAGAAAACGCCACAATGCAAATTTTCGTGAAAACCCTCACGGGGAAAACTATCACGCTAGAGGTCGAACCATCTGATACTATCGAAAATGTGAAAGCTAAAATCCAAGACAAAGAGGGGATTCCTCCAGATCAGCAACGTCTGATCTTCGCTGGTAAACAACTTGAAGATGGACGTACATTGTCTGACTACAACATCCAGAAGGAGTCTACCCTTCACTTGGTATTGCGTTTGAGAGGTGGTATTATCGAACCTTCCCTTAGAATCCTGTCTCAGAAATACAATTGTGACAAAATGATTTGTCGCAAGTGTTACGCTAGACTTCATCCCAGAGCTACAAATTGTCGCAAGAAGAAATGTGGACATACAAATAACCTTCGCCCCAAGAAGAAGCTGAAGTAGATTAAGTTTAATTTTTTGAGAAATATGTTTCATACATATAAATAACATCAGAATGAAATGTTGAAAATTTAAGCTAAAATATAAAAAATCTTCAAACATGGTGTTTTTATTTCAAGACTACCAATGTATTAGTTTTTTTTTTTTTCAACCAAATACCGGTTTCAATAACTTATTAGTCAGGTAGTACACCCATATGGAAAACCTGAAATTACGAGGGAATTTAATAGACATGGAAATGGGGGAAATATCAGGGAATTTCTGAAATTTACATTGACTATATTCGAATTATCAGTTTTTATTTACAAAGTACCATCATTAAATATGTCTGAAAAATAGTTTATGAAAAAATAGAAATAAATGTCCCTATTTAGGGTAAATTTTATGGCGACCTACTACAATTTTTAAAATAATAGTCAGATATTTACGTGGCAGATAACAAAAAATTTAAAAAGCATCAGTCGTGATCAAAAATTGAAAATTGATACAAAGCTTATATCTTTGAAACTGAATTTTTTCTTTAAATTACCTGGAAATATTTAAAAATTTTTTTGTTAAGATATACACCGTGTTATTACATGGATATACATAAATATAAAAACACCATAGAAATGAGACAACGCCAAAGGCGGTGCAGAAGGGGGCTACATTTGAAAAACTGCAGACAAACCAATTATCCATTGACATTGCCAATGCCAGGGATCGAACCTGGATCACAATAGGAAGTCTGGCTAAGAAATGCTTACCACTGCATGTTCGTCCGACTATACTACCATGTTGATATTATAAAGGTTGTAACTTTCCATCAGTTTTTTTAAGGTAAGTAATATTTGGAAGTTTAATTTTTCGTTAATGAGGATTTCAGTTGGTATACCACGGTGCAAGTAAAATGACTGGTCATATTTTATTGATGAAATAACTTGAAATCGCAGCTTTTGTAACAATTAGGAACTGGTAAATGATAAAATTGACAAAAATTATAACATTTATTGAATAAGTAACAATGAAATGTAAATCATATCACAGTGTAACAAATAAATATAAAATTTATGAAATAAAAACAATAAACGGTATTGAGACGATTATAGAATGGTTCACAAAAAAACTAATCTAGGTAGAGACAGTTGGTGAAAATTGAAGTGGTCACACTTTGGGAATAAAACCATACCCTTTTTGTGCCAAAGATATTTTGAATGGAATTTGTAAAATAAAAAAAATGATGTCAACTCTGAGATCTCAAAAAGAATTGCACATATTTTCATAATTAACTGGAAATTGCAAGTTTTTTTATTTTTCACAATATTAAATTTGGTTCAGTTATATCTACATATTTTGCAAATAAATATGTGATTGGTAACCCATTTCCTTTTATCCATGTCTAGTTCAACATATTTTCAGAAGTAAAATCAATACTACTTATATTTTATTGATTCAATACTTGTGTCTCCATGTTTTTGTTTTTATTTAATGACTTATCATTTGAAACTAGCATATTTTTTATAAATAGCCATGTCACTTGGCTTTGGATTAAAGCCCCCATTGAGTCCTACACTAATATACTTTTTATAAATCTCTATTGATTCTTGACTGACTTTTGGAGGAGTTACTTGAAAAACAGTATCTTTAGGAAGCCCTCCTAAACTCTTTACCAACATTGAAGTTGGCGTAAAGGTATTCTTCACAGTTCCATTGGCTTTTTTACCCAATAGTACGTACCTGAAATAGTTATTTCTGTAATTAGAGCAAAAAGAGTTTTTGGCATGCAACACGAAACAGAGTGCCAAAAACACCTTCTATTACAATTTACTAGGAATGTGAATTAATTTTGAGAGATTTTTTGTAAATTCAAGGCCTTATTATGAAAAATTGTGTACGTTATTATTTTTCAATGTATTGTCGATTGCTAGCCACAACTTTTTCGCATCTTTCTGGCAGCATAGGGATTACGTGTCAAAAGAACCAATCGATCCAATTTTTCGTATTTTGGTAAAATTAGAAGCCCTGTTTAACCAGGTCATATTGGAGCAAGTAGTAATCTGATGGAGCTATATTTGGTAAATACAACGGGTGGGATAAAACATCCCAATTCAGCATTTCTAAGTATTTTTTGTCCCCATGAGCAACATGTGGTCGAAAATTGTCATGTTGAAAAATTACTTTATCATGCCTTTGCTCAAACACAACAATTGTGTTCGGTAGCATTCACCAGTGATGGTTTCATTCGATTGAAGCAGCTCATACTACACCAAGGTGTTCCCATCAAATACAGAGCTTTGAGCCATAAATATTCAGCCTTGCCATCGATGTTGATGCACGACCAGGCAAACCCCACAATTTTCTACATTTAGTATTATCATAACGTATCAATTTTTCATCACCCGTGACGATACGATGCAAAAAACCCTTTCCTTAAAGTAACACACTTTAAAACTATTGAAATTATGAAAAACGAATAATGTACAAGTTTCAATTGCAAAGGCAACAATATCGATCTGTCACAAGTTTGTTGTTCTCGTTATAACCACCACATAAACACGATTCATTTGTTTATCGGTTGTGATACAGCACAAGTTATGCCATCAATTGTAAATCCTTCAAAATATTTCTCAGTCCTAGTAAGTCAAACATATTCAGAAGTAAAGGCGATATGTTTCTTTTAATATCAACACCCTGTATCTCAGAAAGTGACTTTAGAAACTTGGATCATTAAGGCTTTATGGTCTAAAATGAATCAATGAACAATCTCCTGAATTTATGACATAAATGTAGAAAGCATCTTATACAGGGTGTTTCATAAAGATGTGCAAATATTTTAAGGAGGCGTTCAGAAAGTAATTTTAGGGGGGGTACTTCCAATATATTTTTTGATTTGAACCCCCCCTGAGAAAATATTCAAATCCCAAAATGGCCGAAAAAATTAGCTTTTATTATTTTTTTTCACGAAACTGGTTAAACTTAGAAATTTGAATTGTGGTACACGTTAACAACTAGTTGAATGGTATTTTTTGATAGTCTTTTTTTTCTGGTTTGTCTTTGAATGAAAGAAATTAGCACCCTTTGGTTTTATTTCGCTCACAACTTTTTTCTAACAAGAAAAATATATTTTAATACATTTCATTTAGAAACTTTTTTTTGTGTACTTAATGGTTTACAAACAAAAAAATAAATTATTTTTCCTAGCCGATTAAGTACACATAATTAGTAGAACAATTACCAAAAACGATCTTCATTTTTGACATGCTTCTTGCGAAAATTCTAAGCAAATATGTGGTAAAAATTTAATAAAAAAAATAAAAGTTAATTTTTTCAGCCATTTTGAGATTTGAATATCCCATAGTAAATTAAAACGTACTTTTTATAGGTTAGAATGTCCTCTTGACTGGGCTTTTTCAATTCAGTACCGTACATTTCTTTCATTGTCGGAAATAGTGACTTAAAAGTTATAGGTTCGGGGGTGCCTTCTTTAGATACCGCCTCATTCACAATCACATAATCTTCATCCTCGATCGACTCCTCATTGTCCGAACTAGAACTATTCGATAAATGTGACAGTTTAATATCTTAAAAAAAGAGTTATATACCTTGTACTTGATGCTGCCGAGCTTGTAGAACTCTGCCCGGTAACGGATGGATTTTTCATTGCGTTTCCTTTGTTAGAATTCTCTTCCCTCCTTCTAACCGGCCTTACCCTTAACACAAAAGGACTGTAATTTGCAGTGAAATTTGGCATGAAATCTCTTATGGAATTGCTGACTTTCACCGCATAGACATCATCCAAAACACTCAATTCGTATGGTCTGTAATAGTCTATATACGAATCAATCATTTCTACATCCCTGGAATGTATTTGAATTAGCTCGTAACAAGCTTTGGTGAGGTCGTTATAAGCGTAAGGCAGACATTTTAAAATCCCAGAATCCCACCACTGCGTTAGAGATTTTAGGCTGAATATTATAGGTTTATGATGGAAGTAATAATCCGTGGAATATTCCCAAATCTGCGATTGACTTTCTTCAGGCTTAAATACACCAAGGAATAGATTTATGGCGTTTTGTTTTTCGGCATCGGAAAATGTGTTGCTGTAGTACCTGCTGAGGGTTTGCATTATATCGTTCCCCTGAGAAGTCCAAGGGGCAGTTTTTCGATAAGTTTTAATCCTGTGTACCAATTGGGAACCACCATACTGCAGAGCTAATGTGTCGCCGTGATCCTCGTATAGAGATTCGAGCATGCGTACACAATCCGTGTCAAATTCGAGATTAGGAGTATCCAGAATGCCAAGAGCGCAGAGTTGGTAGCCCAACACACACTTCCCAATAGCGAATTGGGCCGTGTTTGTACGATCCAAGCAATCTACACAGTTTGTTCTTATAATGCCCGTTTGTAGGCTATTAGAATTATTTTTATATTGGCCCACAACTGTACCAGACCTCTGGCTAAAATATTTTGGCTTGTTATGGAAAATCCCTACTTTCATCACAGCATTCCGTGCTATATCAGCTAAGTGACCCATAACATTAGTGTTTCCTTTATTTTTTCTTGCCATGTCGAATGTTTTGTAAATAATTTGATGGTCAACAGGTAGAAACTGATTCAGATATTTAACAGAGGAACTCAATTCATCGCTTAAGAGCTTCTCTTGTTTTTTCTTTTCTCGTTGTTTTACCAGGTTGAGAATGATGATGGGGGCTCCGTATCGTTTTAACAATTCGTTGAAATGGGCCCCTGCTGTTTCAGCGAATGGATCATAGAAATCAATTGTTATTGCTGGTTTAGCAACCATTTTCCCCATTTCTTGTTTCCAGTGGCCTGAAAGATGAAATAAATTCTTTACAACTTTGCAAGTTGGACTAATTCCTTTGGTGGGTTCTCATTGTTCTAGAAGAGATACACAAAAAGTACTTATTGCCACGAATTTGCCACGTTTTAAAAAAGTGGTAAATATCTAAAACAATCTCCCAGGTTCTCTCGGCTAAAAATTGAAATGTAATCTGACGCTCTTTGTGTTGAAATCAGAATCGCCATTTTCAAAATAAATTTCAAAAATGAACACAAGCTGTTCACTTAACAGACATTACGTAATATTGAAACATTTTGAGTTAGAGTGCCTACAAAGTCATTTCTATCCCCACCTATACAGAAGGAACAACCGTCTAAAATCCTTGCATTTTTTTTTGTCCCGACCTTACATTCATTATAAGTTAAAACTAACACAATATCGTAGTTTGCGTATTACTGGGTTTTCTGAAATATGCCTGAAAATTCTTAATTTCTTTTCAACAGAAATTTAATTAACTAGAATCTATAAAAGAACAAATTCAACAAAAACAGAAAGGACGTATTTCTATCAAAAATGTAATAATTTTATTTGCTTACCTGGTATAGAGCCTCTCATTTGTACAAACGATGTGAAATGACTTTGATTAAATGAAGAAACTCCTGAATCATGAACCATTTGTTCAGTTTCCACTTCATTGGCAACGTCTCCTTGGAAATTGGCACCACGTTTCAAGAATCTAGTTCCAGCATACTTACTGGACCTTCTTGCTATTAGAGTAACATATATAGACCTTCCAAAAACATTTATGTTAGACTGACCCACGAAACCGTGAGTTATATAAATTATCCAATCTGGATGCAACTCGGCTTTGACATTATCACTAAAAAAAATATTTATTTGCTATAGTGAACAAATTTTAGTACCTAGTTGTAGATAGGAATTTAATGAAATATTTACCTAAGTAAATGAGAATTCCATACAAACTTCTTATGTGGCTGAGTTCTTATTCCGAAATGCTGAATTTCAGAATTTAACGAATTCGAACGAGGTATTACAGAAGATTCTAAATTGTGATAACTTTTTTCCAACGTACTGTTTTCAGACTCTTCAATGTTCGAATCCGGTTTGAGTTTTTTAGGGCTCATTAAATTGTGCTGAAGGGTATGAGTTAAATCGTAACTATAACTGCAAAAATAAATTCCGGTATTTATTACAAAAACATACTTCCTTGTCATTTAAATATTTTTCTTACTTAAAATGATAAAATATCTCTGTAATAGACCACTGGGATCTTACCTGTAATAAAAATTACTTGCTAAATCAATATTCTGAAACATTTTTACATATCTCGGTTCATCCGGGTGAAGGAGTCTAACACTTTCATGAGGGATATAAATCATATTAGTATCCTCTATTTTATATATTGTATGATGTCCAATAACGGCAACTTTCCTACGTTTAGTAATTAAGATAATGTAATATCCTTCAAGAAACTTTATAAAACCTAAAAATTAATATTTTTGTAACTATTATTGTACCATTATATGCAACTACTTCATACATTACCTACAATCCCAAATGCTGATATAACTTTTGAACAACCTCCTCCACCCGAATGTCTGTTTCCAGAATCAATCATACTGACAAGATTGTGGATCTCTTCTGCAGTATACTCAACTTTATCATCATATATTTCCAGATCTTTTGCTTCCATTCGGTCTATTTTCAAAACACGAAATCTTGTTTGTGTATTGTTTGATCCAACTAGATAATATTTCTAAAAATATTAAAGAAACTACACATTAATGAGTCAAAACATAAGATTCTTTATACATTCAAATTATTCTTAATAGGTATTTAAACTCAATTTAGAAAGTTAGTATCTCATTAAATTACTTACAGACTTGGTTTCATAAAGTGCCATTTTTTGGATTGAGCTAATGATAGGATGAAATAGCGCTCTTACTTTGTCCATATTTTGAAGTTTTTTTTTCTTTGGTGTAATGTTAAATAGAAGAATAAAGAATAAATTTTCACAATATAGTTCACATAACCTAATTTTCTTTTTTTTTCTTTACTGAACCATAGAAAAACTAATGTTAGATGGATGCTGTGGGTCATTGATTTTATAAGTGAACGCTCGTACCCAGTGTTGCAAACTACAGTTCAACAAAATCGACAAGATCCCTATTAATTTTTCTACTAAATAAAAGTAAATAAATTTAGAAAAGCACGATCAATTATACTATAACTGTTCTGTAAATTCCTTATATTCACAAAATATATAGCTACGAGACCAAAACTAGATATTTAACCAAATAAAATAGGCTTACATTTTTTTGCTGAGGAAGCCTAATTTATTTACTCATATGGGTATTCCTCCGGATCAACAGCTTTTTTCATCTTTACTGGTGAAGACTGAGAAAACAACCTGAAGAGCATACCGTCTCTGATTGCAATATTAAAAAAAGTATCAATTTGTCCATTTGGTTTTCCGTTTGAGGGAAGATTATTGAATCTTCTATTAGAATTTTAGCCGAGAAATATTTTATTATTTTATATTTTGATAATGAATCACAAAATATTGTAATTACCTGATAAAGCTAAATTTAAGGGCTTATTCGAAAAGACATTGAGGAAATTGTTTAGATTTGTTTAATATAAGTAAAATTTTATTATTAGTAGGTATATCAGTGTGTTGCATATAACAGATATCTTGGAAATTTATATTTTAATTTTTATTTTATCATATTTATGATCGCTGGACAAAATATATAGTAGCTCCCAATATTATTGTCATTACCTAGGACAAATAAAATTTGATAGTGAAATATAATTTAGAGGGTCAATATTTTGATTAGGTACCGGTTAAGAATTGGTTAATTTTCTATCAACAAGACCGTGAGTAGGTATGCCTAAATTTGCATATTATGTATCATATAAATAGGTACTCATAATTTAACTGAATTTAACTGTCCAGTTAGGTATAAAGCGCTTAGCTGATACTCAAAATGTTGACCCCAATGTGTTAATGTCTTTTCTTAACTGACTTAACTCTAAGGTAAATTAAAAGCTAATAAATATAAAAAAAATATATACCTGAATAACTATCACCATATAACACTGAGAATTCAGAACATTTAGGTGCCAAGTTAAATCTCTGCTTAAAGAATCCAAACACCCTCTTAGGTTTGTGTTGTTAACTGTACATGGGGCCTAAAACAAGATACAGTTATATGTATACCTAACTAGCATTAGTGAAAAAAATCATCCATAACGCATTAAGCAAAATAGAAACAATTATTTCATATACAAAGTGCACTGGAAAAGATGATTAAAACTTCAGGAATAATTTTACAGTTTCTTTTTTGTGATATATGGATGGGGGATTATCATATTCGCTACTAATTTATTATAGCTTTTTTTCCTTTACATAATAGCGAGATTAATAAAATCGAGACGCGCCCAGCACGGTATATTACGGAATATTACTCTATAGAAAATAAATGAAAATCGAAGAGTTTTTATTATTGCAAATATGAATCCCTATAACTTATAAATAGCAGCACTTACATTACAATTAGTGCAATATACAAAGCAGTAATATTTCACAGAAAGAATTTGGAATCCGTATAGTCCTCAAAAAAAAGTTACAGGGTAAAACAGGTTAAAATCCCCCCAAATCTACTCCAATGAATAATTTTTGTATTGTGAACTTTTAAAATAAAAAAATATTGTAATTTTTGGGTACATTTAAAATTATTTTCTAGCCACATTTTGTTTAAGTATTTGCTTTAGGTAATGCACCTAATAATAATAAAAAAAATGTAAATGCCTGCAGTAAATTGCTAATTAAATTATTGTAAATTTGTCACTGATGATTAAATTGATAGGTAATCAATTATATGAAACTGATTAATATAATTATTTTTTAAAAAGACTTTTTGACATATTTTCTTGAACAAAACTACTGCATAACCTTATATATTTTTTTATGTGGTAATAAAATGTTATAATAAATTTTATACAAGAATGTTATACCAAACAGTTTTTGAAAACACTTAAATAGTTTAATAGCTTTATCAGTTTAATCAGTGGGAGATAAACCTACGACTTCCGCTATTGCCTTTTTCATACAAAATACATTAATATCGAAATTCTTTATTAGTGTCAATAATGCACATTTTATATTCAGTTGTTGAAAAAATAAAACAAAACTTAATTGTACTTTGACTTCTTCTTCGGGCGAAGCTCGGTACAGTGCCCACATTTCTTCTTGCGGCAATTTGTAGCCCTTGGATGCAATCGAGCGTAACACTTGCGGCATATCAGTTTATCGCAGTTATATTTTTTGGCTAAAATTTTAAGGGAGGGTTCAATCATACCTCCTATGCCGCCCCTCAACCGTAAAACCAAGTGAAGGGTTGATTCCTTTTGGATATTGTAGTCAGAAAGAGTACGTCCATCTTCAAGTTGTTTGCCTGCGAAGATCAAACGCTGTTGATCAGGAGGAATGCCCTCTTTGTCCTGGATTTTAGCTTTAACGTTTTCTATTGTGTCAGAAGGCTCGACCTCTAGCGTGATAGTTTTACCCGTGAGGGTTTTTACGAAAATTTGCATAATGGCGTATTCTGCAAACAAAGAGAAAAATATTTAACTTAACTTGAAATAACAAATTGTTATGTTACAGTTTTTATGCTCAATTTGAATCTTACTATTTGCTATCAGTATTCAAAAAGTTCACTTACTTTTTCACAAACGTTATAGTCACAATTTAATGCAATACTGATCTTTTACAGAAATACATCACATTTATAGATTCAAAAAACATAAATTGTACGAGCGCAGATAGCGTCTGATTCTGCGTATTCAGTACATAAGTACAAATTGTGCAACAATGTGTAAGCCGAGGCAACACTTTTGGCGATACGATCATACAGGGTGTTTGTTACTTCAGGATTTTAGATTGAAAAGTCTAACGAACCGAGTGTCTAAAAGACAAATTTCCGAGATACCAAATATATGAAATTGAAACCAGTAATATACAGAATGTAGAAGAATCTACCTTTCTCCTTATATATTTCTTTATAAAACTATGCTAATAAACAATCTTCACCAAAATAAAAAGAAGTTGAGTAGGTTAAATGTATTTTATTTAAAAATATATATTTATTTTAATTGAATATGTTCTGTTAATATTAATTATGATTTTAATAATCATTTATTTGTATTTTTATAGTATTACCGTAATACTATTACGGTATATACAGCTAAATTTAGAAGGAAAATACATTTTTAGTATTATTTTTTGAAATATAATAATATTCTCACAATATTCTCATAATATTATATGATTTATAAATACTTACTTATTTGTAATAGTCTCAATAATAATGTTAATAATATGTTATCATTAATTATTTGTCCATTTACCTATATTGGGGGTCTTTATAATTTTAGTTTAATATTTTCCATAAATAAAATTTCAAATGACCTTGATTAAGATTCTTTAAATAAAATACTATTCAAATTAATAATAAATCTTTCTTAGAACATGAACACAAATCTCTTTTATCACGGGCGATTCAAAATTTAATAAAAAGAAAATTTCAAAATGCTCTCAACAAAAATATAAACAGTATATTAACAATATATTTCTTTTATAATACATCAAATGAATCACCACTTAACTTCATGGATTTTCCTTGGAAAATTAAATAAATTATTTATCACTGAAATTATATGAACCGAACTGCCAAATCTTGATTGTTATATTAACTAATATTTTTGTTTGAAAAAGTATTTGGTTGACAATGTATTGATTTTCGCTGATAATTTTGTATTTTATCTCTCCAATTACATTAATTTATGTCAGGTTGTAATGACATGTTAAAAATGATGTCACCGCCGTTCTTGGTGGTGAAAATTCGAAATATTTGGAATTATTCAAATTTCGTGGCTGAAAACATACATAGGTATTTAATTCTCGAAACCGAGAGAGTTGTGCGAAACTAAATGTGTACAGGACATAGCTAGTACCATGCGAAACATCGCCATATTTTTAAAAATGTTGTCACCGCCGTTCTTGGGGGTGAAAATTCGAAATATTTGCAATTATTCAAATTTCGTGGCTGAAAACATACATAGGTATTGAATTCTCGAAACCGAGAGTTGTACGAAACTAAATTTGTATAGGATATAGTAGCTAATACGATGCGAAACAGGAATAACTTAACTCAACCCCCGTTGCCATACAAAATTTTTATATAGTGTCCCACTTTTGATTAAATACATGTTTACATATTTTAAATTTGGTATAATTTTTCTTTATTCGCACACGTTTATACCTAAATTTTACATAATTTATCGTTATATTTTACAATATCTAAACTAAATTTCATTTTATATATTACAATTATTTAAATTCCTTTTTTTATTAACTTTCAATCCTTATTCAATTCAATTAGAAATAAATAAATAAATAATTCTAATTTTATTCCAAGTTTAATAATTAATGTCATTGGAAATTCCTTATGTATTTCAATATGATGGTTTAGTAAAATGTTAATAATTATTATTATTCTATCAAAGTGCAAATGAATAAAATTTGGCAGTATGTGATAACCTTATTTTTATTTTTTTTGGTGGAAATAAGTGGGTGGCAAAAGGAAAAATTTGGAAATTCTTAGTGGCATTAACAGTTTTTCTATTTGTCACCAACATACAGGGTGAGCCATTAGTGTGAGAAAGTAAAATAACTCCTGTGTTATTCATAATACAGAAAAAAAGTTTATATAAAAGTTGAACAGAATTAGAAAACCTAAAGGACAAAATTAATTTAAAACATACAGGGCGATTAGTAAAAACGGGACACGCCAAATATTACATTTTTTAAATGCTTAATAAAAGTTGAAGTGGACCGATATGTGAATAAAATAGAACAATAAAATACAGGGTGTTCCATTAGAAAAAATTTTGAAAATCAAGTTTAAACTTTCTAAAAATGATCGTATTATAAAAAATGCCCTGTATAAAATATAGATATTAGCTAATATAGGAGGCTTTGTCTAATATTTGCCTATAACTCTGTTTAATTATTTTGTAAGTGCTAGTAGCTGAAAGTTAATACAACTTCTTCGAGGTCTCATGTTTTTTTTCCAAAATTCGAAGAATTTTCTACATAACTTGGCAACCTCGCAATAAAAAGATAAGCTATTTATATTGCCATATACATAATTTATATCCATATATTTAAAAATATATAGGGTATTCCATTTAAAAAATGTAATATTTGGTGTGTCTCGTTTTTACTCATCGCCCTGTATGTTTCAAACTAATTTTGTAGTTTAAGTTTCTTGATTCTGTTCAACTTTTATATAAACTTTTTTCTGTATATCTATATAAAAAAAATAAATAAATTGTTATATCTAATAAATTTTATACAATAATGTTATATCAAACAGCTTTTGAATTTTTTTAAATTCTTAAATTAAAAGATTGCTTTCGATCAGTACGTCTACACTACTTAATAATATTGTGCAATAATATAAAATACATGAAAATCGAAATTCTTTATTAATGTCTGTACTTACACATTTTATATTAAGATGTTGAAAAAATAAGTTTTCTTCAAATAAACCAAAACTTAATACTCCTTCAACTCCTTTTTCGGGCGAAGATCGTTACTGTGCCCACACTTCTTCTTGCGGCAATTTGTAGCCTTTGGATGTAATCTGGCGTAGCACTTGCGGCATATCATTTTATTGCAGTTATATTTTTCGGCTAAAAGTTTAAGGGAGGGTTCAATCCTACCCCTGAAGCCCTTGCCGCCGCCCCTCAACCGTAAAACCAAGTGAAGGGTTGATTCCTTTTGGATATTGTAGTCAGAAGGAGTGCGCCCATCTTCTAGTTGTTTACCCGCGAAGATCAAACGCTGTTGATCGGGAGGAATACCTTCTTTGTCCTGGATTTTAGCTTTAACGTTTTCTATTGGGTCAGAAGGCTCGACCTCTAGCGTGATGGTCTTACCCGTTAGGGTTTTTACGAAAATTTGCATAATGGCCTATCCTGAAAGCAAAAAAATATATATTTAGGTAATTTGAAACAACAAATTGTTATGTTATAGCGTTGAGTGAGACCTCACTCAACGGTTATAGTTTGCGCCAGAAGAAAGGGCCCTAGCCGGCGGGGCCCAGCCAGGACAAAAGGAGGTCCCACAAAGCGCCTACACCGGCCGCATTTGCGGTCGGGGTAGACGACGGATGGGGCCCACCTACGAAGGCTGTCCAGGCCTACACGAGATGAGGCAGGATAAAGAGGGATAATCCCCCTCGATCCCAAATCATTGAGGCCAATTTCTAGCCATGGAATAATGGCGCGCGGCGGTTATAGTTTTTGGGCTCAAAATTAATCTCAGTTTTACTATTTGCTATTAATATTTAAAAAGTTTACTTACTTTTTCAAAAACATTACCACCACAATTTAATTCAATACTGATCTCTGTTAAAAATGAATCATATTTATAGGTTCAAAAAATGCAACTAAATTGTACGTGCGCGGGCAGTGTCTGAGTCTGCGTATTCAATACATAAGTTCAAATTGTGCAACAATATGTAAGCGCGAGGCAACACTTTTGGCGATACGATCATACAGGGTGTTTTTTACTTCAGGGTTTTAGACTGAAAAGTCTAACGAACCGAGTGTTTAAAAGACAAATTTCCGAGATATGAAATATATGAAATTTAAACCAGTAATATACAGAGTGTCCAGATTTGGTCTGGAACACCATTACCAAATTTTATGCGTCGTACGATGTCGATGATTACTTTTTTATATGTACAAGGGTGTCTTAAATCATTTTTGCATTGGAAAATGGTAATGAAACATCTTTGGAAATTTTAGCAGCATTTGATCTTTACAGTAAACAACTTCAAGATGGACTTGGCCTTTATGACTATAGGTACAGCATCCAAAAGTAATGAATGAATCAACTCCTTGAGTTTTCTCACAAAATTTAGAAACAAGTGTTATGTTTGATTACGTCCAAGAGCTACAAACTGCTGCGAGGAGCATTCGTCACCCCAAAAAAAAGAGGTTGAATAGATTAAATGTATTTTATTTAAAAAGAAACTTTTCTTTTAATATCTGAATATATCAATACATAATTTTAATAATAATTTATTTGCTTTTTATTAATATTACTAATTTATTAATAATATTACAGTATACAGGCTGTTAAAAATTCGCTTGTCACTACCGGGATCTCGGAAACTATAAGAGGTACGAAGTAGCTTAAATGGAGGCAAAGTTGCGAAATCAGGGGACCAACATTATGCCTCCAAAAAAATCGATGATAACATGATTAGTTTTCAAAATATTTAAAAAAAAAAAACGAAATTTTGGAAATCGGTTTTTGTTTAATTTCAGCCTTGTTTGAGGAGCTATTGAAAAAATAAGAACACTTTCTCATGGCTACTTTTTGCCCTCTATCGAATGGCATAATTAATTTTTATATGTAACGTTTCGTCTCTCCAGGATCATCATCAACTTCATTTTTTTAAATACGACCCTGGAAATTTTATTACATTTTTTACAAACCTTCATGACCCCCATTACTGTACTGCCTCAGCCCTAACCAGATTCAGACGTTTTGTCTCGAAAAATGCATCTTCAGTGTATTCGTTCCTTTATCTAAATTTGTTATTTAGATTTCTTTGTTTACTGAATTATCGTACACTGTAAGTGTCGTTAGACCCTGTGAAATCCATCTAGTTATTCGAAATATTACCACCACGCATTAAAATAAAACATTATTAGACTTTTATTCCCGTGTCCATAATTATTTCTAGGCTATTTTTTTTCAGGATATTCATACAAATACATCTGACATGCTCTTTCACAGTTGCAGTTACAGATATAATAAATTCCGATAATATTATGCTGATCTTCATTTTTAACTTTTGTCAAAACTAAAATGTTTTTGAACATTTACTGAAATTTTTTAAAGAATTATATTCAGTTGGCGTTTTGGTTGTTCATATGCAGTTTTAAGAATTAATTTGTCATAATAAAATTAAAATTGTAACAATGTTTCAATTTTGACGCAACAACTTATAGAGTTATGTATGACCAAGTGATGGTAATAGTTAATAATAATAAATGTTCTATTGTAGCGCGTGGTGGTAATAGTTTAAATAACTAGATGGATTTCACAGGGTCTAACGACACTTACTGTGTACGATCATTCAATAAACAAAGAAATATAAATAAAAAATTTAGATAAATTTGGAACGAATAAACTGAAGATGAATTTTTCGAGACAAAACGTCCGAATCTGGTTAGGGCTGAGACAGTACAGTGTTGGGGGTCATGAAGGCTTGCAAAAAATGTAATAAAATTTCTAGGGTCGTATTTAAAAAAATGAAGTTGATGATAGTCCTGGAGAGACGAAACGTTACATATAAAAATTGATTATGCCATTCGATAGAGGGCAAAAAGTGGCCATGAGAAAATGTTTTTCGTTTTTCAATATCTCCTCAAACAAGGCTGAATTTAAACAAAAACAGATTTCCAAAATTTCGTTTTTTTTTCAAATATTTCGAAAACTAATCATGTTAGCCGTGATTTTTTAGAGGGCATATTGTTGGTCCCCTGGTTACGCATCTTTGCCCCCATTTAAGCTACTTCGTAGCTCTTACCGTTTCCGAGATTCCTGTAGTGTAGTAAAAATAGTGGCTGTATACCGGTATCATTTAACAAATCGAATGATTGAATTATGATTATTATTATTACTAATTTGATTGTAAAAACAAATCTTAAATCTGTTGCCCCTTCTGGAACTTAACTATAGTAGAGTCTATTACATACAGTACACACTTGCACTGCGGGCTGTCTGAAAAATGATTACTGTTACGCAGTCCGCAATACATTAACCTCTAAGTGTGCAGCAGTTTAGAAATATTATACATTAATTGTTGTGAAAATCATTAAATATCTACCAGAATGTCTCAATCAACAGTTTGAATTTACCGTCAATTCGATTGCAACACACTGAAGGATCAAAAAATTAACCTAAATCAAATGATGTAATTATCATTTTTTTTTTTTTTTTTGATAAATGGTGAACCAACCTGTATAGAGTCCTGAGACTAAGACTGGGCTAGCCCCGAACCGAATATACCGAACGTAAATACTAAAAGAAATATATCTTTTATTGATTAATCCTATATATATAAATCATCTTACATGGCTACAGCAAGCATCAGAAATCGACCTGTTCATATCTAACCAATCTTTGTAATCCATGACACCGCAACAGTTAAGTTGTGCCTGCATTTTTTCCCATCCAATTGCATATCTGGTATTTACGTTGCTTTCACGAATTGTTATTTGCAGGGAGTTATTTAAATCCAGGGTATTTGAAGACGTCATCATAATAGTGGCTGTTGTATTTACATTACCTTTGGAGTGATATACGAAACCGAGACTGCATCCAGTAATTAGAAGGGCTATAGAGATCACCAACAGTAAGATTAGCTAAAATATAGCGCTCCTTCAGTTAAAATAAAATATATTATGCACTTAATTTTCCTTAATTTATCATTTCAATTCGCCAAATAACCTCCTAGCACACAGTTGTGTGATAGACTTTAATAATTTATATTGATTGTTAGTATTTCTGTCAATAAGGACAAATTATCATTATCATTATTGACTACACTAATATCGCAACATATTGAATAAAATTAGATGGGTATTTGACACTTTGATTAGTAAAATAAAATGTTACTTTCTTACCAGATGAAGAAATTCATACTTTTTCTTATTATTATGGATAGACATTGATATCCAAAAACACGGGAAACATATAAAAGATGCTGGAATTGCAAAATATGGAATGTCCACCTTTATGTCTATCAAGTAACTGTAGGGAATTTTTCTCACTAATGACCATATAGAAACTCCCAGCAAGATCAAGCCGCAGGTCTGAAATATAGGACTGTCTAACGTACAAAATTTCAATTTAAACAAAATTTAGTGTGCCATGCATCTTTTTACAGTTATAATTAATACTGCTACTAAGAAGTCTAATTAGCTACTAAGAGGAAGAGTAATACATGAATCGAAATAAAAAGTTTTAAAAACAAACAAATTTAAGATAGGTTCATCTAATTTTTCAACTTTTTACCCAGTTGATTTCACAAGAACAAGGGAGGAGGAGGAGGGTATGCAAATAATTAGTAAATATTTATATGCCACGCCAGATTAGAACAAAAACAATCTAAATCAAATAACTAACGCTTATTTTACGTCCACAAGACTTGGATAGAACCTTTGTAGGTATTACCAGTAACAATACAGACACAAAGCACATCAGAAAGCTTGAAAAAGTGACGTCTCTCCCACTTTGACTTTGGGGCACTATTGTGGGTCTTTTCTTTCTCTTAGCTTCCCAGGGAAATTCCCAAGAGTCGGAGGATAGACTTCTCTTCAACATTTTTAGTGCACCATTTACTTACAGTCACGAAATATTTTGACAGATTTTTGACGAATAAATTTTTCTGACATACTTTATTCTTGTACATCAGATCACAAAGCATAAACTACATACTTTGTGCATTAGATTTGCTGAATGCATAGGCATATAGTGTTAAATACAGGATGTCCTCTAAGGGATGCACCAAAATAAATTATTAAATTCTATAAAGTAAACGGGACTTGCACGTATGTAAGGAAATAAATCAATGACAAATCTGTTTAATTATAATGAAAGAAAATAAAAAAATATTTTATTTTTTTATTTAACGATTAAAGTAGTTACACATATAATTATCTAAAATTAGATATGCACTTTGTAAATGTACATTATTATAAAAAAAAAACAATCAAATACAAAGCTTCACATAATTGTTTATATTATTACAGAGCTCAGTTTCTAAAAATCATACAGATATTTCATTAGTTCCAGTAATTCGGCAGATGTCTATTACAAGTTCAATGTCCTATCGAAACTGTATAAATAATTTTAGTGGAATGCATCTATAAATAAATATGTATAAAGCTTCATATGTCGGATTCAATAATGAGATAATTAACCGAGTAAACTATAGCTTTATTAATAAATAATAAGTTTAGATATAATAATATAATTATTATAATAATTAATAATTAATAATCAATATAATTAAGAATGCACCTCAATAAAAATAAAAATAACTAATATTTTACTTATTTCTTAATTGTCAGTAGAAAATTTGCAAAATGTATATTATGATTATTGATTATTCATTGATATTATTAGCGAATGTGAAAGGATTAACTAGAATTTATAGATTTTGTCACTTTTTTATACAATACTGTATCAAAATTAGACACAACTTGCCGGCAGGCCTATATACAGGGTGTTCTGAAAATCCGTCAGGAAACTCCGAGAGGTGATTCTACGGATTAAAATAACAACAGTACTATGTAATGAAAATTTTTTTCCAATTGTAAATTATTAACTTGTCAAAGTTTTTTATTTTTCTTTATTGGACCAGTCAGAGAAAAGTTTCATTATGCACCGCTAGAGGGCACTATACCTAGAACTTAAAATTTGTTTTGTTCATAACTTTTTCTCTGGCTAGACATTTACAGAAATTATTGAAAAGAAAAATAATGTAGATACTCTTAATTCAAATCGATAAATGTAACCGTTTAGCAGAAAATCGCTATTAATCGCTATTAAAGTGTCATTAAACATCAAATTTTTGACAATTCTTTCTGTAATTAATCAAGTTGCGATGCTATAATACCATCTCTTTTAAAAATAGCTTCGGTAGTAAATAAAATATTATTAGTAAATACATTTTTCTCAGCTTCTAGGTAATGTGCCATCTAACGGCGCATAATGAAACTTTTCCCTGACTGGCCCAATAGAACTACTCTACTTAGTGGGTGTGACAAATGAGAGACTAATCGAACTTGAATTAAATAAGTTATTTACATAGAAAATTTTATAAAAAAACTTTGACAAGCTGTAATTTGCAAACAGCTGACGAAAAAAATTTCATTGCATACTGTTACTATTTTAAATCTTAGAATCACCTCCCGGAGTTTCCTGATGGACTTTTAGAACACCTTGTATATGTGCTATGATGGGGTATATTTGTTTAGTAGTAAAGTAAAAATTGATTTTATCAACTATGCTGATAAGTTAAAATAAGCCTGATATTTATTATTGTTTTATTGCATTTATTATTTTTACTATCCCGCAAGGGAAATCGTCGTTATTTCTAAATCCTTATAGTTATATAGAACCCAATTTAAATTTACAAAATAAAATTTATCATGAAAACCATTGATAATGTTCTGTCTCAAGTTTAAATAAAATCAAAGGCAGTAGCCAGAGAAGAAGAATAATCCCATTTAGGATGTTTTAAATAAGAAGATAGTACAGTTACACAAAAGCATCACCGTGTAGATATGTATAAACTCCACCGATCTGCGTATAGCTACACATAATAAAATCTGCCATCGTCAGCCATTTAAATCCACTCATTTCTAGTTTTCCCTGTCAATTTAGATCCCGCGGAAAGTGGATCGTTATTTTTATCTGATAAATTACTCTCTGTGTCAGGCTCTCTTTCTACAAGCACGTTGTTTGTATCCTCTTCGGTTTTATTATCGTTCATACACGTGGATGTGGCGGAATCGCTAAGTGGTGGTTCGAGTTTCTCTTCGTCACTGCCCCTGTCATTCGGTTGCTGCTGGAGGATCGCTACTGCCACTGGGTTTGGTTCACACTGACCGGCAACTACGCCAAGAAGAGGAACAGTTAAAAAATCATGAGGTAAGAAGAATTGTTAGTTTAAGTTTATAATACTTCGAATTAACCAAATATTTACTACTAGAACAGTATCTAAGAGCAAGATAGTTTGAGAATGAGATTTCAAAGTCTAACTGAATATCACGAATAATGACTTTAACAATGCTTTAGATTCGAAAATTGTAAGTTTTGTTTTGCGATGAAAGGCAGTTTTTACTCATAATATCCTTTGGATATTTTCCCAAACGAACATATTTATTTCAACTCGTTGAATAATTGGTGCCGGTGCTTGAAAACTTGCAATTTTTTCTGTTATTATCTCGTGTTAGTACAAAGACTCATCCACATATTTTTTTTTTTTCAAGCGAAACTTATTCGTATTTAATTTTTGATTGATAATACGTGTATACAATAGATAATTGTGGAAATGAATGCTTCAATGAACACATGTAATTGCCATTACATGTATTAGATACTAACACACATTATAACGATGTACAAAACTATTTTATGAATATTAGAAAGTATACAGGGTGTTAATAAACTTATGTCAACAATATAAAGGGGTGAAAAAGGAGCAAAAACTGAGTTAACTGATGTTACAAACTTGTTTCAGAAGTTTAGGGTCATAGAGAAAAAAGCTAATTAAAAATGTGTTTAAAACACATTATCGCGGCGAGTGTTTACAAAAAACACCTTTTACGAGGTTGTAGGTTTCTTATGAAGCCGGACTGTATTCGAAAGTCAGCTTGTAATACATTGTTGTAGTGATTGCTGTGCTGTTTTTCGAGAATACATTTAATAGCCGTATTTCGAAGTCTTTTGAAAATGGCGCATTTATTTAGCAATCGCGAATATTATGATATGCTTATAATTTATGGCGAAGCAAACGAAAATTTCCACAGAGATTGTCAAGTTTACCGTGCAAGATATCCTGAACGACGTGCCCCCGCACCGCGAACATTTGTTGCTGTAGCGCAAAGAGTTTTGGACACCGGTGAAGTACAACCGCGACGAAGTCGCGACGGTGGCCCAGGGCGACCACTAAGAGTCTTAAATGTTAAGGAGATGATTTTAGATCTCGTCGAAGAAGATTCGCATCGTAGCACCAAAAATATCGCACAGCAAGTACCTAAATATAATTGTTGTGTGGCAGACATTACGAGAAGCTCAATTGTATCCATTTCATTAATTTCAATGTTGCAACGCGTGCGAGCGAATTGGATATGTCGCGCTGAAGCTTGTGTGCAAGCAAATTGTGGATACATCGCACATCTTCTATGAAAATCAGCAGTTCTCAAAAGGTGGCTCCTTGCAATGTTGACGTAAGTCAGATTTTAAAATTACATTTTACTCAACACATCCGTGTATTTACCTCATTTTGACATAACGAACATATGGCAAGAATATTTGATTTTGTACTCTTGTACTACTTACTCTAAAAAAATAGACATATATATCTTGAAATAAATTTGGTACAGTAAAAATAAAGCGATTTGAATAAAGTTTCCTTAGTACAAGTCTCCTTTTTTAAAAAAATTCTTGTTTTTCAGAAAAAAAAGTTTATTCCATTTTTTCTTAAATAACTCCGTCAATTTTAAAAATATTTCAATCGAAAATGATATTATGAAGTTCTTGAAATAATCTAATATGAATATGAGTTCTAAAACACGTTAAACAAAGATTTGTTTTTTTGTTGCATTTTTTTGTTACTGCGATAAGAAATTGAGGTATTTTTTTTTTAAAAAAAAGGCACACAGACTTATCTTAAAAATATATACCACAATATTTTTTCAATTTCCGATAACATTTCAAGAAAGTAAAATTAAATATTGGACATTATATCAAAAATCAGGTAAGTACCTATTTCTGTTTCTGCAACCAAATATGAAGAAGACCACATTCATTCTAAATAATCCGTGTTAATTAAGCATTAAGGATTTTAGAGATCTTTCATCAATGAAAAGTATGGAAGCAAAATTAAGTAAAGTTTGCATTCTTTTGACGTTTAATGGTAATATTTTTTTAGTTATATTTTAGTTATATATCTATTGTCAACTGCCAGAATCGTTTCACTACTTACCAGATACTGCATTATTTGCCTCAAGAAACGGCATACATTTTTCCGGTGTGTCCTGTAACATATACAGAGGGATTTTATGACGATCTGTAATGGCAATGTGGGTAACCCAGGGGTGTAAGGAATACCCACTTAAAAAAGACCTGTTCAAAATTTGTGGCAATGTCCCCTCTGTATTTTTTCCGGAGGTTTCTGAAATCTTTCAATTAAATTTTAATTTAATAATTATTTTTCTTGTGATTAGGTGTCTCGAAAATCAGCGAAATCTGTAATATTTGTTGAATATTCTAGAATAAGAGTAAAAAGTAAAAAATAAAGTAAATGGGAAAGTGTATTTTTATTTTATATGCTTTATTTTTTATTGATGTAGGAATAATCCATTTTAAATTTTGTTTTCCAACTGTTTTTTACAAATGTGCAGAGGGAATCTTTTTGATGTGATAAGTGAATAAAAATATTCCCAGTAGAACCTGCAAAAACTATAAAAGTACACTAGGGAGTTGTGTCATGGAACCACAGTTAAAATAGGTACGCAAAAGCGATATTGTCTGTAACTATAAAAATAGTAGGTCTAACTTTTTCTAGAATAATATTGAAATTTACAAGTAGATTAAAAAAGTGTCACTAAAATTTGCAAAAGTTAAGGAAAGGATGACAACAAAATGAGATGCATGATTTTTCTCACAGGTTCAATGTATTTTTAGTATATTGTTCGAAATAGTAGAAAAAATATACGTCTCTTCTGGATGACCATAAAAAAATAGGAATATTCTTATTACGGCCCTGGAATTCAGGTATATACCAAAAATGAATAGTTCAAAAGCTATGTCTAAAATAAGTTTTAATAATTCCTTAGAACAGTGAAATTTTGAAAGGCAGTTGCACCAGGAGCAATTATTATTTATATTTGTTTTAAACTGGCGCCTTCGCAATATTTCATAATATTGGTTTTATACACTCATACATCAGGGTTACTAATTATATATTTTTGACAGTTTTGTTTTGTACCAAAAATATTACATTCTGCCATATGTCTATTTAATTTAGATTGATTGTTAAAAAATTGGGATGGTTAAAAAAATTAAATATAGTTGTATTTTGGATCACATTAGAAAGGTAAGTAAAAAATTTTTTGGTAGGATATCACAATAAATGGTACACATTGTTAATATATAATACAATTATTTATCCTCATATACATATGTTTTTCTTAGTTGGCTTCTTGTAATAAACAGGAAATAAAAAAATTATTATTATTATTATTATTGAAGGTTTTGTTTTTTTAATCTATTTCTATAATCCACACTATTAACTATTTATATTTTCCAGACTGATAGGAGAGGTAGTTCTGTTCTAGGAACTTAACTCTAGCAAGTATCTCGTTAACTATCTTGCATGATTCTGCAAGAACTTGCGCAAAATGTACACATTGCAAAAAATGTCTGAGAGTTACTCCGGTAAATTGACTTGGTAGTGTTCACTAGGCTTCAGAATTTTATATAGATTTGAAAATTGTATGTAAACTCCAATAAATAGCAGCTTTGTTTCAAAATTGTGGAATATAACACATAATAGGTTACAAAGTAAATTGTATTATGTTATAATACGTAGAAAGTTGTACTTGAAATAGACAGAGCTTAGATAAATTATTTACATGTATTATATTTTACAATATCTGCTTTTCAATAAAAAGTTTGCATGCATTCGTACGTAAAATACCTTTTCTTCATTCCTCTTGAATTATGAAAAGAACAATCACAATAAAAAAAAAGTTAAATCAATATCGCATAAATAAATAACTATTCAATTGAAGAATTTTTTATTAATTACATTAGAAATCAGTTCCTGTAAACGCCATCGACGGAGTGTATGAGAAATATAAACATTAAAATTATAAACATACTTACCCGTGTCATAAAACCGTCGTCGCTTTCGTACATCAGAGCCTCCCGTGTGGACTTCGGGCTACCACCGAAACTACGACTCTCTGTCGGTTCGTCCGCGAAACCTTTTAATAGCAATAAAAATATTATTACAACTTTAATATACGTCCCACAAATATAACCCAGTATAAACAGACGAGTACACCATTTACACCCAGTTACATATTTTCTTTTGGTACTTTCAGTTGATCTTGATTCTTTGGTATATGAAAAAGTGTGCTTTAGACTTGAATTGTGTGAAAGTTTAGTAACTGTTTTGTTTTAGTTTGTTCAATGATACTGTTGGAATATTCATATAAAGGTTAGTTACGAATAAATTTATGATTTTTGTATGAAAAATCATTTTTGTAACATAATGTAATATGTCGAGAAATTGAATTCCTGTACTTCAAGTAGATTCCTAAACCAATCAGGAGCAATTTGCCTTTGTATAATTTTACTTTCTTAAAAACTTACAATAAATATTCAAAAATTTCTTTAATTCAAATATTTTCGATACTTTAGTTTTTAAGATGTTTCAAGAAAACTTGGTGTGGAGGAATTTTTGAGGTGGCCGAATTTATTCCTTACTTTATAACTAAATCATAGAGGTCGCTAAGAATACTGTGAAAACTCTTTTGTGTTTATTGTCGTATCGTTTAGACCATAGACTTGGAGATGGATGGAATGTAGAGAAAAATAGATAGAATCTAAGATGAAAAGTGAGATGAAAATATCTAATTTCTAGTCACGTGACTTAGGGCATTACCAATCAGGTCAGGGAATTACCAATCAAGTGTGCATTCCACTTTTAAATTACCATATAAGAATCTAGAATTCTAGGTCACGTGACTTATGGCAGTCGATCATAGTACAACCATCTGTCAAATCTATGATTTAAACCATAAATGTCAAGATCCTTTGAAATACAAGCCTTTTGAATGTAGGAGGTACTGGGAAACCCTATTCACAACCAAAATCTTAAGAAAATTTTCATAGGGTTTGATGTTTTTATACAGGGTGTAAGAAGTTTGACTGCCATTACTTCAGCACGAGATAGTGTAATCATAAATGAACAAAAAAGTTGTATATTACAGAGGCGTAAGATTAACAGTTTTCAAAATACAGCGATTATTAATATTGGGGAGTTTCATCACAACGTGACAACAGCGCTTAATCTGCTGATGCACACCACGTGTGCACGCGGCAGACTTGTCCTACGGAAAAAATGTAAACAACTATTATTGTGAAACGATTAATACATTTCAAGACAATTGTCTTCCAGTTTTTAAATAAATAAAATAAAATGTATCGATCGAAGATAGTGTTGTGCTTAAATTTTAGCTGGAACTTTAGTAATTATGAATCTCTTAAAACAGAAACTTAACTCTTAATCAAATTATGTATTTGAAAAATATGTAATTAAAGATTCACGTCGTCCAAATAATCATACGTATAAAAAATAATTTAGGTACTTACCAAAAAACAAAATTCAGTAATTTTTAAACGTACAACACACACAAGTACAAAACAAACTACAACATATACTTAAAATGTCCATCATCATTTCTGATTCACGCACGACACTTTCGAATCCAATTTTCGCGCACTCGCTGGAAAACACCTCAAGAAAAGGAAATAGTGGTACGCAAAAAACACTCCGACAGGGTCGAATCCAGATACCAACTGCCGCCGCGCCGTTGTCACATTGCCCGATATGAATTTTATCGAATTTTAAATTTATTACAACGCTAATTATTTTTTAGAATTAAGCATAAAGAAGAAGAAGAAAAAGTGATAAACATTGTATTTTATGGTATTCTCTGCAGGTTGTTATGTTATGTTATGTTATTCCTTAATTAATCAAACTTTTGTACATCAAGTTGGACATTTTGATAATATTTTTTTAGGAAATGAGTTTAGGACCCATGTCATATAAGATTTTTTTTGTTTATTTTAATGTATTCTATCCTCTGTTAAAATTAAGGCAGTCAAACTTCTAACACCCTGTATAATTAGGTCCTATTATCTATGAAATACGTAGGAATCCACGTATTTTAATTTAATGAGAGTTAAGTAAAATCACTGTAACTTCCACCAAGTTTAATACCTTTGAAATAAAAATATTATGTGGATAAATTTTCGTGTAATTATGATTTTCCTAAATTCATGGAAAGAAAATGTGGAATTCATTGAATAACAAAATGATAAAATTTACCTGAAAAACTGACAGATGGTTTTCGGACTTCTAACTCGAGAGGTTCCTCTGAGTTGTATTCACTTGCTATTTTCTTCAACATAAATTTGGCATAGGCTTGTCTGGCCGTTTTCGGAACTTCAGCTAATCTTGGGTTATACTCTAAAAAAATATATGCAAATAGGTTTTAAACGACAAAAGGTGCGCTAATTCAGTTTTACTGCAGCCATTGCAATTAGTTAAAGTCGCATCCGATTCTAGGAATGTCAAGCAACCTTATAGCCAGTAGGTTAAGTGTTTTAAAAGAATTTTAAACCAGATTGGAAAGAGTACCATCGAGAAAGAAGATTGAAGAACTGCTGTCATTAGGCAGGAATCAATTACGCACGGAGACGTAGATTTTGCAATATGGCAAGAGAAACAACTTATCATGAAATATGTGAAGCATTAGACCACAAAAGGCAGGTTCTTTATAGAGGACCAAAATTGGATCCATAAGACTCAATCAACTCATGGTGAGACTGCATAAATTAGTGCAAGGAACCTGGGTACTAGAATTGGCATCCGAAGACATTGCTATATGGCTCTCGCAAAAAGAAAGTTCTGCCAATTGGAAGAGGAGATCGCACAACCGATATACGTATTGTGCGAATATGAAGGTCCAGAACCCATTTTTTTTGTTTGAATGCAAAGGAGTCACTGCCAAATCTGCTAAGTCTAACTGAAAGGCATTAAAAGACAGAATAAGAATACTGACGGTGGCGGTAGAAAAGAATTTTGTATCTACCCTATATATCTATGACATTCCAAGAATTTTTATCTCGTCGTTCTGCAATACTCCGGTCCTGAGATGTGGTACTTTATAATACTACATATTACCTATTTAATTAAGGAGATAAAATAATAAAAACGTACCTATCAACTTTTGATCGTCTAGTTTTACAGCAGGTTTCGTATTACTTAGAATATACTTCCTCAAACTTTGTCTCTTCTTCTTGACAAACTCCAGTTCCTGAGCTGAGCCTATAGGATCGCTGACTAGCGTGTTCCTCCGCACCAAAGCGTTCCAGTCCTTTTTCTTAGCTCTAAACGTTGCTCGTCTGCCAATTACTTTGGCTATGTGACCAAATACATTTTTCGGTTCATCACTATGAATAGACATTTCTTGCACTAAACCTTCAACTATTCCTATGTGGAAATCTTTTAACAGCCGTCGTTCCATTACCTTTCCCTTTTTGCCAGAGACTGCGTTACACAAAAATAGTCAGATGACGGTGATAAATGTGGATATACTTACCTTGAACGTCTTGAAATTTAATTTTGGGGGTCTTCATGCCGTTTTTATGTAAAATATCTATCAACTCGTAGCGTAAGGTAGATATGTCTTGCCTTATTTCCTTAACGTCATCTTCGCTAATTCCAAATTCATCTCGCTTTCTTTGTTCCGATGTAATGTACCTCCTGACAAGTAACTTCATGACAGTTTCATAGCGTTCTCTGGCTTTCTCTCTTGACTTTTCCTGCAATAATTAGAAACTGATTATACATAGTGGTTCTTAAATTCGTTTCGATAATGAAGGTGATTATTATTTTAGTTATTTCAAGAAATAGACATAGATTACTGAAACTACTGTGCTGCAGTTTCAATTTTAAATACATTGTAATCATCGGTAGTAATACCTTAAAGCTTTTTGTATTGTTCCTGTCTTGACCACATCCGAATAGTTTTAAAAATAGTTTTGGTCTAGGCATGATATTGAATGGCGGGGGAAGGGTGTCGCCATCTTCAAAGTAATTCACCCAAAGCCTACTTCGTGCAAATTTCCATTCAGTATCTGACCTTTCCTGGAATAATAATACAGTGTATTCCAACTTTGGGCATCATCATCTTCGTATTTTAGAACTCAGGCACATTTGTATTTTTTTCAGTCTCTTCAATATAAAGATGTAGATACTTACGGAAATGATTTGATACGAATTTGACATCATGGCAATCAGCATATTCAGAAGGACAATTATGTTTATGACTGAATATGATCCAAACATGAGAAGAGCCCAAAACCTCGTGAAACCTTTGATACCTGTTAGTTCGAAAGACATCAGATCCACTAACCCAAAACTTGCCCAAAACAGCGATTGCGAGGTTTCAAACAAACTAGAATAAACGTGAGCAATTGGATATATCTTAATTTCACTACGATAAATGAGAAAAGGTGATGAAAGGTGAACATTGCAATAAAAATTGTTTTAGATAAGATATCGTATTTTAACGATTGTTCTTGACCAATGACTTTTACATAATGTTTTTCAGTGATAGTAGTGCTCTTAGAAAAAACTTGTTACCCTTGTTTGTTTTTCCAAGATAAATTAGTCTTGAAAGTGTGTCGATATTATAGTGAAAAAGATATGAACTCACTTGGCATATCTCCTCCAGATGGTACATGCTTTGTCATTATTATCATAATCGGGCAGTCCACTAGGCAAATGATAACACTTGTTTTTTTCTAATTCAGCGTAATACCACAACAATTGATTGAGGCCTAAAAAAACGAAGTACTACATTTGAAATATTTTCTCCCCATTTTATATCTGAAATCACATGACAATATTTTTCTCTAACAAGTAGGTAGTCATAAATTAAGACTACAAATTTTTTAACTACAATTACTTTTACCTTAGATTGTAAATATACCTATATCAATTGCATTTTTTAAAGTTATAATAGAATTATTCATAATTGGAGGATATAAATGAAATAAATGAACGTTTCCTGCATTTAATAAGCAAACAATGTTTAAATATTTAGCCTATTACATTATATGAATCTACAGAAATAAATGATTTAATGAGACAACTTATTTACTTACCGCATCCAAAGGCAAACAGAACAAGTGTGTAAATAAAGAAAAACTTGACGATGTCGATAATCATTCTTCCAAGCGATATCTGAAGTGGTCCTAAGTGAGGATTTACGCTGAATATGTGGACTAGTTTCAGAAAGCTGAAAACATACTGGGTGTAATGGTTACAAATTGTAATTGCTAAGATTGTATTGACAGATAGGTATAACTAAAAACATGTATGCATAAATAGATCATCCAATCGCAGGGACATTTTCTAATTGACTTTTGTTCATAAAGTTTTGCGTTATCAGATACTTTCATTTTCTAAATGTTGCAACTTAATGTAAATTCATTATGAAATATTTTACTTTTTTATACCAAACAAAAAATTTGAATGCTTTGGTAGTTTTTGATTTGATTGAAGCAAACTGTGGTATAAAAATTATATTAAAAGATATTAAGTGTCTCTTCGTTCGAAAGGATTTAAAAATATTGTGATGAAGTAATATTGAGTGATATTATTTTTGTATGTGAAGAAAAAAATAATGAAAATGATCAGATACAATTGTATTTGCCTGTCCAAACATTTCTTTGTTTAATTATTATTCTTTATTTCTTTTATTCCAAGATAATCTCATAAAGAAAAGCTTCTGGGATTTACATCAGGTGGCCATTCCTTTTTTAATTAAAGAAATTCATCATTCGGGGTAAATTATTATTTACCAAAATTCCTCAAAAACTGAGTTGTTGAATTTTAATGATTTATATAATTGAGATAACTTAAACAATTATTTTCGCAATATTACAAGAAGTCGAAGAGTAAATACTACAAAGGATTAGATTTGAATGACGTTTACCTAATCTCCCCTAGAAGAATATTTCACACAATTGACTGAAAACTAATACTATTTACCAGGTAAAGGATAAACTTGCGTTTATTGTGAAAACACACCCCGTTACTCAGTTATTAATTTCCCACCCTTATTTGAGAATGATTCAATAGTGGCGTGTCATTTAGCACATCGTGGCATAAAAGTTAGTCCACTGTCGGTACATCCATAGCGTGTCATTAGCATTATAATTAGGAAGTTCATTAAATACGGCTTACTTTCATTTTGTGCATTTGAGCCATGAAAATGCCGTTGAAGAGAATTTGTGGTAGATGTGGCTATGACTCGGTGTACTGTTAAGGTAAAGTATTTGATATTTTCTATTATTTCAGTTCCCGTTTGTAAAATACTACTAATCTATTGCACAGGTTATTACAGTAAACGGGTATCCTTTTCATATTAAAGCGTAAAGTAAATACTAGTATTTTAATTTCAGCTGCAGGAACTACGTATTCTTAAGTAACAAAGCATCTCTATGCTTTGTTACTTAAGAATACGTAGTTCCTGCAGCAGCAGTTCCTGCACAAGCAGAGGCTTGTGGTACGTGTTTTAAGATCTGTACTGATTCACGTAAAAATGTATTTATTCATCATAAACAAATAATTATGTTCTAATTGCTGTTATATGTAACACTTTATTATAACTTTGAAGGTGTGGACAACTTTTTGAATATTTAATATTTGTCGTGCTGTGCTGTTTAAAAGTATCGAATTTACCACTTACAGCTTAATTAATCATGTCTAGTAAACAATTAATCTTTCCCCTGGTGAATAAAATGAATATTATCACCTCCAAACAAGGTACTCTAGTTGAATAGAAAACAAAAACGTTTTTATCATATGTATAAAAGTTATTATATTTTAAGCTTAAAACAAAACTGGAATTGGTAAATAAATTTTCATAAATGCCATTAAAACCGCTTAATTATTAAATTTAATTAGCTACATATTTTTTTATTTTTTCAAAGGACAACAAATTTTCTAGAATAACATATTTTCTAGGATAGCAAACTTCCGGTAGTAAACATTAAAGAACAGCCTGAGACTGAAACGTACTTAAATTTTAATAAATATTTCTAAATATTTCGATAAGTGGAAACACTGATATAAACATAGCATACTGGAAATAATTTTTGAGGTTTGTGATTGATTTTACTTTACTCTAGACATAAATATATTACGACTTTCAAATAGCTATACGGCTGCCTGCCACAGCGGATTCTGAATTATTATTTATAGAAAATTGGTACGTTTTCTAATAATCAAACAGACAGAATTATACATGTAGTGCAAGTCAACAGGAAGGCGATATATCGAGTGAGTGAAAAAAAATGTAAAAATATGTTTATTTTATTCAGGCATATTGTGAGTGCAGTTGTAGTTTCTAAAGCTTTATTAAAATAACCATAAAGACTAACATTGGTGGCACTATTCTACCAATTTCATCTGGTAAGTGAGATGGGCAACGTGAGAGAGTAGGGGTGGTGTGGAAATTAAAGTACAAAGTACAAATTAATGAGAGAGAGAAAGCGAAAATGTGTAAAACCCTTAAAACCTATTACCTTTAAATGCATTAAACACAAGTTATTTACATAAACAATATAAACATATATTCATTTAGTCACTATTTTTTACAACCTTCCATTACTTTTTGCGAAAATAAACAGCGTTCACTTTATGAACACCGAAATGAAATGAACCACGGGGTTCCCCTTCTATATTTTGGTTTCAATTTTTTCACATTGAATGCCATTTTATATACCTATGTATCGTGCCCACATAACCTCGTTTCAATAATTTTTTTTGTTCAAAAGATATGGAGAGATATAGCATTTTTATAAAAACTTCAACACTCATATCTCAAAACTTCAAGATCAAAGATTTATGTAAGAAAACACTCTTAAATTTTAACGAGAAAAACATTTTCTCATTTTCGACTCATTGTAGTGTTACATCTTTTATATAAAAGAAAAAAATGTTGGCATTATATATTCAAAATTTGTTCAAATATCGAAATTACGTAGGTACCTCATCATTTTGATTTTGCTTTTACACAAATTCTGACATAAGCAAATGAAATTGATATTTTTTTAATTCGTTAAGAATAAGTAAGAGATTTACATGTATTTTATTTGTAGTTAAATAAATAAACATTAAATCAATCCGGCCAAGTATCACCCTGTTCTGTATCTAATGATTATGTGATTGAAAAAACGTTTTGCTATACGTATATAAACTTTTATGCCTCAACACCTACACAGAGTTTTTGTTGAATTGTGAGATTGTTTGTATAAAATTATAAAAATATCTCTATCCCGATAATTAAAACTAAATCGTCGATTTCTTTAGTAGTACAAAGACGATGCTCAAACATCGTAGTTATGGTTTCGCAAAATATTTCGGTAACTTTTCTCCTACCTAAATATCATTCCAGCAGCAAAGGCTCCTTCTGCTAATAACATGGGTTCAAAAGTGTCCCATTCCTCTCTTGGGTACCAGGTATGTTTTCCAAGCATTTCGTCTCTCTGAAATATTTATTTATTATTTGTCAATGTCTTCTACTTCTAAATAATATTTTAACAACAAATCTTTAATATTTGATAAAACATTTGCGAGTTTGTCGCCACAGAAGTAACAGACATTGTATTAATTAGTGTTTATTAAAATTATGGCAATTAAAAATACAGTTCTTCCGAAATATGATTCCTGAAATGATTTTTTTATAATTTATTTTTTATAAATTTTTATAATCTTGACTCTTGCAAATTTTACTGAAAACTAATTTCTCACCAAACTTACATTTGTGCTCATTTGCCGAATATTATTGACAATTCTTATAGCACTTATTATACAGAATGACGATGCAAAGCAGCTGCGTGTAAGGATATCAATTTATTTCGTTTAGCCGCTAGATGGTGTTAAATTGGCAAAAAAATGAGCAGTAATTCTTACCCAAGTTATATAAAATGTCGACAATCTTAAAGCAAGCCACATGACGTAGAAGAAATTCGTTATAAAATCCACAATGTTCCATAAATCCGAAACGTACTCGAATATACCATCGCACCAAAGTGCTCTTATTTCGCTCCAAATCAAACCTGAAATTGACTGAGTTTACAAACAGCGCTATTGAAAGTGAGGTCGTAACTTACTGATTACATATACTATTACTCCACATTCTGCTATGCCAAAAAGTGCGCCTCTTTCCTTTCTCTTCCATTCCTTCACCATATCTTGAACCCAACTGGTGCCAAACCACTCCAAAAATAATATTTCGACCCTTTGAGATGCCGCACCAAGTAAAGCTATAATTTTTTTGAGTATTAAAGGAAATTATTTTAAGAAAAGGTTTTATCTATTGGAAATAAAGTAAGTATTGGTATTAGGAGGTAATTCCTAAGTAGAGTCACATTCTTTAACATAGTAAGGTATGAATCAAAATTTTATGAGAAATATTTTGGTTATGAACGAAGTTACATTTTAAAAACTTTCGCAGTACTCATATTTGGTAATTTGGAAATACCTCTGCTTATGAGCATACAAATTTTCAAGGTAATTTTTCAGTGAATTTGTGTTATTGTCAATGGTATTTTTGTTGGGCCTTTTATTTTGCCAGATTGTTTAACGCTATCTACGATTTTTGAAAAATCCTCTTCCGCGTCTTCTAGATGTGCTTCTGAACAGTAGAGAGAACCAGTGGTTCTTACAAGATGGGGCTCCAATCTGAAGTGCAAGAGCTCTTAAATATTACTTTCACTAATAAATAAATAGGTCGTAGAGAGCAGTTGCATGGCCATCTAGGTCACCTGATCTTAAACCTAGTGATTATTTTATATGGGGTCAGATGAAAAACTTAGGGAAGGGAAGAAATACTCAAGACAGAACAGGACTAAATGTTTTCGAAATGAATATTAAGTTCTTTATTTTTAAGTTTCTTGAAAAGTGGTATTTGGAACAAATGTCTATTTTAACGTTTTACACGTCATAAATATACGACTCTATTTAGGAATCACCCTGTATATAAAACATGAATACAATATCGCAAATTACCAACAGAGTCCTTGCTTAAGTTTTTGTAACATCGTACAGATTTACTTACTTAGAAACAGGGCGTATGAGGAAGAATGGCAAATAAATTTAACGAAAGGCTTTTTCATAAACATTCCCATCTTTGACTTGGGCGCTAGCATGTAGATGGTGCAGTACATCGGAAACATTATACCCAGCCTAACTACTTGAAGACACTGGCCAATTATGCGTTTTCTTCTGAATCCCGGAAGTCCCTCGTACCAAATCGTGGCCAAAAGTTGCTGAACATTGGGATGCGCGATAAACTAAAATGTATCAAAAATAATTCTGATTTGGTTTTATCTCGAACAACTCTTCGCCAAATTTTATTATGTGTTTTATACAAGGAAAATAATATATAAATAATGATAAAGAAAATATATAATAAGAAAATATTTCGTAAATGATATGGTTCAATGGTACTATTATTATAAGTTGGTATTACATTATGTCTTTCTTATTTATACTTATTCCAAGATGTTAACTATAAAAATTGAAGACACAACTACTTACTGCCTTTTGCTTATATTTTATAGCTAATTTTAGTCTCTCCAAAGTTTGCCTTTCTCCTATTACCCAAGCCTCTCCTGTAGGTTCATAATTCAGCATTATCTCCAATTCGTATGACGTTCTAGCATGATCCAGCAAAGAAGTGGCAAACGTTTGCACTTGCTTCCTCATAATCTAAATCAACAGGTGCCTATTTTATATTTGTTTTTGTTCCAGTACTTGTTATAATTATTTTGTACTTGGTTTCAAAATATCCTAAACATTAATAGTAATACTTAATTATTAAAATTTTCTTACATTATATTCCGCTCTAAATTCCGTCTCCATCCTACTCAGTCTTCTTAGATCCCATGATAACTCAAAGGCGGTTAGAACAGGATCGCTTGAAGACAGAGAAATTAGCGAAGGGGAAGATAAGGCCTTATAAGCGTTTATTCTTGCTTGTGAGTGCCTCAGGGAATCTTCTTTACTAGACCATACACATTCATCGCATCCACATCTGAAATTTTAAGGTAATCATTTGAAAGAAATTCTTCTGATGGTGCAGCTACATTCTACGTTATTGTTATTCATACTAACTGCAAAGTAAAAACCGTGTACCTAACGTCATGAGGCATAGGTAAAGTTGCTCCTCGATCCAAAAGAAGTTTAATAATTTCATAATTGTTTTTATGTGCTGCCAAAATAAGTGGAGTAATGTCTGCTGTAAACGACGCCGAGGCTCGATCGACCGTTTCCCAACTCTAAAATAGTTAAGTTAATAACACAGACCTCAATTTGTAGAAAATGTCCACTTACGTATGGCTCTCCTTCTGTATGTTTCTCTTCCTCCCAGTTTAGTAAAACTTCGACAGCCTCAACATATTCTTCTTTGATGGCATGTAGCACACCATCCTATAATTACACAAAATGAATCTATCTATATAATCTAGAGATATTTTTTCGTTTTTTGTCTTACTTTTACGTTGATGTTTTTCTCTAGGAGTAACTTAATTAAGTCAATATTTTCATTTTCAATGGCTGCTATTAGTGCGGATCTGTTTAAAGGATCAACACAGTTTATATCAAATTCTGCAAGGTTATTTTTGTATTCTTCTATTATCCTGAAATATATCTGGGTATAACATTGGAAAGTAAATAAAGAACATAAATAAAAAAATACGAATCGCCCAGCTTCTGTCAAACTAAAAAAAAATACTTTTCTCGTGGAAAAAAATGATATTACCTCGATACAGTAGCACAGTCCCCTCTCTCTGCATGAAGAAGAAAAGTCTTCTCAATCGAAGACAATGGCCTATCCAAAGGGTCACTTGACACCGGTACACTTCCAAATTCATCTTTGCTTTCTCCAACCAAATATTCCTGAGATTCTGACACCGTTTTCATCACTCACATTATTTTGTTCATGTATTAAGTTCCAATTCGATATCTCACGAAACTGAAATGAGGTATAATGATTAGTTATACGACGAAATCCTCTAACTTCCATATAAATCGATCAATTTTCCTTAATTTAATTAAACGTATGAATAACACTTATGCCGGTCATGTAATTCCTCAAATCGGTGGATTAAATTTGTCTTCTGTGATTTGTACAGTGGTGTAACAACATATGATAAAACCAAAGTAGGTCGTTGTTAATATTAATTAAATTAATAATAACTATAGATTATGCCCATAATTAAATTTTTACCTTAATTTCTTTCCTTATATATACCTTTTCCTGAAAATTGATAATAAAGAAAATATACGAAGACACCTGTTTAAAAGGATATGATAGAACGTTTTTAGCGATAACTCTTTAACGATATCATAAACATACTGTAAATTAAGACTAAGGCAATCATTAATTAAAATTTCGTGCATAAGCTGACATTTTGTTTGATCCCCAACTTTTTTATTGATCCAAAAATTTGTTTAGTTTCAATAAATCATTTCCAATGTTCCGATTGTGACTCATTTACAAGTTTATGAACTCCAGAAAGCACTGTTTCGCTTTTATTATCAAATATTTAGAAATGTAAAAAAGAGGAAACTAAGGTGAAATAGCTTTCGATAATTTACCGGGCATAGCTTTCCCAGTTTTTAATTCAGCCTTTCGCCCTTGTACATTGTAAACAACTATTTATAATAAGTCCAGACATATTTCTATATCTACAAAGAACCTCATTAAGGGGGTAAACTAATTTATTATTGAATAGCAGTTTTTAAAGCAATTTTCTTAGCTTTTACATAAGGTGTGGCCGCTAATGGCTGTGTAAGTGACCTGTCGTTTTCTTGTAAATTAAACCTAATTTAATTAAATTAAAGTTAATGCAATAATACTGATCTCCATACTACGTACGAGGACATTCCAAAAAGTAACTGCAGATTGACATATCGTCGTCAAGGAAGGGCAAATTATATGAAAGTGCTTTTTGGATAATATGCTGATATTATGGTCTCGTATAATAGTACTTACAAATCTCTCCAATCAAGAACAAATTTTTATCTTCGTCTTGAACTGGAATGGTTGACTCACTTGTTTGTAGAATTTTTTAACAGTCGCACCCCACTTACTTTTAATTCTTCTGCTACCAATACTAACGTGGGATTGTAATCTGCCGCGATTTTTGTGTTACGTAATTACAATTCTATTTGTAACTCCCAGCAATATGTTTAATTGTAGCGTGTAAGATTTACATTCTGTTTTTAGAAATACCAGTGATTTATGAGTAATATTTAAGGGAATAGTTGTACATTTCTTGTATTATTCTACCTTTAATAGGTAGTTAATATCCCTCATTATTTGTGAATTTTAAACCGGTACACATGTTTTATTAAGTATGTCATTTTTTATAATTTTCTGATCTTGTCTTTTTAAATAACTTAAAAGAAAATATAATGGTATGAATTTGCTATAATTTATACTTTTTATAATTAATTATATGGTGAGGCATCTTATTTCGTGAAATATGAAGTACTTAGCCTAGTATTAAGTTCATAAATTAGTTTTATTTAATATTGATTTGTAAATACCCAGGCGAGCCACTAATCTAATAAAGCAACTAATGCAATTATGTTCAACAAGGCTTGTTGGAAAGAGTTACACCTTGCACTTTTAGTTTCTCAGTAGCAATGTACACTTAGGTTTCTCTATTTCATTTCTTCTTTAATTTCCATTCTAGGTTTAAGTTACTTGTACATTTTTCAAAATGGAGGACGACGTGAGTAGTCCGATTGTATTAGATAACTGTATCACAAACATTTTTTCAGGTTGATATAGAAGCTCCGGTTACTCGAAAATCATTGATAATGCCTAAACTACCAAATATACTGACTCTTGAAGAGAAGAGATACCTGCTAGCCGTTGAAAGAGGTGATTTGGCCAACGTTAGAAGGTAAATATAGTTCATTAAGTCATAATAGACACACCATTTCAAGAAATGTACATAGAGCATGCTTGTTTTGTCATCAAAATATTATTTTTTAACATATTTAAAATAAAAAACTTTTTTAGCTCTTAGTTTTGCCATTAAACAATCAATTCAAGAGAATATTTTCTGATGCATCCTATAAACGTGTCTCAAATTCTTTCGTTTCTAAAGTACATAGCATTCAAATTTAGATTTTAAATCTCGGGAATACTGTCTCCATATTAAAAGGGCCACTATGCAAGATTGAACAAAATATATTTCTTGGCTATATATTTAAAATGTATCTGTCGCTGATTACGAGCATGTACGACAAATACACCGTTTTAAAAAAAATTTAGACAATATACGAGTTAAAACCTAGAAAAATAATTATAATAATATTTGTAATTTCGTTGCATAAAGGTATATTAAAGAGATATTTTGCAGAATGCTTCAAAAAGCCCATAGAAAGAAAACATCCATCAACATTAACTGCATGGATAGTCTAGGAAGGGGAGGTCTGACTATAGCAATCGATCAAGAGAACCTAGAGATGGTAGAACTGCTGGTCATTATGGGTGTAGAAACGAGAGACTCTCTGCTGCATGCTATTAACGTGGAATTTGTGGAAGCCGTAGAGCTTTTGCTTGAACACGAGGAATTAATTCATAAGGAAGGAGAGCCTTACGTAAGGAATCTTCCATTAACAAAATTATTGAATTGTAAACGTATTGTTTGCAGAGCTGGCAGAAAGTCGATATAAATACGGCCATGTTCACGCCAGATTTAACACCACTGATTTTGGCTGCGCATAGGAACAATTACGAAATTTTAAAGATATTGCTGGATAGAGGCGCCACAGTTCCAATGCCTCATGATATCAAGTAAGTTGATAAGAGATAGAAACAGTTGTTATTAAAGATTAAACTACAGATCCCAGGTTTAAAGTGTCAAGTTTTTTAGGACATGAGCACACTCAGCTCACTACGAAATACCCCCATACTTAAACCCTTTAACTTTAACAATTTCTGAGATACAATTCGATTTATTTCGTCTTTGTTTGAAACTGTAATTAGCTTTAAGTTTAAAACCGCTACATATGTGTTGGCTTTTTTAACTTTGTTTTTGGTGTCGAAAATATCACTCTGTATATCACTTTCTGACAAATGTTAGTAAACATTTATCTTGATTACATTTAGATGTTTACAGGTTTCTTATAGATAATTATTATTCCGCAATGAATACTAGAAAGTATACAGGGTGTTACTGAATTTATGTCAAAAATTTAAGAGGGTGAAAAAGGAGCAAAAACTGAGTTAACAGATATCACAAACCTATATCGGAAGTTAAAGGTTATAGAGAAAAAAGCTAATAAAAAATGTACTTAAAACTGTATTGGAATTGCTGAAATACGTGTATTTTATCGCGGTGAGTACTTACAAAAATTCTGTAACACTTTTTACAAATTTATTATGAAGCCAGACTGTATTCGAAAGTCAGTTTGTAATACATTGTTGTAGTGATTGCTGTGCTGTTTTTCGAGAGTACATTTAATGGCCGTATTTCCAAGTTTTCTTTTGAAGATAGCGCATTTATTTAGCAATCGCAAATATTATGATATGCTCATAATTTATGGCGAAGCAAACGAAAATGCCCACAGAGCTTGTCAAGTGTACCATGCAAGATATCCTGAACGACGTGCCCCCGCACCGCGAACATTTGTTGCTGTAGCGCAAAGAGTTTTGGACACCGGTGAAGTCATTACTTCGAAAATTTTTAATCTCTTCATGGCTCTTATTTAATATTTTTAATAGTTGTAATTGTTTCTAACAATATTCGCTATCTCAAGAATATAAAACCGATTTTTTTCAGTTTTACAATTGATAAAAATAAAGAACTGTATTTTCCTAGGACTGTATATTGGGACAAGAGATTTATTTTATATCGGATGGTATCGATTCGCCAAAAATATCTTATTCTCTAAATATTGCAATATCAAAAATAAACTTTAAAAACATATGTTATACTTTTTATTATTCAAGTGGAACAATTTATGTGCCAAGATATTCGTATAAATTAAATAATTTACTTTAAATAATGGGGTATTAAACTAGTCCAATATAATTATTGATTGTAACATTTTTATGAAGATGTAGTGTACTCCAAATTAAAATTAATGTACTTTTGACTGCTTCCTTGCTAATTTTAATATACATTTAAGAAAATATGAATACAATGTATTAATGGGTAGCTTCTTTCATCTTGTCTAAGTTATTCTATCTGCTCTATTCCAGATGTGGCTGTGACGAATGTATAAAACAGTCCGAGGAAGACTATTTAAGACATTCGCTTTCCAGACTGAATGAATACAAAGCCTTAGCAAGTCCGTCCTTAATGGCTCTGTCCTCTAGTGATCCGTTACTAACAGCCTTTCAGTTGTCTTGGGAGCTACGTGGGTTGGCTTTTGCAGAACCTGTAAGTGTGTTAAAAAAAAAACAAAATAAAAATGTATATAGAGGGTGACCCAATGCAAGATGAGTACCCATATCTGAATAACGACATAAACACCCAGTAAATTCTAAAACAAGTCAAAAACTAAATTTATTTCATTTTCACAAAACTGTGGGAGATGCCACTGTAAAAAGAATTCTAGTTCTAATGTAAAGGTGGCCATCCCATTTAAGAAAATGGTATACCCTGTAAACATTATTATTTGTTATTTAATTATGCTCTTGCTAAATTATACTCTTGCTAGTTGCTAAAATGTTACGAATCAAATCACACTGTTGAACTTGTACTTTTATATATTGTACCTTTTCAACATCTAATTGTATTAATGTAATTGTTTCTACAGGAGTGCAAATCAGAATATATGGATTTGCGCCTTCAATGTCAACAATTTGCAGTAGATTTACTGCATCAATCGAGAAGTTCTCAAGAATTAGCCATAATTCTCAATCATGATCCTGAAAGTCCTCCATATGAGGAAGGAGAACACATGAAATTGGCTAGATTGGAGCTTGCCATCCAATATAAACAAAAAAAGGTATGTTTATTAAAACTGTTCGTTACAGACATTTTTCACCGATGTTTCAGTTTGTAGCGCATCCCAACATTCAACAATTATTAGCAGCTATTTGGTACGAAGGTGTCCCAGGCTTCAGGAGGAAATCTTCCAGTGAAAAAATCATGATCATAGTGAGGGTTGCCCTTCTTTTTCCTTTCTACTGCATGTTGTACTTGTTCTTCCCCGAGACTAAGAGCGGAAAACTGATGAGGAAGCCGTTCATGAAATTCTTGATACACGCCTCATCCTATTTGTTTTTTCTACGTAAATATTTCCAAATATAAATTAGATTCGTTCGGTCTAACATTTACACTTGTAGTTTTGCTGATTTTGGTATCGTTAAGGGCCGACGACTTAGTCTTTGAATATTTTGGATCAGAATCTATGAAGACCTATGTGATAGAGAAGTATGACAGGCAAAGGGGAAATCCTCCGACCATTTTGGAATATGCTGTATTACTATACGTTGTGGGTAAGAGCAAAAGTTAAAAATACATGAATTATGGTAAACTCCTCATAAATTCGATTTAATGAATTGTAGGCTTCATTTTTGAAGAAACGCAGGAAATTTTTATCGAAGGCATACAGTCATATCTAAGAAATTTATGGAACTTCATAGATTTCACTAGAAATGTTCTATACACAGCAGTCTTCATCCTACGTGTAGCATCTTATCTTCAACAGGCTACTGAAATTCGAAATGATCCTTCCACTGCTTACATAAGAAGAGAAGAATGGTACGCTTTTGATCCCCAGCTCATCGCTGAAGGTCTTTTCGCTGCTGCTAATATCTTTAGGTAAAAATTTCATAATATAAAGATATAGTCACCCTCGTAGTCAGCCTTGGTTAATAGTTACCTTTTCAATTAAGTTTTATTCTTGTAATCATTTAAATTTTAGACTTGTTTGGTTCTGAATTTGAACTGCTCTAGATAGTCACATTCTTTAATGTATTCTTAGCATGAATTCTTTTGAGAAAATCTGAATTAAAAAATGTGTTAGCTCATTACATATACATACTTGTAATGAGGTGGTCAAGATTTGGTTAAGATTTCACTTCTCAGTTTATCTGTCCATCATGATGAAGTGCTACCATTGGTTTTACTCAAGACAGACTGGCTCGTAATAGTTTTCATCAAGATGATGCCAGGCCACATATAGCAACAGTAGCACCTGACTACGTTGAGCATGCTGCAATCAATCTCTTGACATGTTAACCTATCTACTAACTATATCGAAAATGTTTTAAATATTATCAATAGGAGACTGTAAAAATTTAGCATATCTTGAGTTTGGCTATTCTTCTTCTCTCAGTGGCCTGTGCAAAGAACAGAATATTGATTACCTCATCACAGGTATGGATAGATGGATAATTCATACTGTGATTGTCACATTCATTTGAATCTAAATCAGTTACTAACCTTTTAATTAATACACGGTGCCTTTTAAGTTCTTGTATTTTGTTTGGTTGAATTAAATAATCCTGCTTTTGTTTTGTTACATACCAAGATTGTTTCAGTTTATTACATTTAAAATATATGATTATTATTTTTGTTGAAATTTTTTTCAGCGCTCTAAAGCTGGTTCATCTTTTTTCCATAAATCCTCATCTGGGACCACTGCAAATATCACTGGGACGCATGGTCATCGATATCGTCAAGTTCTTTTTCATTTATACGTTAGTTCTGTTTGCTTTTGCATGTGGTAAGAAAATATAAAATGTCACCCTAAAGTTGCAAGGTTAGCGATTAGTTTCGGCTAATGCATCATGTTATGTAAATCATCAAATATAATGCATCATGCTATTTAAAAATGCTTTTTTGCTGATTTATGTTGTAACATAAATATCTAACTTTAAATAGTGATAAAATAGGATTCCCCTGACACTCTCAGAACATAATAATTAACCGAGTTATACGTATAATCTGATTAGTTTTTTAAATTGATACTTTGTAATTCATTTTTTTAGACTAGTTGATTTTGTTTCAAATTTGGGAAACTTATAACAGCATCTGTGAATGAAGAATCCTAAAAATTCTAGTGGATTTAAATATTTATAGGGCATAACTTTTGTTTGAGGTTTTTCAAAAAGTAAAAGCAATTATTATTAAAGATTAGTAAAAAAAATATTTCAAAATTTTTAATTTAAGAGTGTTTGTTTGATATATTAAAAAGAATAAATAAATTTCCTCAAATTCCAAAAAACAAAGATTGTAAATACCTTTCTCTTTAGACACAAAAGCAGTATTTTGAAATACGTTATTACAAGGGGTAGAAAAAATTATCACCTAGAAACAATTGCCTGTACGTTGATTAGTAGTGTATAACCTTTTTCTGTATTTAATTTATCGAATTTAATTGCAATTCGTTATTTATTTATGTTTTATGAAATGTTTTGCAACAAAAAACTAATTTTGTGAGAGCTAATAATTGAAGATTAATGGAAAATCTTGAGATGGAATCAATCTTGATATTTGAGGTGACAGGCATTCTTTTCAATTATCTCGTTAAAAAGCGTTTACTATTTCTAAAGTACTAGGTAAACATATAGGTACTTAGAGTTTTGACAGTTATTATTAACATATAATTAGAAAACTTAGAAAGAAAAAAAAGTGTATAGTAGTGTACGAAACATTTTTTAACAGGTCTAAATCAACTACTGTGGTACTTTTCCGATTTGGAAAAGAAAAAGTGCTACCACTTGCCTAACGGCGAGCCCGATTTCGACAACGCCGGAGACGCTTGCATGAAATGGAGAAGATTTGCTAAGTAAAAAGTCTTTACTAGATTTCAGCGACGATTAAACTTTTTTTCTTGATTACAGTGTGTTTGAATCGTCGCAATCACTATTTTGGGCCAGTTTTGGTATGGTGGACTTGACAAGTTTTGAACTGACGGGCATTAAAACCTACACTCGGTTTTGGGGCCTTTTGATGTTTGGATCGTATTCCGTGATCAATGTGATCGTTCTGCTGAACCTGCTCATTGCTATGATGTCTAATTCATATGCAATGATAGATGTAAGTCCTTTGCATGTTTGTTACAATAACAGGAACACATTACTGATATAATTGAAACTATATATATATCTGCCAAAAATATATTTATTACTACTAATGAGGACTAATATTGTGATTCTGCTGACTAATGATGTCTGATATTGATATTAGGGGTATAATTCAATATTGAACGGGACTGTAGCCCGCAGAGTAGTTATTTTACACATTTTAACTTCTCATAAAGATTTAAAGATATAGAACTGGAAATAAAAAGGCCCTTAAATGAATGTTGTCATTAGTTATTGATTTTCACCAAAAAAATACGAAATTAATTGTTAATCGTTACTTGAATCGAGTTTAGGAACATTCAGACACTGAATGGAAATTCGCAAGGACAAAACTGTGGATGAGTTACTTTGAAGAAACTGGAACCTTACCCCCACCTTTCAATATCTTTCCAAAACCAAAAAATTTTTTCAAACTATTAGGCTTGAGGAAAAAGGATAAATTGAAGAGAATGTCCACCAAGGTAACCTTAAAATAAGTCACATATCGTATTTAACAAAATGGACATTTTGTTCTTTGTTTGTTTTCAGAGGAGAAACAGGGAAGAGAAGGAAAGAGACTTTAGGTATACAGCTGTAATGAGAGCTCTAGTATGGAGATACGTATCGGCCATGCACAGGAAATGTGAAGAAGCCATCGTTACCGAAGACGACATGAATGAAGTCAAAGGTGATATTTCTTCGTTCCGGTACGAAATTTTAGACGTTCTGGGAAAAAATGGTATGGATATATCATCAGCTGAGAGAAAAGAAAAAGGTAACTTATCTAGTAAAGGTAACAGAACTTACAAAAAGTTCCTATAAGTATGATTCTGAGACATAGGGTGTTAAAGTTGCTAAAACCAAAGGTTTGTACTTAACCATAGGATACAAATTCTTCGAGAATAACTTATCACCAAATTAAGAATTAGTCAAATTAAATTAGTGATCTCTATAACATGTCTAAAATGTTTAATATTCATACAGCTGTTCTTGGAAAAAAAATGAAAGTATGGGAAAGACGATTAATGAAAGACTTCAAAGTAGCTCCCGTTGCTTCAGAGGAAGACGAAGAATTGTTTGCTCCACCTCCAGAAAACGAAGACTCATTAGCAAAGTATGTATTTATGTATTTAATGCATTCGTGACAAATAGTAATAAAGATGAAATATCATATATGGAAATAAATAATTTTGAGAAAGTATATATTATACAGTGCGTTCCGTTTGAAAAACGAAAAAAACGAATTTTGATACAAATGACATTATATTTTCATGTTAAGATACGAAAATTGCATTAGTGTGGTAAAACAAGTTACTGTTGTCATTATAACCAGGACAACTCATTTCTAAAGTTCTCACGACCCACGATTGATTGTACTCAAAATTTAAGTGATTTAAATACTTAAACTACATAACACTTAACATAGTTTAGATATCTTCTATAATTTTCGAGACAGCGGTCTAGGGAGTTTGTAAACGAACACTCGGTAGACCAAACACAGAATTCTTAATTGAATGATAAAATAGTCGAAAATATTTGTTTAAATTTGATAATTAAAAAAGAGACAATTTGCTTCATATTTATTGTACTTTAAGATTCCGAAGAATAGCAAAACTGGCGGTGCTTGATTCGGGTATAAATAAATGGCGTCAGGTAGTAAAAGGGGCTCAAATTGCGTAAGTATTACAAGTTAAGTAGGTACTTAAACGCATGTAGATATCTATTTACACGGAGGCATTTGACTGTATAGGTAAGCTAGGACAGAATATGTGGTACAGCAATCTATAGAGTAGAATATAGATACTATATATTAAAATTCTAACTTTTGTAGGATAAATTTAAGACATTGTATACAGGATGATTCAGAACTTAACAAAACAAAAAAAAATTTGGATGTACAGAGGACTCTTACAAAAACAATTTTGTAGAGAAAAAATCAAAAAGGACAGTTCGAAAATGATTCTGCACGGCACTGGAAACTGGTCCACTGTAAAACCTGCACAATGCGACCGGGTCCGTTTTACTCAGTTTCTATGAACTAACACAAATGTTGTCTTGACACTAACTACTAAAAAACGATTGTAAACACTATCATAACAACGATTATAAAATCGGATTTCAGATTCGGAGTCACTGAGGCCACGTGGCTCTCCGCGCGTATTGCGAATGAGACTAGAGACTACAGTTGTCCAACTATGTAATGGTTGAAAGTACTAGTACAACTTCAATAATTTCGTTCTCGGAAACTATAAGGATTTTCCAAAATTTCTTTTTACGATATTGGCTCCATTTCTCATGCCGTATCTATTCCCAAATTGTTTTGGATAAGTTGTGAATCACCCTGTACAGAATAATTGTATAGTGGTAGCAGTAGTACTATAACGATGGTTTTTCAATATTGCAGTGATATAAGGTTTGATGAGGTAAGGTCTACTAATGACAATTATTAGTAGGTAGCTAAACAACTGACCAATTTTTCTCATTAATATGACATCGTCTAACAGTCATATCTCCCTTGCCATTTGAGGTAGATCCGTCAAACCCTATGCTTATCCTTAAAAATGTCCTATATAAAATCGATAGCACCATAAAAATCTTTTAGTTAATATGTAGTTAGAAATTAAAAAGTTAAAATGGGATGATATTTATAACCATAATTCATATTACCATTTTCATGATGTTCTTAGGTCTCAAATAGGACACTGCCATCGCCGAGACTCGTTTAAGAAACAGCAAAATTTGCAAAAAGCCATGGAGGAAGCCAAAAGATTAACATCCAAAAGTCCAGATAACTTATCAAGAGTTACCACACCCATCAAACTACCAGACATGACAGGTTCCGATATCGTTGGGCTAGTGAGAGGTGAAGATTTAGGTTCGTGTTATTGTTTCCTTTTCTAATTATAAAATTACTTAATAAATTATTGAGAATAGCTATAATTTATGTTATTATTTATGTAACATATTAACATTGCATTTGTTTAGAAACAGAATCGGTTAAAAGAAAATTTGATTTGAGTCCCAGTGTAACTGTTATGGAACAACGAACACTAACTCCTGTCAAAATCTCCATAGCGCCGTCAGAACAGACAACCTTAGAACGGGGCAGCCCCAGTCCTCAATCCCCTGCTAAAAATGAACCAGATCTCATAAATCTGGAAAGCACTAAGAGTTCCCCGATGCCAAGCATGAAAAAATCTGCAAATTCTTCATCGTCTAATTCTTTAGATCAGATATTGAATAAAGCCGATGTCCATGTTTCCCATATGAACTCTGATGATAAAATATTAATTTCGCCACCTATTGTCATATCACCACCAGATGCAGAAAGTACCGATAGTCCAAGTAAAAATTCCCTGAAATCAAAAGCAGATTCTTTCGAATCTTTCGATGAATTAAAAAAGGACGAAATTTATGATGTAGTGTCAACAGAAACTGCCGAAGTTGATAAAATTGTTATATCCTCAATAAAATCAAGTGATATTAAAAGGCTTGGGGCTGAAATACAACAAGCTACGCCAGAATCAAAAACGGAAGTGAAATCTCCAGACAAATTAAGTGAAACAAGCGACAATGTTAAAGAACAACAGACAAAAGAAGAGAAAAGCATTACTTATAAAGACAAAGATATGAACAAAAATAGTGCAACTGCAGATAGTGGTAAATGTGAAATTACTAAGGAAGAAAAAACTGCTAAAATTGGTGGGAAAGGGGAAAAAGAGGCATTAGAAAGTGAAGTAAAAGAGAAATCAGAAAGTAAAGAGGTACCCAAAATAGAAAAACTTGAACCAGAAGAAGAAATTCCACAATCATCGAAGGTGAGCTAGTTACCTTCTGGAAATAAAAATAATAATACAGTTAATTACACATAATATAAAATTATATAATAGATAATAGATAATAGATAATAGATAATAGATAATAGATAATAGATAATAGATAATAGATAATAGATAATAGATAATAGATAATAGATAATAGATAATAGATAATAGATAATAGATAATAGATAATAGATAATAGATAATAGATAATAGATAATAGATAATAGATAATAGATAATTTGAATACTCACGAAAAAATAACTTTCTGTAATTTCAATAAAATATTTGAAAACGATTTTTTTTTTTTCAATATTTTAGAATGGAGATTCGCCCGATCCGCCTACGCTACCAAAGAGTCCGGTCGCAACTCCACTGGCACAGAGAAATATTCAACGGATCCAAGACGCCAAAAGGGTTCAACCAAAATATGGATGGTTGTAAAATTGTATAGGTACAGCAAAAAAACTATTCCTATAAATTTAATATATGGAAGTTGCTCAATAAAATGTAGGTAATTCTTTTTTTGCTATATACCTAATTTTGATGAAATCTATTGTAATTAATGAACAAATTCAGAAATTGTCAAATCCAAACATTAATATACGTAATAAAAGTGGTATGAATTTCCTTTTTCTATGGTGAAAATCCCATAATTTTTTAAATTATCCCATTCAAAACAATTGAAATCTATATTCATTGAAACTGATGTTCACAATCTCTAAAGAAAATAAATACTTAAATAAAACATTTTTCATAATCACCAGGTGGTCGTTTAGTTAATGTTTCGTAATATCGTCACCAAATAGACTCTTTTAGTGTGACGTCAAATATTTAGGCAACCCGCAACAAATTGTCATAGTTGAAATTGTACATATCGAATCTGACCCTTGTGTACTATTTACTATGAACTATTTCAAATTAATTTATTTTTACAAGTATTTATAGAAGTATTTAAAAACACGTGTGTCGTAAAATAGATACACTAATGTACTTACAAAAACGATATAAAAGAATATTCTTAAATTTAAATAAAGTAAAAATTTAACATTAGCCGTGTTAATCCTAATGCGCATGCTCGGGAAAAATAGCCTCATATGCAGGTGAGATCTTGTTGCTATATCATCGCTGTCATCACTAGCGTATTTTCTCTTCTTTTGTTTAATCTTGGCATTTTCTAGTTCTACCAAAGGCAAGTTCGGTATTGACATATAGATGCTCTATGTAGATATATATCTTTGTCTTTTCATCTTTTACAATTAGAAAATAACAAAACACATCTGGAGCGTCTAGAGTTTAGACGTTAATACCGAACTTGCCTAAAGTATTTTTTATTCTTTTCTTGGTGCTTTGCTGTGTCAGTCTGCTTATTGAGTGTTTTTTGTTCTTCGAGTGGTTTATTACAGACGTACTCTCAACCAGAATCAAACTTTTCTTGAATGGTATCCTACTTCGCTTACATGAAATTATCTTTAATGCGCATGCTCAGTAACATTGATATAATTTTTATTTATAAATTACTATAAAAGTCAATATTGTTCGATAAATTTCAAAATATAAATTCTATAATTCTTTTAGTTTAACACTTGGATTTGAAACTTCTTAAATATTTCTAATATTGCCAGAATATCACGATATTTAAGGTCATGACAAAGAAAACATTTTTTGGCACTTATGTCTAAAGTACATAAGGTCGAAAATCGATCTAGTAAAAAACAGAAAATCCCGGATAATGTGTACTATGGGGTTGCCTACTCTTCTATTATCTATGGTTGCCTATTATTTGGCGCACGTGACGTCACTACTAAAAAGGTCTATTGAGTTTGAGCTACAAGAAAGTCAGTAATGCCGTCTTTCAAGAATTAAATGCTTAACCAAATTCTCAGTATCTCCATTACTAGTTGATGTGTATTTGTGAGTCCACTCACAATCTGCGAATTTTTACCATTAAAAATGGCCCGATGGCCATTTAAATATTTTTGACAATATTCTGGTAGATTATCACCTGCTTAAGGGCTTGTTTTGGTTCTGTCAGCGGACAGTCCTAGAACCGTTCTCTATCGGAACCAAAACACACCTTGAATGTTATTTATTATTTTGGCCTTTGTTATTCACAGGTGTCTTGTAAACCACATACTTAAGATGCCCCCATAAAAAATAATCCAATGCATTTAAGCCTGGAGAATGTGATGGCCAATTTACAGGGGCGTCATGATCTTTACCTATCCATTTGTTTGGGTACTTTTGACCACTTCCTTGACTATCCAAAAACCTATAACATAACTGTATACAGGGTCGGAAAGTCCCCATGGTTCATCGGCCGTTCCGTGAGAGCGATAAAGAAAGCCATAGAAATCCGTGCGATAGAGAAATATGGCTATAATGAAGTAGTCTAATAGTCGCCACCCATTTCGCCCTTCCACAATTAAGAAGTTCATCTTATTTGTGGAAGGGCGAAATGGGCGGTGACTATTAGACGCTTTCATTATAGCCATCTAGACATGAGTAATTTCAGTTATATTAATAACACCTTTTTATAAATAAGTTGTTTGATTATTTCGAAAAAAGTTTCAGAGAGTTTCAGTTGTAGGGCACCGAGGAGGCCATTGAAAAGTCCATATTACGACTTCCGGTGTAGACCGGATGTGATATTTTAGACCGAAAGTTGATTTGTTTTCGATTTTAAATGGAAACACCCATTTTTTACCACGGATTTCGATTGAAAAAAAAATTTTTGATATTGTTTTTTCGATTTAACACATATTTTGGCGATGAAATGACTATTAAAAAAAAAAAAATATCATACAAAAATTGTAAGGTGAAAAGGGGGCTATCTTGACATGACGTTGAAAATGACCTTGACCTTGACTTCAAGGTCGTTTGAAGATCAAATTCAAAATTTTAAATGCTCTCTTTTTTGACCTCGGAAATTACAAGAGCAGGAAGTTTTACAATAACAATGAACTTAACCTCATGACAAGATCAGACATCAAGGTCACTTTAAGGTCGAAAAACTGTATAATTATAAACTACTTTTAGCTCTACCCGGGAATAACGACGTGGATTGATAGTTGTCGTTTTGATATGGGACTTTTTGTCCTATAAAGCTATGTCAATGTACCAAAAGCAATTTAAGGAGTAAGATCACTGTATAATTTTCAGAAAATATATATTTTTTAATGATTAAAAAGATGCTTTAAATCTTCAGAATAAGGGTAAAGAAGTTTTATGTCTGTACAAATTTTTCTTCTTGCGTTGCTCCGAAACGACTATCTGCGACATATAAACACCTGCAGGAAGGGCACAGCCTATAGACTTACCTTTTGATTCCTAACTTCTCACCTAACTACCAACAGATATCGTTGAATTAGAAGCATTTTAAAACGAAAGTACGTTAGTACGTATACGATATATCTCAAAATTTTAGGCGTTTTTCTCGAGAAGATTTTTTTAAACGGCACACGGTATAATTCCAACAATTTTCATTCTATTCACTTCAAATTTTGACCATATCTTTAAAATAACATTCCGAGAGAAGTACACATGGGATTTTCGATAAGTTGATTTTAACATTATTTATTTGTTGACAAATGATTGTGCCTTTTTTCTCAAAAATTGTACTTTCTGCTTCGAATGGTCGCCAGTCACACAAAAATTAATGTTTTCAAAATCCCCATTTAGATTATGAGGACATTTTTTGTTTTTTTCCATAATCATATTTGTCAGTTACGCTGCGTGCCACAGAATTCCTCAAAATCAACAATCTTCGCGAAAATGGCTCCAAAGGCGTTTTTTCACAATATTTATCAATAAATATATATTTCTTGAACACTTAAAAGCATGGTGGATAATGTTCTTGGTTATATCCTTACTTTTCCTTCCATTCAAAAAAAAAAANTAAATAAGTTTTCAAGTGCTTCATTTCTGTAATGAAACAGAAACGTTTCTAGTTAATGTTTCAAATGTTTAGTAAAACATCTCATTTGCAACGTTTCATTTACGTTTCGTGTTTAGTGGGAATGTACCAAAAGCAATTTAAGGAGTAAGATCACTGTATAATTTTCAGAAAATATATATTTTTTAATGATTAAAAAGATGCTTTAAATCTTCAGAATAAGGGTAAAGAAGTTTTATGTCTGTACAAATTTTTCTTCTTGCGTTGCTCCGAAACGACTATCTGCGACATATAAACACCTGCAGGAAGGGCACAGCCTATAGACTTACCTTTTGATTCCTAACTTCTCACCTAACTACCAACAGATATCGTTGAATTAGAAGAATTTTAAAACGAAAGTACGTTAGTACGTATACGATATATCTCAAAATTTTAGGCGTTTTTCTCGAGAAGATTTTTTTAAACGGCACACGGTATAATTCCAACAATTTTCATTCTATTCACTTCAAATTTTGACCATATCTTTAAAATAACATTCCGAGAGAAGTACACATGGGATTTTCGATAAGTTGATTTTAACATTATTTATTTGTTGACAAATGATTGTGCCTTTTTTCTCAAAAATTGTACTTTCTGCTTCGAATGGTCGCCAGTCACACAAAAATTAATGTTTTCAAAATCCCCATTTAGATTATGAGGACATTTTTTGTTTTTTTCCATAATCATATTTGTCAGTTACGCTGCGTGCCACAGAATTCCTCAAAATCAACAATCTTCGCGAAAATGGCTCCAAAGGCGTTTTTTCACAATATTTATCAATAAATATATATTTCTTGAACACTTAAAAGCATGGTGGATAATGTTCTTGGTTATATCCTTACTTTTCCTTCCATTCAAAAAAAAAAAAAAATTGCTGAGATGTTCTTAGTGGTGATACCCCATAAAAACTGACACTCAGGGTTGCTTTGTGCCCAAATTAGACAAATTTGTACTTGGTAAGTTTATTTAATTATTTTGATTTTGAGAATATGTAATAGGGTGTTGGTAAAGATCTTTTAAAGACACATTGTATATTCTAAATAGTGCACATATGGGGACGTGTGAAAGAAAAATACTCGTAATTAGAGAGGTGAACAACTTTTATTGAACAACATAAACTTTAAAACATAATATCTATCACACATTAGATTAACATATGGTACAATACAGTGGAATAAATAACTCTCCAACTTGAAGCTATAATTTACACCTACTTTGTGTTAGATAAAAATCAACTAATATTCAACAAATAGCTATTTGGTGTTTGTTCCCAAAAGCACACAATAATGGAAAGTATCAGCGAATAGCTTGTTCCCGATGAATCGATTCCCAAAAATTTCCAAAAAAACACAACGGAACAATGGGGAAAACAAAAAGAGCAAAACTAGTATCACTCCCTTTCCGTTTTCAATTTCATTCCTCTTGTGTTTTTGCCGCTTTTTAGAAATAGATTAATTAGTTGTTGAACAGTGCTAACAAAAAGTCGTCAATCAAGTTTGGCCGTGCACCCTCACATAAAAAACTTGTTCGAAAACTTTTTCCTTAACCTTAGCAAGATTGGTGTGAAAAGGCTATTACTTTATAAGTACATCCCAAAAGCAGTTTTTTTTAGCTTAATATTAGAGTGATTACATCATTACTTTTAAAGCTATACACACAACACCTAGATAAAGTATAAAGAACAAACATTATTAAATATACAGATATTTGTTTGTTTATAAAATATTTTAACAGGAAACAACAAGCACAGTACATGCACATGAGCTTTTTTTAGTTTTTACAGTGTGAAAATTTAAACAAACTTAAAGCTAAAATCTAATCATCCAACCTAAAAACCTGAATTGACATAGAAGGTGAAGTTGTGAAGCGTGATGTGTACGTTAGAATATATGGCTATACATCGAATTTGGTTACTCTGGGTAGGCCGCTAGCAGCCTACCCGACAGACTAAAGAAACAGCTGAAACCTGAAAAAACTCAAAATAAAACCACTGCATAACTGTAACATCTCGTCACTATAACATCTTCGCAAATTTCAAGTAACAACAGTAAAATTTTTATAAATATACGAAGGTGCAGATTTTTTCAGGTTTCAGCTAATTATTCCTTTAAACTACTTCCTATTTTATATGGTCAGGTATTAAGTTGGAATTACGTTTTTACTCTTCTAAACATCTACAACCATCTTCTTGTGGATGTCGGTGTTTCCTACTACGTTACAAAATTCCTCAAATGATATCTTTCCATCCTCGTCTTTATCAGCAAAAAGAATGGTTTTGTCTACAATCTGCTGTAGCTGAGTATCTTTCAAGTTATTTCCAACCATCATTTTAAGAACCTGACAATAAATGTGAAATTCATTACACGCTACTAACAAGGAGAAGGCAAGGCAATCGGATTTTTGTAATTTTTTATATTTATGGTACATGTCGTTTGGACCTTGAATAAGAATTTTCCGAAGTAGTTCAATGCAACCTTCATCAATTGCCGAGATAATCGATTTTGAAGTTTTACCTGCCAGCAAAATCCACTAGATGCAACATATTTTTCCATTGGGCACGTGGCCTAATTAGTAGCGTTCGAGGTCGCTGGTTCGAGTCTCGTCGCATGACAATTTTTTTTTCCCCCTTAACGCACCATATTTTTTTTATTCTTTTTCACATCTCGAAAATTATGAACAAGTATTCGATTAAAATTTTTAGCTAGGTTGTGTGGCTCGTCCGCCATGTTTAGAAAAACTGCATACACAGCACACCTGCTCGCTGGCTTTTGAAGCAGAAAAAAGTGTTTTTTTAGAGTGTGGTTATAAGAATTGCGAGAAACGTTAAACGAAAAAGTTATGTTGTCGATTTTCCTGAACCTTCGACGGCACAAGAAGATATTATTGAAGATTCGTTGAACCTTGGAATTTCAAAAATGAAGTTAAGGGATGCCGTTGTATATTATGATAAAATTCTCACAGAAAATGGTCTTAGAGAAAGAAAGCCTTCGGCGATAATAACTGAAGAATCGGTGCTACTCACAGAGGACTCGTTCCAATATACTTCACAAACGCTACAAGAAAAAAAGTTTGTAACGGAAGAGGAGTTGGTATTATTTGACGAAATAGACAAATATAACGAATTCGAAACACCTGTATTCAAAGATTCATCCGAGGATTATAAGCCGGAAGAGAAAAAGTCAAAACCCTACACAGACTATATTTCGCTGGATTATAAAAGAAAAGTGATAAATATAGCTCGAAAGCATCCGCAATGGAAGCTAGACACTATACAAAGACAAGGGTGCAGTCGCTTGAAACGGATGGAGTATTTACCAAAATGGGAAAAACATGTGATAAGTGGCGGTACTGTGATGGATAAATATGGGGCTATCGATTCCTGGAGATATGACCGCTTTGAGAAAGCTCGAAAAAACTTCCAACAAGTCACAACCCGGAACATACAGCAATGGGCTTTGTCTGCTGGTGGTCTATATTTCGTATGTTCATAATTTTCGAGATGAGAAAAAGCATAAAAAAAATATGGTGCGATTTGAAGGGAAAAAAAAATTGTCATGTGACGAGACTCAAACCAGCGATCTCGAGATTGTCGGACTAGAACGCTACCTACTAGGCTACGCACCCAGTGGAAAAATATGTCGCATCTAGTGGATTTAGCTGGCAGGTAAAACTTCAAAATCGATTATCTCGGCAAATTATGAACGTTGCATTGAACTACTTCGGAAAATTCTCATTCAAAGTCCAAACTACAGGTACCATAAATATAAAAAATTACAAAAATCCGATTACCTTGCCTTCTCCTTGTAAGATAGTATATTTCAATCTATATTTTATTTTATAAACAGTTTATATGAGAAAAATTTTTAATTCCCATCGATTACATTTATGAGCCTAAAAACATATAATTAAAGAATTCACAAAAAACAATTTTATTTTTACGTGTAATATTAAGTCCTTTGACGAGGGTTTTAGAAAATCAAAGCAAGTCAGAAACAATATCTCTTCGCTATACCAGTTATACAAGTTTTCTCCAGGGTATAAAACTGTTTACAAGCTAACAATACATTCAAAATAAGGAAAAAAAGCATATTTTTACTTCTTACATTCATCATTACGTTTCCTGAACTTACACGCGTGTTGAATATACAGATAATCACGTAAGGTAGTATAAAAAAAATCACACTGCTCAAAATGCTTGTACGAAACTATTAACATATGAATTAATCATAATTATTGAGAATTTTTTACAAAATTCTCGACAAAACAGGAAAAGTACATTCGCATGTTTACATGGATGCCCATGTTTCTCACGATTTTCCACAGCGAAAAATTAAAAGAAGCCTTGTATTTCAATATTTTTATAGTTTAGGTGGATTTTCTTGTTCTATCATAGTCTTACTAACAGTATAATTTCTTATCTGTAAAATGCCAGCCTCAATGGAATACGTTACACTGATAACGAAGAGACGCTTAATTATTCATAGCCTTTGGATCTTTATTGGTTTTGACTGCTAAGCTCTTTTTACTTTTAACAACTAGTTAGTAGTCTGGAAAACACTCAACAGAGTTAAAAATGAATTTTAATTAAAAAAACCTTGTCGATTCGAAGGAAATTGATTTTCTCATGCTTTATAAGCATAAAAACACATAAAACTCTTGGCAACAACTCAAACATCAAATATTGTTTATATTGGGAACTACTAAACCAATAACTATACTCATAAAATTAAGACTAATATTAACGATTATATTTTATAGTTCCAATCTATTTTTAGGTGTATTTATCTCACTGTTAATTGTTTCCCAGCATTATTCATCAATATGTGACACAGCTTGAAACAAAATGAAGTTCTATTTGAATTTAATTTATCAGAATCATCAGAATTTATTGAATCATAAAATATTAATTATTTTTATTAAAAAATTACAAATATACAGATTCTTCCATTAAAAAAACAAACATTTGGTTTATACCTTCCAAATGCAACAGTAAATAATTTTTTTTTTTCTTTGAAATCTCAAGAAAATTTCCTGAAACTTTCATCTATACCATTTTTTCCTAGACAGAAAGGTAAAAGGATAAGGGGGTAGGATAGAATCTTATGTGCAACGTAAATTTTCCAATAAAACATTTTATGTTCGTGGTGCTAATTAAGTTTTTAAATAAAGCACTTAAAATCCCAATATTGAGAGAGCGGTGAAAACTCTACTGTCAGTAATACCCTTTCCCTTTTTTTTCTAATTTACCCCTTGAATACATAAAATAGAAAACTGCAAGAGATGTTATAGTTTGCGATTTTTCTATTCTATCTACTTAATTTTGTTGTAATCTGTAATTTTTAAACACAACCAATTATCAAAATTTTAAAGAAAAGGTACAACATGTTCCTTGAAATGCTCTTTAGGGAAAGCTTATTGAAGTTACATAATTTAAAAATGACTTAAAAGAGAAATATCTATAACACATGTCACCCAATATGAACATATAAAAATAATATAAAATAAAGAAATGAGTGGTTAAAAACAAAAATCATTATATCCAATCGTTTTTCTCAAAAAAAAGAAATGTACCTGCCTATTTATTGTACTTTATGGGGCACACTGCAAATATATCAGGTTAAATTTTCAATCCATTTTTGAAACATACTTAAAAGAAAATGTGACAAGGAAAAAGAGAAAACTGAAAAAAGATCAGGATCTATATAAGACTTAAAATTATATGAATAAAGGATTAACCTTCTATATATTATAGTCAACACCACAAAACAATAAATCCGTAGAAATCAAAAGGCCACAGTTAATTTATAACTACATTTAATTCAAATAACAGATGACATCCAAATTCTGTAAATGTCTCAAACTGAGTAATGTCTAATCTGTGAACGGGTAATTTGGCACAGTTCCAAATGTAACATGTAGAGAACAAAAAAGATGACAATGTTCTAATTTTGATATTTTGATAGGCCTTGGAACAGCCAAATATACATATACAAATAAAGCAATAAAATTCTCCAAAGTATTATTGTAGGAAGATCTCAACTTAAAAATTTATAGTTCGTCGTCACAAAATTAGGAGAAAATAATATAATTTATTATAGTACATTAAAAATAGAAGCAAACTATAATTTGTAATGCATATTAATTAAAATATGTAGCGGTAATATTTGAAATACTTTTTTAAAGTTTATTTCCTAGTATTAAAATTTATAATTTTAATACGCAGTTTCGTTAAGCACTGTAGCAATGTTTAGTAATATTTATAGAATAACAAAAAATGACAAAAAGCACATAAATGCTATATTTATCCTAATGATTTTATTAGTTACCTGAAACAGTTCCCCATTGGAGATGTACCCATCGTTATCCATGTCGTAGATTCTGAAGGCAAACCTCAACTTGGACAATTTGTCCCCCTTGACACTAAACTGGGACACCCCTTGTATAAATTCTGAAAATACGTGGAGTAATTGCAGCCATCAATTTTAAAACTAGACGCTAAGAATCACCTCAAGTGATTAAAAGGAACAATAAACACATTTTACAATGGACTGACTATTTTTAGAATGTTCTTTTGACGTTTTATAAACAGTATAAACAGAAATAAAATACTTTAATCAAGGTACGCCTGGACAACGTTATCGGATCTACTCAAATTTAATTTAAACATCTCATAATATTTACACGGTATGGGATTTATGATAAAAATTTAGCACCCGGACATAATTCAAAATATTGTTTAAATTACTCTCCACTGTTTTCTATCCTCATTGTAAATATTATCTTCATATAAATGAATTGCTGCTCTGTAAAAACAAATATTAGTTAACGGATGCTTCGGTATTGATCATTAATGCAAATTCGAGACTGTCTAATTGTACATAAAGACACATTGCTAAAAAATCAAATTTAAAACATACAAGTTGGCAGATGTTACAGAACATTTTAAAAGACATCATTAAATGATCTGAAAAATAAATGGGTAACGGTGTTAATCAATTCTAACCTAAGCGACTAAACATTGGTAATAAAATTAATTAATGTTAGCACAGTAGCAGTCAGAATATTAATCATTCCTATTACTCAGCTTCCAGCTCATCTCCATAAGTTCATTCTGTGTGCTTGTTTAAAGGATCACAATTTATTAAAAGCAATGTTTTACTTAATATTTCACACCTATTAACATATTTGGTATTTGGAAAGGGGCTTCATCATTTAACAAAAAAAAGGGGTGATACGCAAGGTGTGTGTAAAAAATGAAAGGGCGTTCTCATCCAAATTTAAGAATACTTTCTTATAAAAATACTTGCCTTTGAAGCTTTCATTTTTCGGATACAATATTGAAGTTTTCTAAAAAAGTTTTCCAAATATCTTCTGAACAAAACAGAAAGAATATACCTCTTTCACTTTTTGATACATCTCACATCTTTCACTTTCTTAAAAATTTCTGATGAATCCGTTAATACCTTTTTTCTTCAAAACTTTAACATTCCACATCTCAAAGATGAAGCATTAACGGCAAATAAATATTTATATAATATATTCTCAAATTTAAAAAGTTTAATTTTGACGTACATCCTGATTTCTTAGTGATTAATACAAATTTATTCTGTAATAATATATTAAGTTTTGTGAATTGTTTTTACTTCATTGTTCAAATATTTTTATTCCTTATTCATCAGGGTTGGTTGTGTTGGGATTTTCCAGTTACTCATTGACTGGAAATTCATATTTTTACTAATAAATTTTAATCACATAGTAGAACGACCCTTGAACACCAAAATAGATCTTGGAAATATGCAAAAGTTCCAAAATAAATTTATTTTCATAATTTTTGCTTCTAGTTTCTGATTCTAGTTTCTGATTCAGATATTTAATATATAATTTTAAATGTTTGGATTGCTATATGAATTATTTGTATATTATATTATAAAATATGTCATTACATTTAAGAAAAACAGAACCACAGAATATATTTGAAAATATTACTGCACTGCAAAGTGCAGAACGAATTTACTCACCCTTTCCAATAATGCACCAAATGCATTTTTATTCAGTAGCCAACACCATAAAACTTAATAATCCACCTCAATATATCTTAAATGCCGGACTGAATTGCCAAAGTTTATTTATAGCATGTTTTTTCACGTTGATCAAATGTATTTACCAACATATTTTCATTTAATAATAACAACATAATACCAAAGTCTTTCTAAATATAGGTACATTTATTATAATTTACAATTTTTCACTAATATATATATATATTAAACAATCAAATTTCTGTATTTCTAGTCCCATACATGTGGTGTTAGCAGCAAATATGACATGGTTGATTTAAATAAAGGATGAAAATCAACAAATTAACAATCAATTTATTTTATATTAATAAAAATGTAACCTTTTAACTTTACTAATAAGTGTATCTTTAATAATTGCAGTTTTTTTTTTAATGAATAAATTTTGGTAATGTTTGGTTGATTAAAAATAAAAAGAAGTATATTAACAAATGATCTTACCGAATACACTAGACCTGATACTCAAAATTTTGTCACAGGGATTCCTTCAAGCGTGTTTTGTTTGAAGGTAATAGCCCTTGACCTATGGCTTTTGGCAATTATCAAACAACGCACACTTTCAGGATTCTGACATGACAAAATTATCTTGGTATTATCAAAGCTCTTGGGGTATTATAGATGAAATCTAATGTGCAATATTTTTATAAGACCAATAAATTTAAAGATTTATGTCAATAAATAATAATCTTTCAAAAGCCTTGCTTAAAGCTAATACCATTAAATATTATTAGGAAAACCATCTAAATAAAATACATTTTACGACTAGTATAAAAAATAATAATCTACATTCAAACTAGCATATTAGTCTTCAATGCAGCATTTTGCAAAATACAAATTACCTATGTAATATTGAAGTGGATAAGTTTAAACAATATATTTTATTATTAACAAATATATGGTGTGCACTTAAAGCAGGTATTGAATAAATAAATATGTATCAAATGCTCAACTGACTAAGTAAATCTGAATTTTGAATCTTAAAAATGTTGTGCAAATATATTTATAATATACCTACCTAATCGACATTTTAACATCGCTTTTAGAAAATTGTGCAGTATTTGAAATGCAAACTGAATTACCTTTAAAATCGACTTCTCCGTTGCCATCAGCATCAAAGATGTCAATAACTCGCTGTACCAGAGGATTCTGCTGCAGTTCTGGCAAAGACATAAATTCGTCGATGCTGAGCGCCCCAGAATTATCCAAATCTAACTTTCGGAACCTTTTTCCGAGACGTCGTATTTCATCAGCATCAACTAAAATTTTATGTGATGGTAAGATGACACAAAAAAATTAGATGAAAAACTTACAGTTTGAGCATAGCTCCATGGGCAGAGAACTCTCGTTACCCTAAAATATTACAGCGAATTGTTAAAAAACAGACAAATTTAACAAAAAATAAAATCTTGAAATGGGCTTGCCCCTGAAAAGTAGGCTAAGCTGAAAACATCAACAGATCATGCAGGAAGCAAGTTAAGCCCAGTTTTATTAAAATAAAATGAGCTTAAAACGACTTTTTTAGGATGAAATTCAATATTTACCATGGTTTGCTCTTTATTTTCAAGATAATGATTGGTAAACCTCTTATTACTAGTGTTTCCTAAACGAACAAATAATTTACTAAATAGTTAGCTCACTGTTCGTGTGTAGCGCTGCAGTTTTACTAAAGGAAAAGATAAAATTAGTCATGCTTTTTTTAATTGTCAGATGTATAAATTTATGTTTATAAAATAAAAAGCATTTTACTTTTTTTGCATATGAATACTAGCAAAAAGTAGTTATAAAGATAAAAAAATTATCTTATCTCGATCTCGATTGCCATCCAAATTCCAAATACAAAATTGAATTTATCGACCGAGACCGCCGTTTTACCGCCATTATTCAAATACTGCATATAATATTTCTTAAATGAAAGGCTTTTTTTCTATCTCTTTTGATTTTATGTATATATGTTACCTATACTCATGAAAACAAGTATTTTCTTTTTTTATTTTCTCTATGCCCATATCTACCAATAGGCACTAAAATTTATTTTATCATTACATTTACAAAAAGACTCGCTTATGCAATTTGATATTGCAGTGCAGTGAAAACCATAATAATGTTTATTTTTTATGTTTAATAAATACTAAAAAATAATAGAAAGAATGAATAACTAGGTTTATATAAAAAAAATAATCAATTGCTTTAAGTATAATTAGAGGTATTGTAATCATGGTTATTCTCTCATTTCTATTTAGATGATCTACTCTTACTCAATTTACTAATGATTTTCAATTTTTGTAATATACGGGGTAATATACGGGGTAATATACTTTATTTAGAAACGTTGTTTCCTTCAGGTTATGCAACCAGTGATGTAAATTCCCACGTTTAGAAACAAAATTGCATTTGCATTCGGCTGGATGTTGGGTTCCCCCGTCAAAAAATAACCCTTTGTATGCTGGTGTCGTACTGTTTTGTGTAAGGGAGTGTTCATAATTTGCAAATTCAAGGATATCTCCCAGGTAAATTAAATTATACCACAATTTGAACAGCATTTATATGATTTATTAAATTCAGACGCGATCTTACAATTTTAAAATCTTGCTTGGTTAATTTCGTTTCAATTCTATTGAACATGAGAAATTAGTTACCATTTGTTGATAGCATTCGGCGAAGTTGAACGCATCATCCGAAGTGTCAGTTTTTCCGATTGACATTTTACACTCGCTCGAGGTCGAGGTGTATAATAAAGCTTAGGGTGTAGTGGGCGTATATTCTAGTGAAACTAGTGTTTAGTTAGCACAATAAACTATTTTAATATTTGAATTTATTAATACCAAGCACAAAACGTAAAGTAATTAATTCATCTTTTTAAATATTTTGACTTCTTAAAAAGTGAGTACATCTACTTTTAAGATTTGTTTATAAGCCGCCTATTGTTTGTATTCTGTGTAGGGTTAATTTTTTTATGTAAGTAAACAATTAAATTGAACCATGGCTTGGAGATTTAAAGCAAGCAAATATAAAAATGCTGCTCCTGTCGTCCCAAAACCAGAAACTTATGTGAGAGATATTTGTGTTGGATCCTATCAAACCTATGGCAATAACATAACAGCATCTGCAAAGTTTATGGCCTTTAATTGGGATCATGCAGGATCAAGTTTGGGTGTTTTACCTATTGATGACTGTGGAAGAAAAAGCAAGTTAATGCCTCTTTTACATGCTCATTCAGATACTGTGACAGATATGGACTTTTCTCCATTTCATGATGGATTACTGGCCACAGGTTCGCAAGATTGTTTAGTGAAGATTTGGTACATTCCACCAGAAGGATTACAGGTAAGATTATTTTAAAATACTGTTGAGAGACTACTCACTACTCCAGCTGCCAATCCGGCTTCCTGCACAACTTAGATCTGTGCTAGTCAAAAAAAATTCTGTGAACTTTTTTAAGACGAGTAGTTCTAGAGTTACGTTTAATGAAACATACTTTTTTTTTGGAAATATCACTAAGAGTTACTTTCAAGTAGTAGATAATTGAATTCTCAAAATATTCCATAGTTTGGATGATTTTTACCTTTAAATAAATTATTAGCATAGATTTCATCAGTCATTACATCAAATGTCTTTAGATACACATTTTCACTTTAAAATTAAAATAATTAACTTCCACTGAAACATTGTTTTGTGTTTATTAACTTAATATAAATAATATAAAATAATTTTCCAAGTTTCTAGTAATATATCATTCACATACCTGGAAATATTAATTTTATAATTCTTTTATCAAAATTTATTGCAATATACATTTAGGAATTTGAAATAATCAGACAAATCCTTATAAGGATGTGTAATTGCTATTTATAATTTTAAAATATTAAAATGTTTTTACAGTTTAAATTATTTTTAAATTATTACTGTATTTTATATCATTTTAAAGTACATCAACCAAGCAAAATGTATGGACTTACAGATAATGTAAATTAGATCATCATTATTGTTTACTTCCTGTATATAAAATACCAGATTAATGTTAAAATAACCACTTAATTGGAATTAAATGAAAAAAATGTGTTTTTTTTTTAAGTAAAGTCACGCTCTATAGAACTTTACATAATGAAAATTTCTAATTTACAATTTATACCAAAGCGAATAAAGTACAACTATTTTTAGATATAATGATTAGTAAATTTACTGGAACATTAGATTTTCTGAATTTTACTCATTTGTCATGTTTTCTTATACTAGTTTCAGAAATTACTTGTTAAAAAAATATTACGAGATTATGATAGCTGTAATGTCAGAATTGGTCACTATTTCTTTAATATCATTTTTTATTAGCAATTTATTAACATTAATGTCACTTTAGTTTTTGTAATTTAATAATATATAAAATGTTATTAATTATGAGAAATATACCCATACAAAAAACTTATTAATATAAGTAGTATTTTGTTTAAAAATTAGAGTGTAAGAATTATGAGAAATATATTCAAGTAAAAATGTGTTAATGTAATAGTGGTGTTATTTATTTAATTATTTGTAACGTAGGAATCTCTAAGTAATGCGGAATGTACGTTCTCTCATAAACAACGGCGTGTTGAGACAGTCGGCTTCCACCCAACTGCAGATTTCCTCCTGCACTCCTCTTCTTTCACCACCCTAACCTTATGGGATTTGATGTCGGAGCAAGAAATATTCTCCAACATGGATCACACCGAAGTTATCCAATCGGTGAGTTGGAAAAAAGATGGCACTCTGCTCGCGACCTCCTGTAAGGATAAACAAGTGCGTATTTTGGATCCTAGAGTGGAACAGTCCTGTTTGAAAACAGCAAACAGTCACCCAGGTATTAAAGATTCCAGAGTTGTCTGGTTAGGGGAACAGAATAAGATTCTGACAACCGGATTCGATGCTCAGCGATTGAGACAGATTATTATCAGAGACCTCAGAAATTTTGGAGAGCCTGAAAAAACGTTGGAATTGGATTGTTCCACAGGTATCTTGATTCCCTTGTATGACTCCGATACTGGGATGTTATTCTTGGCGGGAAAAGGTAAGAGTAATTTACCTTTCTCTGTACATATGTATTCATACGTTTACAATAATAAAAATAAAGTTAAGGGAAACTACACTATAAAATTTTAATACTAGTGCGGCTGATATGTTAAATTTAACTCATAGGTGACACGACTATCGGCTATATGGAAGTCAGCGATAAGGAACCTTTCTTAATCGAGGGCATTAGACATTCAGGAGAGCAGACAAAAGGGGCTTGTCTCTTACCAAAACGTGCCTTGAATGTCATGCAAGGTGAAGTGAACAGGATATTACAGCTTACCAGTTCTTCAGTTATTCCTATAACGTACCAAGTGCCAAGAAAAACATACAGGTAAAGATATTTTCTAGCTTCCACATAGATTAATAGATATTTGTTTAGTTATATAGTTTAAGGGGTTAACTCACTTCGGAGTCCGAAAAAAAGGCTTTTTCGAGAATTAAAAAAAAGTCCTATCGACCAATTGTAAAAATCTTCTCTACTTCACTAGATAATTACACGATTAAATTACAGTTTAATTTTCAAGTCGATGGGATGAAAACTCTGAGTTCTGCTGCTCGCCGATTTCAAAAACATAGTTTTGGAAAAAACACGTTTGAAGTTTTGGAAATAATAATATGGCGAATAAAAATTTTTTTACCATCACTAGAATCCATATAATTACCCATCCATGGCCGTATTTTGTTCTTCATGCTCTTTTCATCATCATGAAATCAATGAAAAAATACCCAAAAGACTCATTTACTTCTCTTTCACACTTATCATCATCAAGTTTGAGTTTCTTCGCTGATGCGCTCATGAACTCCTGATCGAATGCATGACGGTTAGGCGGACATCTATTTCCAATTTTACTTCGGTTACGGGCTGTACTTTGATTTTTACTGCCTTTACGGCCTGCGTACAACTTATTACTCATATTTCACCAGTGCAAACAAATCAACAAAGTTAAATAATAACACAAACGCAATAATAGCACAACTCAAACTACAGCGCACAGCTGAGGACGCACGTGCTCTAACTATCGTAAAAATCTTATATTCAGTATACACGGCTGGAAAATCCACATGGTCCGTCTGCCTTTACATGAGAGCGACAAAGTAAAGTAAAGAAATCAGTGCAATGGACAAGGATGGCTATAGTGAAGACGTTTCATAATCTGAACAGTTACCGCCCGTTTCGGGTTAGAAGTGTTCAGATTATGAAACGTCTTCAATATAGCTATCCCTGTCTATCGCACGGATTTCTTTACTTTGGATGTAAAGGAGATGGACCATGTGGATTTTCCAGCCGTGTATAATAACTTTTTTTTGCTTGTGATGACATCTATACCTTTGAAGTATTTTCTCGATGACCGGTAAGTTATAGGCATTTTTACTAGCACAAAATTCAAAAATGCTGTATCGATGATAGAAGCGAAATCTGCTATCTTTACGCTTCGGAATTGCTTCGGAAAAAATAATTTTATTTGTGAGTCTTTTTAATGGAAAAAAGTTTTTGATTATGAATCTAGGAATGTTTTAGCATATTTTAAGCCAATAAAGTGGTATATACGTACGTATCATATGGTTACGTTGACAGTTTGAACAATATTTTGATTTATAGTGCATATTTATGCTTTTCATCTATTAAATTTACCAAACAAGTTTTTTGTAATTGACTGATCATTCATGTATAGTAGAACTTCGATTATCCGGGCCGGCTGGGACCGAACCGTTGCTGGATAATCAAAAACACGGTTAATCGAAATAACACCCAAACTCACTAATTTTGCAAAAAATATGAACTTTATTACACTACCTATTACGTAAATAATATGTATGCATTAAATAAGCAGAGACTCGACTTTTTTTTGTGTCTGAGTGCTTTTTTTTGCCCCGCTACGGATAGAGGATAATTATAAACGATCATTATGTGTCTACCACCTCATACAACTAATGTTCTCAGAAATGGAGAAATTCCAATAATAGGATCTGGATAGTCGAGGTCTAGATAATTGTGTTTATCTGTATCCAGATGCCCTCACAACTTTTTACAACTCGTTCGATTGTCGCAAAACTGCAGATTTCTCGAAATATGAGGTTTTAGCACAGAGATAATTATTTACGTGATAATTTTAGGGATTTCCATGCTGATTTATATCCTGACACTCCTGGATTTAAGACTGAATTAACTGCGATACAGTGGTTTGAAGGGAAAAATATACCTCTTGCCAAAATAAGCTTAGATCCAGCTAAGAGGGAAAATGGCGAACAACCAATTGTGGTAAGATATTATTATTACTTAATTTTATCATACCAATATCACATAATTATTTTATGCAGTATTCCATTGGGAACTAAGTATCGAGAAAAGTGTTTGTAGGAGAAATTTTGATAATTCTTAGGTTTCGAGCAAGTTATAGTTAGTTAATATTTATTTCGACAAAAAATATAAATACTTTTTAATCTAACAACTTATACTGGGTTGTGATGTTAAATTTGTTAAAAAAAATGGTTGAACAGGTCACTGTATTTTTAAAATGTGTCTTTTGGTGCCATTGCCACTGCTTGTGATGTTTTCGATGTCGGAATTATGACGCCACCGATTTTTTGTATTAGAATGTCTCATTTTTTAACATATTTCTTAAAATTCCCTTCAATGAATCTAAATTTAATATATTGTTAATTATTTACTTCAATTAAGCGTAAACAAAAAATATTTATTACTACTATTAGCAAAGAGAAACAGTTGGTACCGCAATTTGAAAGTGACTACAGTTCTCGGTAAATTATAGTATATCTTGTGTAATACTTTTAATTGTGTGACATATTTGTTCTATCTGGAAGATGATTGACACCTTTTTAACTATATAACTATGTAACTATAAAAAAATTTTTAAAAATCAAAATTGAAAATATTGAATTTTTTGTTCTGTTATCGCAACCCTGTATGTGCACATCAAAAGTTGTACTGTGAAATTTTCAGAATTTTATGTAATTAGAACTACTGAAACAATTGTTTATAAAAGAATTAAATAGTTTTTGAAACATTTAAACAATCAAAATGAAAAGTCTACATTCCATCTGGTCATCCATCATCCACTATACAAATTGCACACTTCTTTTAACAATAAACCTCGCAGGTACATCGTGGGCCTCTATCTAAATTAAGAGAGGAGTACGAAAATGAAAAAGCATCTCGAGTCGACCAAAAAGTATCAGACGTCAAGCCAAAAGTGACGGCTGCCATCACCAAGAGCGACTATCATCCCGTGAAAGATATAGTTAAAGACATTGAGAAAGACGATACTAAAATTAAAGATGGTAAACCAAGCGGCAACGAAGAGGATTCCACTGACAAGACGCTCGAGAGCAAAACAACTGAAAACAGGTCCAGCGTCGAAGAAATCGAAAAGGTAAATATTACAGCGGTTGTACCTCCTAAGCCACTGCCCAGAACTTCGAGGACGGGATCCATGTGCGATTCATCAGTCGAGGAGTCTACTAACACCCCCAAGCCTGTCGCTAGACCCCGTACTAATAGTTGCGCCCCAGTCGTTACATCTGTAAATCCAAATGTTCCCATAGCGGGAGGATACAAGGTTATTTTGGTGTCGATGTAGTTTTTGTGCTTAACAACATTGCGCTTACTTGTATTTTTTTAGTTGTAGACTTTGGTGTTCCACGAGATTCTTTTTTGTGACATTCGTAGATTTTTGTAGGTGGAATTTCTGCTTACACTGATGACTTTTTTTTGCTATTCTTATGTGAATTTTTGCTTACAAAGACTTTTTTTAGTAGTTTTTATTTTCTTTTAAATATACGTACACTGTGGGCGAAAACGACAATTTTGTTGAAAGTTGCAGAATATTTTAATATTTATAGTAGTATAACCAAGTATTTGTCAAATTGTTTTATACAATTTTTTTGCATACAGGGTGATTTATTTGAATATAGCTAGAATAAAATCGGAAATGTTCTCATGTTGGTAAACGATAGGGTTCTGGCGTCGAAAAGATATGTAGAATTTCTTAGTGTCAAATATGATTATTTCTAAATAAAAAATTCCTTGCCTTATAAACATGGTTTCGTCCGTACAAAGAATATTTGATGTAAACTGCGGATCTCGGCAAGTACACTTCAACAACTATTTACAAAATGGCTATCAACGTGTAAATTCTAGTACTTGTTTGGCATGGCAATGATACAGATGAAAGCGATTTTTACATAAATTCGTCATTTGCAGTACGACGTTGGACAGCAGTGCATCCACTTGCTGATGGCACAGATCCTGTGTTATGAAGTTATTCCCCCATACATTTTTCTGTGCAGGAATTATTGTAACAATATTCTTGAGGAATAAAAGTTACCATCGTTACAATTTTTCATCATAATCTTACTTAACACGTTTTTATTAGCTAGACCGTACTGCCCTGAAACTTCACAGGTTGTCTGTTAACTGATTCTAATAAATCACCTTGTATAATATTCTTTTATTATCCAAACTATAATCAAATTAAATTTATTAATGACTGAAAGGATAAGGATCATAACAATTAGGTATTTAAGAGCAGTGTTTTGATACCATCTTCAATGCTTTAAAAATGTAAAAAATATTTCTAAATTTAGCACATTTAGAAACATATTTTTTATAAATTTTTAAAACCCTGAAAATGAATTAGTTATATGCTAAATATCTTGAGCCCCCAGTGTAAAAATTCTTCGACGGTTTATTTATTATTTTCTTGTTTTCAGCCCCGTCTAGGACCAAAACCCTTTACACCACCTAAACTCAATGACCCGGAAAACACCTTTCAAAAAATTTTCTCTGTACCCCCAGTACCGGGCCAGAACGGTGTAACTGGCGAGTCTGCCGTAAACAAAGTTGTTACTCCAGAAGAAAAAGAGAAAACACCTACGAGTGACATCGAACCCGCTCCCTTAAAAGATACTGAAAACGGAAAATCGGGTTCAAGCGGGGAAGAAGAAACTAGCTGCGATTCGGGCTACATTCCCAAGACACCAAGTACAGCGGAGAGAAGGAAATTGTTTGAAACGAGATCTAATTCAAAGGAAAACGAACCGGAAGAAAGCTTGGACTCCACAGACCAAAGTGGCAACTTTGAACGAGCTTCGATTCAAAGAACGAGCATTGCCGAGAGGCGTAAAATGTATGAAAGTAGATCGGTGTCCGTGCAAGAACAAATCGGGAATGTGATAGAGAAAAAAGATGGGTCTCCAGTCATGTTGAGAAGGAAGGATTCGTTTAAGAACAGGAAGAATGTAGAAGACGTTTTGAAAGAAGATAATTATAGGAAAAGTTCTGCAGTTGCAAAGCAGCAGTCTTTGGATCCTCAGTCCGGGCGGAAAAGTGAGGTTTCTGTGCCTACTCCTAAACGAACATCTACTGTTTTTGGTAAGATTTATTAATCTTAATTCTTAATTCAGATTTTAACAAAAACTGAGTACTTAGGAGTTTGACGTCTTCACTGTCTAAATGTCGAATGTAATGTCAGTTATCTCCCTCATACCGTAAAAGTTGATTTTTGGCAAGGACTTTTTAAAGAGAAAGTTTATCTTAGAATTTACTCTCATTAGATATGCATGTTTCTTGGTGAATGGTTAGATTATCAGACTTTAAACCATATTACAACCAGCAATACATTTTCGTAGATTTTTTTACACAATTTTTCTAAATATGAATTAATGCACAAATAATAGACTTTCCCCCATTTTAACACAGATTTTCTATAAAATGGAGTTAGTTCAAAACTCAAATTACTGTTTGGTGTAAAGAAATTTGTAATTTACTACGCCACTTGTTTGAAAGCGGCAAATTACAAATTTCTTTACAACAAAAAGTATTTTGAGTTTCAAACTAACTCCATTTTATAGAAAATCTGGAATAGAATAAAGTCTGTTATTTGTGCATTAATTCATATTTACACACTGTGTAATAAAATCTATAAAAATTTGGTCATAGATTCTTAAGACAGATTTAGGGGAATCGTATTTTTTCTTTTTGCCAAGTGGCCCCCTATTTCGGAGTTATAGACCCCTGAAATCTTCCCCTGCCCCTGTCTTTTTTATATCTCAGAATCCTGTTATACGAGAATCACTAAATTTGGTACACAGGGGTTTTATGACATGGAATCTGATTGTGCTACGCTTTTTGGCAAGGAGACACTTTTTCTTTGGAACCGAAAAAATTTGGTCACAAATTTGAATTTCATAAATATTATTAATTAGCTAGAAAGCCATTGAACTTAGAAACTTATCTTGATATTTTTTTTCATAAAAAGCAATGTTTTCGAGGAAAATGGCGAATCACGAGATGCATTCGATCACATTTTGACATTTTTCTTGAAAACTGCATTTTATGAAAAAAGTATCATGAAACAAAAAAGTTTCTAAATTTAATGGCTTTCTAGTGGACTAATAATTTCCAAGAAATTTAAATATGCGATCAAATTGTTTTGGCTCCCCCTTGCTCACAAAAAATTGTGTTCAGGGGGTTCCATGCCAAAAAACGTAGCACCAACAGATTCCACATGTCATAAAACCCCTGTGTACCAAATTTAGTGATTATTGTACAACAGGGTTCTGAAATATAAAAAAAAAGATTATTCTTAGGGCATTAATTTTGGGACACCCTGTAGAGCTCTCTTAACTTTAGCCAAAAATTGTGATCCCTTTTTTGTCATATTTTCATGAATCCAAACAGTTAAAGACACAAAAAAGTTATTGTGATCTAGAAGTCAAAAGGTTAAAATTGAACTACCAGGTTGGTGGATTTCTGCGTAAATGATACAAAGGCACATGGATTCGGCCACAGCTTACGATAGCGTGTTTAATCTGAACTACTTCCGGAAAAGTAACCTTGGTTTTATTTTCAGGCCGTGTCTCAAAGTTCCGCCACTTGAAAGGCACCCCCGCCCACAAATCGTTCCACATTGAAAATATCAGAAACTTAAGCAGGCAAATATCCGGAGAATGTGACGGATTCCACGGTAAACAACGTTTTAACTTAACTGATATAAATAATTTAAAATGAATTTTATAGCTAACTCGGAACGAGTAGCTGTGCCTTTGAGTGGACCGGGCGGCAAAATAGCCATCTTCGAGTTGAGCAAAACGGGAAAACTACCAGACGGTGTGATCCCTGCTCTGGTACACGGAAATAATGTCATGGACTTCGCGTGGGATCCGTTTGATAACCACCGATTGGCTGTTGCGTGTGATGATGGCGTGATTAAGTTGTGGAAGATTCCCGAGGGTGGATTGACCGAGCCAACTAACGAACCTGAGAGTGAATTCAATGCCCATTCCGATAAGATATACTTTATTAAGTTCCATCCTACAGCTAAAGATATACTCGCTTCAGGTAGGAAAGTTAAAAAAATTTATATATATATTTTCGTACAATTGCATTTTGAATATACAGGGTGGCACACTTGTTTCGGTTATTATGTCTTCCACTTTATTTTAGGGACAAATTGTTTGAGATATGATTTTTTTCAATTTTGAAATAGCCTGTCAGTATACAACTGAAACTAGTTGTTTTTTCAAAAAAGAAAATAGTGATTTTTTGTTAGACATTCTATTTTGACAACAAAATAATCCTTAAAAGTTCCAAAAAATTTATTTATGCAGAAATTTTTTAAGGGATTGTAATTTAAAAATGAGGTCAATCACTTTCAATACAAAAAAATAACAAATTAAAATAGGGACGACCAATTTAAGACTTTTAAAAGTGTTGCGTATAAATATGCAATTTTTTTTTTTTCATGATCAGCTGGTACATACAATTAGCCATTTTTTAAATGTTTTGCAAAATAAATTTTTCTTGATAAATATATACAGGGTGTATCACAAACAGGGCTCAATCCTACTGAGCCCTCGAATTTTTGCAAATTTTACAAAAACTGGTTGTATTCCATTGTTTTTAAATTATCCATGCTAAATCTCATTAATAAATAAAACTAAATGTCGGAGTTATTCTGTATTAAAAAATTAATTGCATCCCTCAATTTTTTTCGTAAATTGATAACTTGAAAACTGTTACATTTTGGTCTTTAGTACCTTATCTGAAATTAGTCTAGAATTTGCCGTAGAATTGAAAAATGTATAAATATACAGAGTGTTCCATTTGAAATAACAGAGTTGATGATGACTTCAGGTATAACTGGAAGTGCGAGGAAGTTGACACTATTGTCATTGAATAGATCTTTTTCAGATTTCACTGACTACTTTTTGAGATAATTCTACTGAGCTCTCTTCGTGATACACCCTGTATATATATTTTTTTCAAATATGCATTGAATCTTTAAAAAAAAAAAATTACAAATGCCACGGAAGTTCTCTATTTGGGCCTAGAAATCATCCCTTAAAAACCAATATAGATCCTATGCTTTGTTATGAAAATATGAAGACTCTTATGTTCGTAAGCCGTCACTTAATATTACAGTGAACTAAAGTTATAATGGGGACAATGGATTGTCATTTATTAGGTTTATTGGGGTATCAGTATCTTATAACGTAAACAGTTGCATATTACAGTTTACTTTTTCCATATAGGGTCTTACGACATGACAGTAAGGCTCTGGGATTTAGCCACTCTATCCGAAGAAATTGTGCTCAAGGGTCACGTCGATCAAATGTTCAGTTTCGCTTGGTCCCCTTGCGGCTCGTATTGTGCTACTGTCAGCAAAGACAGCAAAATACGAATATACCGGCCGAGGAAAAGCGAACTTCCTATTAGAGAAGGCAAGGGACCAGAAGGAAATAGAGGTGCTAGGATAGTTTGGGCCTTAGATGGCCATTTTATAGTCGTAACGGGATTCGACAAAGTATCGGAGAGGCAGATTACCGCCTTCAAGTCGAGTGATTTGAAAACGCCTTTGAATACGGTTGGATTGGACGTTTCACCTGCCATATTGATTCCATTTTATGACGATGACAGTTCAACCCTCTTTGTGACGGGAAAGGTTAGTTTTTTTACTACGACATGTACATGATACATAAGATATAGCCGTAATTATTATTATTTAAATATTCTAAAACCTAAGTTGTGATGATGAGTGAGCATCAGATTGCAAAGATATGGAACTAACATAGTTTTTTTTTAATAGAACACCCTGTATATGTTATCAAACACTCTTACGATTGCAATAATATAACGCTTGATGGATCTATCTCTAATTATAAGGGAGATACTGAGTGGCCAAAAAAGTCATAAGCTTAATTTCAGTCTTGGTGCCTACATTCTTTTGGTCATATCTCCTATATTTTTAGAGATACATCCACTAAATGTTATAATACTGTAATAGTTAGTAAGCTACAATTGTGACAAAATATACAGAGGATTTCTTTTATATTTTTGTAAACATAGTTTTAGTAAAATTCGAAAAGTTTTCTATAATTTTTATAATTTTTTTTTAATCAACCCATATTGCATATTGACAGACAGGTCTGGTATAATTTTTACAGTTCTCTTAGTGTTGTATCGGTAACTGTAATGAATATGGTTTTAGGGCGATTCGACAATATACGCCTTTGAGATAACAGAGGAAGCGCCATATATCTGCCCCTTGAGTCATCACCGGTGCAATACCCTCCACCAAGGACTTTCTTTCTTACCAAAAAACGTCTGTGATGTATCAAATGTCGAATTCGCCAAAGCCTTGAGGCTCACGAACAACTCCATCGAACCCCTGTCCTTTACCGTTCCCAGGATAAAGGTATCTGTGATCAGATATTTAAGGTTTAAAAACTGACAGTTGTTTTCCCTAGACTGATCTATTCCAAGACGATTTGTTCCCACCGACAAGAGTTACGTGGGAGTCAGCGCTAACCAGTTCTGAATGGTTCAGCGGTAAAGATAAAGCACCTCAAAGGATTAACTTGCAACCGGAAGGGATGGAGTTGCGTAAGTTTTTTTTTTAAGAAAAGGGGAAATGTATTTTTAATTTTTAACACGTAATGTGGGTATAGTTTCAGAGTCCCAAGGGCAAGCAAACAGTGGTCCTGAAAGGACGATAAATAAATCCGCTTCAACGCCGTTCATAGGTGCCTCCCAACCTTACAATAGACTAGGGTGGAACGCTGACATATCGGGACAGACCAAGAGTAAACAGGAGGAGGTTAGTAATAATAAGAATAATAAAACATTTATTTAATATGTTTTTAATAAGTATAACCAAAAGGGCATCGACCAGTGCCTGACTAATTCTGCAATAACAGGTGGTTACAGACTTACATCGCACTTTCTTAGTCTTCGCTAGGAACTTAACCTGGCCTTGTTGTTCTCGGCCTAGGCTGTGTGGAGGTGGCTATAAGAACCCCTAGGCCCCTCTTGATGTTCGTTTCAGTTCTTTTTGATTTCAAGGCTACTACGATTTTTGTGGATACGTTAATTATTTGGTCACATAATAAAGACTGCTCTTATATTTTTTAAAGCTTAAAAAATTTATTTAAGAATAAATTTATACTTAAAGGGTATGGGTTTACACTGTCCTAAACTTTAAAAAAAATTCTAAACAAAAGCAACTGCTATAGTAAATTGAAAACTATTTTTTGGATATCACAAAAAAATCATAATCCTGCTTTGTTAATTCAGGTATCAATCAGTGGCGGCTCGTCAGGCGACGCACCATTACACCTAAAATTTTCGTTTGGTTGTGTAATTTAAAATTATTTTTAATTTTATATAAACTTTATAATTTAAGTATAATTCTGTATTGAAAATGTATTGTGTTTAATTGTTTAATATGAAGAACTTTCTTCATGAAGAAATTTCTCATCCTCGTGAAGCGCAGGTTAAAAAACAAAAAAACGGATGCCTTATATACAGGGTGTTGCGAAATGTTTTTTAGAGAATTCTAGAGCCGATTTTACATCCAAAAATAGGTCCACAAATGCTTCGCTTTCGAAATGAGGATGTCAAAAAAAAAATGTTTTTTTAATGATAATTTCTAAATTCTTCATTGGAAATCGTTTAAATTTGGGTAACTTATTTCTCCATTGTGACAGCACATGTTATTTTTCAGTAACAGTCACCAACTATGTTTTTTAAGTTGGTAATGGTTTTTCATAGATAGACTAGCATGATTTTTAAAAATCTTCAATAGCTCGAAGGTCACTCGCTAAATGACCAAATGTACAAGGAGTGCTTTTTGCTCTAAAATAAATGAGTTTCCTAAAAATAAAGTAAAAATCAGTAAAAAAAAAACAGTGGCGTAGGTTTTCTGGTCAAAGATTAGTAAGTACTCGCCCGTATCTACGCCCCTGATGGGTCTGAAATGCTATCGATTATACCAAGTTATAACCTACGTATCATAAATGTATTGACCCAAACGACCCCACACTTTTCTTATGAAAAAGTGGTTTCAGTTAAATTGTCAGAAATTTTTATATGTTACAACTGTTAACCAGCCGATCAAAAGTCTCCAGTGGTACAATATCCAAAAGTTCATAGTTTTCGAGTTACGTTGACTTCAGCGCAATAACTCTGTATTCGAAACTGCGAGTAGTTCTTTTGACTGCAAATTTCCGTTTTTCGCGTTACGTTGACTTCAGGGCAATAACTTTGTATTCGAAACTGCGAGTAGTTCGTTTGACTGCAGATTTCCGATACAACTATTGTAGTTGATGGTTGATAAAAACCTCTTGGATTTCTATAAATTGTAATAAATTAAATACTGTATTAATTCTTTTATGCACACGTATCTGTCACATATTAATGCAAGCAATGACCAAATCAAGAGTCAAGGATAAGCTCAACCATTTTCACATGTATAAGTAGTTTTTGAGTCATGGTAAAAAAGCCACCCCAAAGAAGTGTTGGACCGATTTTGCAATCTCCACGTGGTACACCTTGGGTAATGCAAATGCAAACAGCAAAAAATAGGTTTTAGGAGGTTTTTATGCCATCAACTAGAATAGTTGTATCTGAAATCTGCAGTCAAACGAACTACTCGCAGTTTCGAATACAAAGTTATTGCCCTGAAGTCAATGTAACGCGAAAAACGGAAATTTGCAGTCAAAAGAACTACTCGCAGTTTCGAATACAGAGTTATTGCGCTGAAGTCAACGTAACTCGAAAACTATGAACTTTTGGATATTGTACCAATGGAGACTTTTGATCGGCTGGTTAACAGTTGTAACATAAAAATTTCAGTCAATTTAACTGACATTTTTTTTCATAAGATAAATGAGGTCCTTTAAACGATTTCCAATGAAAAATTTAGAAATTATCAATAATAAAAATTTTTTTTCGACACCCTCTATTACGAAAAGGAAGCATTTGCAGACCTACAAATTTTTTTTCATATTTTTGGATGCAGAATCTGTTCTAGAATCCTCTGAAGAACATTTTGCAACACCCGTATAAATTATAATTTCTATTTTTAGCTCAAGAAGTCTGTCAGTAACAAGCTGGAAATGAATCTAAGTTTAGAGCAAGACGACATGGAGGGTGTCGACGAGACAGAGTGGAATGAATGAAAGATCCGAGTTGGACGCTCAGAGCTTTCCTCTTAGTGTAAAGTATACTTATAAAACATAATACGATAATATCCAGATAGGTCGCCTTACGTTGGTTATACCACGTATTATTAAGAGTAAGAGCCTCATATTCCTTTTATTACTAGAACCAATACTTAAACCATTGCTTTTTACTGAATTTCTTTTTTACATGATATAATGTGAAACGCCAGCGTTATTAGTCAGAATAGGATACATTTTGTAATACCTTAAGAAGTATGATTGAATCTATACATCATCATTTTATATACTAGTGTATATAGTATCATGTGGACTACCCAATATTTTACGAAATCTGTTGCCGCATTCGACAATAATTAGGAAATTTTTTATGTAGTTTTCTAGTTATTTCTATTCGTACCGTTTGTAGTTATGAAGAAAACTCCATAAAATAAATGCTTCGTGTATTCTCTTATAGGAAAAGCAATATCTACTCATTAGATATAAGATTGTTCCTTATGCTTAGAAATATTTCTTGTCCCTAAAAACAATCTGAGCGAACACATTTCTAAGTTATTTTTCATTTTATATATCCATCATATTCAAGCTGATAGTAAAAAATATACTCTGCGTGAGTGTAAAAGTGCAAATAAGTTGATAATGGCATAGGTTGGGTAACCTAGCAAACAGTTTCAAGGGCGTCGCCGCTAATTTTTTCGCTAACTGCGCGGTACAAAAGTATATGGGAGCAAAAATGTTCAAAAATTTTTTCGACCCTCTAAATTTTACTTTTTTTAGTGAAATTTGGATTTTTGCCATTTTTAGATGCAATTCTTTGATAAAATGAAATTTAAAAAAATGGTGAACAAGCCTGTTGTGCGCACAATACAAAAACGGTTGCGCAACTTATGAAAAATTAGCTCGCAGCTTTGCCCCAAATGCTTTCAAAACAGTAAACTGTTTGGATTTAGTGAACACAGCCATCAGTAATGCAGTGGTTCTTAAACTTTTTTTAATTACTCTTGAAAGTATAGACATTTAGAAAGTAATAACTTCCAGAATGCACCCACACATTAGATCTATAAACAGTTTCCAAATTTTTACAACCAAAGAGGTCATTAAGCATTTCAAAATGCTTTGACTACTTTCCTTTTTTCATTTTAAGGTAAAGGTGCAAAAATATGCATTCTTATAGTTATATGTCATTATTTATAAATTGCAATTTTGTGGTTTTATTCAAAAAATAGTCAATTTGTTCGATGGTACTACTTCTTTTTTATGTACTTGCTGAACCAATTACCATAATTCAGTTAGCAATCCTTCGCCTGTTATAATAAATAAAAGACCCTAATTTACTCCGTCACACTTACCGCCGTTCAATATTGCAATGGATTTTGGTCAAGAATATACAGGGTGATTCACAAACGGTGACCAAAAATGAAATCTCTTATTCTTTGATGAATTTTAAGGGGTCTTTCCTATAAAGTTTTTATATAGGAGGCTTCATTAAAAAAATACAGGGTGTTAAACTTCAAAAAATATTTAATATTTTTTTAAATAATTTAAAAACTAGTAAGTGAAATTATTTGAAATGAGGCACACGTATTTATGTAAACATTGTCCAAAATCTGAGGCTTTTTCCTAGAATTTAGATGCTCCAGTGGCATATTTTTCTAAATATAATAAAACGCCACTGCTTTACAGTAACAAGCATGATATTTTCGGATTCGTCTTTCAATTTTCTACAAATAACTACTCTCTTATGTTTTTCGAACAAAGCCTGACTTTTGAGTAAAACTTAAAAAACAAACTGGAAACACACTACGATATTCAAATAAAATGCGGTTTAAAATTACATACTAGGCTGCGGGAGTAACTTTGACATTCTGAGCAGTTAGAAGAAAGAATAAATATTCCTTTTCATCAGATTCAAGTAACAATAAATTTTGAACAAACTACATTTTTGATACTAAAATATGTGCCGCCTGTGTTTGTGGAAATGGAGATATTTTTGAAGATTTACTCAAATAAAATCATTAAAATGATGGCTAATGTTATTACATATTTTCTTTTTTCCAATAAATAACCAAACGATTAGTGATTGTCATGCCGTTTAAGTAAAAGTGTTTCCAGTTCGTATTTTAAGTTTTACTCAAAAATAAGGCTTTTTTCAAAAAACTTAAGAGTAGTAATTTGTAGATAATTTAAAGATGAATACAAAAATATCATGAATGTTACCGTAAAACAGTAGCGTACTATTTTAATTAGAAAAATATGCCACCGATACCCTGTATCTCTGCCATTGGAGCATCCAAATTTTAGGAAAAGGTCTCAGATTTTGGACAATGTGTACATATATTGCCCAATTACAAATTATTTACTAGTTTTTAAATTATTTAAAAAAATTCATAACATTTTTTTTTAATTTAACACCCTGTATCTTTTTAACAAAGCGTCCTAGGTAAAACCTTTATACAAAAGACTCCTTAAACTTAACCAAAGAATACGAGGTTTCATTATTGGTCACCGTTTGTGAATTACCCAGAATATCCCAATTATAACCACAGGCATCAGTAATTGAACAAATTTTCATCTTCAGGCATTTCCAATGCCTTCTAGATTTTTAAACTTAAAAAATTATTCTGCATTATAAACTGATGAAACTTCAGATACAGATGTTTTAAGTGACTAAGGCTGCGTAGATTGTTAATAAAAAAAAAGTTGTTAAAAAAATAGCAGGCCGTGGATTGCCAACTGGATCATAATAAGTTCAGCCAATAAAACAAAATTGATACGGATGTCCTGGTGGGACACACAATATAAAAAAGTCACCATAAAATCTGATTATTTTTGCTTCAAAAATATTATTAAAAAGAAATTTGAGATGTAATTAATTTACTTTTGATATTATTGTACTCTTTAATTGTACGAAATAATGATATTACTTCATAAAAATAAAAGGTACAAAATAAGTAAAGAAAAAAAAGGGGTACAAATTTCGCAAAATATTGGGAAATACTATATTTTTCTCCAAGTTATATTTTTTATTATATACAGAATTTTTATATTGACGTCTAGTCAGTTATTACATGCTTTAAACATGACATTTTGTGATCTCTACGATTAAAATATTAAGTAGAACATTCCCAAATTTGCCGCTGCCCTTCGATTAATTTTTCCATGTTAGAACAAGTAGAAAATAAACTATCATTCCGCAGCAGGTCTGTGCCAAATTTCCCGTTTAAAATATCGACCAAAAATTGCTCATTCCCAATTTTTTTTACCGTCGCTCAAAATGATAAACCTTATCAAGTGAAATGTATTTTGATACATTTTTTTAGTCATTAAGTGCTATACATAGTTTTTGATTGAAATTTTTTTTATATTTATTTGTATGTGTATTTTATTTGTATTAGTGTCGTGAATGTAGTGTACTTTCATATAATAAAATAGTATTAATTAAAAAAGGTTTTAATTTCAAAACACAGGTATCATTTTACAATTGTATTTTTTTATCATCAAATTATAATTTCACATTTCGAGTGTATAAAACCAATACCCTAATGTACCTTAAAATTATGGCAACAATAAAATTTTAATATCACAGTGACGATAAAAAAATGTTCATAAAATTTACGAATATGATTTTATTAAAATAATGAATTCAATCAGATGTAATAACTATATACAAAGTCCATCATTATGGAATGTGAAGGCAAGAAAAGGTAAGTACAAAACGGGAATCCTTAAAAAAAAATCAATTTTTAATTTTGTTTCTGAAACTTTCCAAAATTTACCTGTTTTCAGACTGATTTATAAACTTTACTTTTGCTGTTTGCTCGAAATTAGCATTACCAATGCAAATTTAAACCTAAGAAATTGACATCCCTTTGTACAAGCACAGGACCGTCTGCACTTCTTTTGAAATTTCTTCCTATGCTTTCCCCACAATCTGTCTCCTAATTTATACTCGAATAGCCATTGTGTGAGTCTGGTATTGGTAGACAGATGAAAATCATTTTTTGCATGGTACTCTATAATTAGTTTGGTGTCGAACGTGGTACACTTGGCTTTGCCAGTGCAGTGGAGAGCAGTGCTTGGCGTGGTATTATTTATTGTTGATATAATACGTATTATTAATTATTAGTTAATGTTAATATTAATATTTGTTCATATCGTAACCAGTAAAAGGTAATAGTTATTAAAATAAATATTATGTAATTATTTAGTAATGGCTTTCGGGAAAGATAACGAAATAACCCGGGAAAATCCCCAAATAGTCGAGCCGGTTTTTATCGAAAGAGTCGAAACAAACTCTAGAGTTTAAAAACAAAGATTTACACGTACAAAGTCAACATATTATTTTAAATATATATGAATGTTTGAATAGAGAAAATAGTGAACAATGTGATAAAGAAATTAGGAAACGGATTAGCGAATTAATTAAGATATCAAAAAGGACAATTTATTGGGTAATTAAAGAAGGAGACGTTATTAATCACGGTACAAAGAGGAAACGGAAAAATACAAAATTAAAGAATATTGACGATTTTACCAGAAATGTAAAACCTTGACAATCGTATGGTAATTATGGAATCACGACGTATAGTTGCACTTCGGGAAGATTATTTACAAAAAATTACAGAATATCGTCAACGAAATAGGAATATAGCTTGGAATATAGTATATCTAGACGAGACAGGGCAAAAATTTTCTGGAAGCCTATGGATTCCGTAAAGTCTACGACTTAAATGTTTTTATGCGCTTCCAACTGATATCGTAACGATTATAATAATTTCTATCCGTCATCCTCCGTTTAGATTTAATGGAAGTATGGACATAATGAATTTTCATGCTGCCATCAGACAACCAATCAAAACGCAATCTTTTTGTCGTGCGTCATTAAATCAGCCGATCGAAAGTATTAAATTGCTGGTATATGGTAACTTGATCTAAATCGATTTATTTTCGTTCAAGTTCAGTTCAGTCAATTGCCAAGTGACTTTCTACGAGATAATTTGAAAAGCACCTTTTTGGTTGAGAATTGTAAAAAGAGCCTAGGCCAAAAACTATAGCAATAAATTTGTAACAACCATAAACATTTGCAAAGGTAATGTTTAGCATGCGAACACAAACAGCAACCTCGAGTTTATAAATTGTTAAATCAATACATATTTTTAATATTTGTATCTTTATGGGATATGAGGTATGTCACTATTTGTACCTATAAATATAAATAATCAGGTTCAAATACGTATTTCAGAACTGAAAACACAAAAAATATAAAAAAATTCAGGCTAGTTAAAAACAAATCGATAGGAAGGAAAATCATAAATCTTTAGCCAATATTAGGATGCATTTTATAAAATATGCAAATAGTAACAAATTGGCAAGACTTATAAAATTCAAAAAAAGGGAACAGTATTATTGGACCCCAATATTTTCCCAATCAGCAATCATTGTTAAGTTGACATTTTCAAATCTCCATTTTTGTGTTTTTGACTTCTCGTCACACGACGTTACGAATAATCTTTTTCCTCCTGGGTCGCAATCTAGGCATCTCGGGTTTCCTCCGTGGAGGAACCACTGCTTTTCCTGTATCGAAAAACAAGATTTACTAACTCATTTTGTTTTGCTACACTGCAAAATACAATATTTTAAAAAATTGGTAAAAAAATGTTTGTGCCACAAGGATCAGTTAGGTGCCGTTTTTAATAAATTATTTTTGTCTGCTTTGAAATCTCATAATAAAGATGTCTCCAATAAAACACTAAGCTAATAGATAAAGCATTTAAGAAAAAATAATTTCACATTAGTAAACTCCAGTTACACCTCATCCATTTATGATAAAAAATTCAGTATGTATCAGGTTCGATCGCTGACGCAGCAATTCGGCACTGAAATATTTGAAAAACTTGTTCCCATATTTATTTAGCCATACCCATTATACAGGCCTGGTCGAACTAAACATGGAGGTGGTAGAAATGTATATGACCAGTTGAAGAGTACGAGCGCGGGCAAACGAAATATAAATACAGGTGCATTCGGGCACTGGGAAATAAATCTCAGCCGTTGACAAGTGGTCGACAAATTGCCCAGCAGTGCAGTGCAGCAATGCGGAATTTGGTGTGACTCAGGCAATTTTAATTTATTATAGGCACCTTAATATTACAACATGGCATTTTGGAGACCTTTTGGAACGAAACAAAACGAAATTTACCATCAATATAAAATTGTTTGAGGACATAAATAATTAAAATATGTTATTTATAAGAAAACTTTTAGGGACGCCTAAAAAGCTCATTAAATTTCATTGCCAGGCATTTTTTTACATGTTCAACTGACTTCGGAAGGACTATACAGCGGCCTACCGGTGGATGAAGCCTGTACAGGTTATTTGAAAATTAGGATTGGATTTTCGATAGTGGATGTTCCCGTTGAGTTTCATCTCCGCAATTAGTGGAGGAGCCACAAAAAATTAAAAACGGGGAAAGCTTTTAATTTTCATAGTAATTCATTCCTTCATTTTGAGACTTCAAAGGAGACTTATTTACGATCTTTCTTACTTTGCATAGTAACAAATATACGAAAAAAAAACTATGCTAAACTGCACAGATAAATACTTCTAAAATAAAATTCATTCACGATTTTTTCTACTGAAAATCAAAAGTTTACAAACAGAAAACCATTTTAGTGATGAGAAAAAAAACTGCTATGAAACTTACAACATCGTACTTCCAATACTGATTGCCTTTCATGCCATGACAAGGATACAGCACAACATCGGCTTTGTCATTGGGATCAGATACGTCAAAACAAAGAGATTTCCCTTTGACCCTAATATCCTTGTGCCAAGTTAAGGTAAAGTTTTGCTCGCCCCTCTTCCTGGTGTCGGATACGCATTCTTGTAGACCGATTGCTTGGTCTCTGTCTTTGTAACCAGAGTCTACGCATAGTTCTGGTGCTGCTAGGTTTCTAATCTGAAAGAAAAAAATTATATTGATCAAAGTTATGACCAGTGTTGTAATTTTTTTACTCATGAACTAATAGCCATCATTAAAACTTGCGTAACATACTTCAAATAAAACATGAAATTAGAAGGTTGAATGTCAAGTAAAAAAAAAAAGTTATATGCAATATACTAGGCAAGTGGTCCAAAGTCTATGGTCACCTCTATAGCTTGTTTTATATTAGTGTCGGCAGTATAATTTTTTTTGTGTGCCATATTATTAGTTTTGGTCAATCCAAACCTTGGAAAANGTGCAGCAATGCGGAATTTGGTGTGATTCAGGTAATTTTAATTTATTATAGGCACCTTTTATTAATCATTGATATTACAATTGCGAAAGGGAGAAATAATATTACAACATGGCATTTTGGAGACCTTTTGGAACGAAACAAAACGAAATTTACCATCAATATAAAATTGTTTGAGGACTTAAATTATTAAAATATGTTGTTGGCCAAATGAACATGCATATAATAGAAAGTTTCTGCACATTATATACAAATTATTATAATTTTTTACCTTTATAAGAAAACATTTAGGGACGCCTATGACGCTCATTAAATTTCATTGCCAGGCGTTTTTTTACATGTTCAACTGACTTCGGAAGGACTATACAGCGGCCTACCGGTGGATGAAGCCTGTACAGGCTATTTGAAAATTAGGCCTCTGCAGGTGTATACACAAAATTTGAAATGTTCAAATTAAGTTTTACGCTGTATTATCTTTGAAAGGCCAGAGCCAATGCGTAAAGGCAAAGTAACAACCCACCATGATCAGAATAATCCGACATTCAGTCAGTTTTTGAATTTTCGACAGTGGATGTTCCCGTTGAGTTTCATCTCTTTTCCGCAGCAAAAATTTTCCGTGTTTAGTGGAGGAGCCGCAAAAAATTAAAAACGGGGAAAGCTTTTAATTTTCATAGTAATTCATTCCTTAATTTTGAGACTTCAAAGGAGACTTATTTACGATCTTTCTTACTTTGCATAGTAACAAATATACGAAAAAAAAAACTATGATAAACTGCACAGATAAATACTTCTAAAATAAAATTCATTCACGATTTTTTCTACTGAAAATCAAAAGTTTACAAACAGAAAACCATTTTAGTGATGAGAAAAAAACTGCTATGAAACTTACAACATCGTACTTCCAATACTGATTGCCTTTCATGCCATGACAAGGATACAGCACAACATCGGCTTTGTCATTGGGATCAGATACGTCAAAACAAAGAGATTTCCCTTTGACCCTGATATCCTTGTGCCAAGTTAAGGTAAAGTTTTGCTCGCCCCTCTTCCTGGTGTCGGATACGCATTCTTGTAGACCGATTGCTTGGTCTCTGTCTTTGTAACCAGAGTCTACGCATAGTTCTGGTGCTGCTAGGTTTCTAATCTGAAAGAAAAAAATTATATTGATCAAAGTTATGACCAGTGTTGTAATTTTTTTACTCATGAACTAATAGCCATCATTAAAACTTGCGTAACATACTTCAAATAAAACATGAAATTAGAAGGTTGAATGTCAAGTAAAAAAAAAAAGTTATATGCAATATACTAGGCAAGTGGTCCAAAGTCTATGGTCACCTCTATAGCTTGTTTTATATTAGTGTCGGCAGTATAATTTTTTTTGTGTGCCATATTATTAGTTTTGGTCAATCCAAACCTTGGAAAACACCAGAATGTGCTTTATATCTGTTTGATACAATTCCATTATACAGGGTGGCCACATGAAAATGAAACAGAGCCATTTTCAGGAACTGCGTCAAGATTGTAGAAAAACGCTCAGACCCGTTGAATTTAGATTAAAGGGGGACATTCTCTGTTGGTATTTTTGACTCCGCCACTTTCACCCCCAAGCAAGGGTAAGCATCACCCCAAAATATTTAAAAGGCATTGGGGGTTGAGTAATATTTCTTTTGAAAGCTCTTACAATTCTCTTTACAATAGACTTTAAATTTTATAATTCCGCCCAATACTTTGAAAAAAATTTACATTTTAAAATTTAAATTATGTTTAGTTGCTTACTTACTACTTAGTTGATTAAATGTTCAAACTGATGACCGCCCGCTTCCATACAAGAATAAAGATTTTGTTCGAAACGTTCGCGCACATTCCGAAGCATTTCCGAAGTGATTCGACGGCATTCGTCGACGATTCTTTGACTTGGCAGAGTCAAAAATACCAGCAAAGAATGTCCCCCTTTAATCTAAAATCGACAAGTCTGAGCGTTTTTCTACAATCTTGACACAGTTCCTGAAAATAGCTCCGTTTTGTTTTAATTTGGCCACCCTATATATTGAAACAATATTCTTTTAATTTTCACACAAAGCAAACAGAATGAATTTGATACGTACTTCTCCAACACCGAAATCGCCTGGCTCTATTGGTGGATATTTCAATACTAAGTCGAACGCTATATTCTCCATAAACCACTTGAAAGGCTTGCACTGTAATTTTTCTCGAAGCGCCTTTTGTTTCGTCAGATCCCCTGGATCAATACCTTTATAATGTGGCCTCCTCATATACAAATATTGTGCATATTCATCCATCCAAACCTCGGCAACTCTTTTATAATTCTAAAACGTAATAGGTATTAGTCTTATATAAGAAAATCAACTGTTGGGTACTTACCCTTCCAACAAAATCTCCTTTCCCAGGATTTGGAAAGGGCGCAAACTTTCTGTAAATGTGCCCCACCCTGGAACAGGGAGCATCTACCATCTGGCCCCCGCACTGCCAAATTTTAAAGCTAAGTTCGTACTGTTCACCACCCCAAATATCTAAACCTTCATCATAACCCTCAAGTTCCCAGAAAAATTTTCTACTTATTGCAAATAAACCACCAGCCATTACCGGACTCCTAAAAATCAATTGGTGTATTTTCATTAAAATGATTTATAAACGGCATTTCATTAAGAATGGGACACAGCTTAATACCTCATTGAGAGATTTAATAAATCTCTATATATAAAAAGAGATTTATTAAACTTTAAGAGCCCACAGATAGAAAAGCCTTGAACCTCAAAAAAATACCCTCTATAGTAGCAAATAAAAATGTCACTACAACTGTGACTATATTTACCTGAATGGCTCAGTAGGATGTTTTAAGTCTTCGGGAAGTAAAGGGAGTCTCTTATAAAAGAATTCCCAATCAAAAGCCCCTCTAGCACCCTCATCTTGAGCACGGTATTCGAAAGTCTCATATTGTACAACGTCAATGAAAGGACATACGCAAGTTTTGTAGTCTTGAGCAATTGGTTCTAAAAATATATATATATTCATATATACCATCTTGTAAAAGGTGTTCAGAACCTACTTACCTAAAAGAGGGGGAAGCCAGTTAACGTTAGCCTCAGTGTGTGAATCTAAAAAAATTAAAACGTCCGCTGTGGCTTCCCTAGCACCAGCTAATCTAGCTCTAATCAAACCACTTCTTTCTGGCAAGTGGATCGCTCGAACTTTCGTTAGATTAGCTCTTAAGTAGTCATCTAGAGGCTTTTTACTAAATGCTAAAAAAATTAAACATAAAATCATATACAGGGTGTTTCTTAAATAGTATAAAATATTTATTCAAATTATTTTAAGAAGAAAAGTTCATATATGCCCAAATATGTCTTCTGTTTAAAACACAGGGCTTTGAATTTAATTTTTGTTTTTTTATATATGTTAATAACGGAATGTTTTGTTTTTCTCAAACTTTGAATAATAAAACTACCTATTAGAGGGCACGTTGTAGCACAAATGAAAAAGATTTTTTACGCCATAAATTTCGTACCTTTTGAACTGAAGTCATCCACTAAAATTACTTCCTTCAACAAATGGTCAGGGGACCTATTTACGACACTTGTTGCAGTTCTAAGTAAAGTAGTCCAATGTTCATTGTGGAATGGTACTATTACACTTACTGATGGGAGATGTTTTAAATATTTTTTACTTTTGCACCTGCAATTGGAAAATTGGTTAAATTTTACACCTATCTCATTAAACTTTAAAGGGATTCTCTAATATGGAAAGTTAAACTACAATTAATTGCATTAATATTTATTATTTTATAAAAAAATTCCAATTTATTAGTTACTTTCCATTATGGCATACCTTTCATTAAGCATCTACTGTTTCTTTTAAAATAAATGAATTTTACCCTTATTAAAAAATTTTCAAAACATACATTTTTTATTACTTTTTATTATAAATATTTTGTACAGTTAAACAAACACTATTAAAAGACATTAACCAAGTTGCCATATACCTTTTAGTTTAATTGAAAGCGTATTAAATTGTTTTTAAATAATTTTATGGACGCTGTAAAAAATACATTGATTCCTGAGAAGAAATAATAAGTTAGTAACTTGTTTCATCAAAATTTTAGATAATTCTTGCTTGTTTGATTTCCTTTAACAGGAAATAGACAGTTATTTGGCATATTATTATTTACAATGAAAACAGTTTGATTTACTGTTTTCCAATTTATCACGTTAAAGAGATAACAAACAGACAATTTTATCTTTATTTACCTGCGTTAGTAGATTGTTTTTAATTTAATTTAATTTTGTAAGGTAATATTTAAAGTGGAAAAACAAATATTTAAAAAATAAATAAATGAATAGTTGCAACAAATTAAATAAATACGCAAAAAATAAAACAAGTTAATAAGAAACGAAAATTTTGACATTTCATGCTTTTGTTAGAGCAATTTGATCACAAGTCATAGCACGTTTTTAAAAAATAACAGAATATGTAATCTGCCTCCTGTTAAACCATGGTATAATTTGGTAAATGCTCTTTAGTAGTGTCTAACTGTATAAAATGTTTATGTCATAGTCTTTGCAAGAATTTATTTAATTATTTTTCGAATTTTGTTCACACAAATAAGACAAAAGACCTCACAAAACACAAAAATTTTGTAATTCTTTTAAAGTTGCAATATATTTTTCAATGTTTTACCATAGGTTAAATATTGCAGTCACTTTTCCACAACTGGTACAATGACATAAATTAAATAATATTTCTTTAAATGTTAAGGTCTAGTCATCATGAACGGTTCCTCCTATTTTTGATACAAGAAATGAATACTCTTTATTTGAAATAAATACAATAACAAGGATATCATTTGGTTAATCAAAATCGACTTTTTGTCCGCATCAACACTAATAAATGATAACAGAATTGGAAGATATAAAAAAATTCATACTAAGGATATGATTATTTTTTATATTACTTACTAAAACATAATTAAACATGTTTTATTAATAAGCAACAAGTGAATAGCATACATTCTCATAGATAATTAAAATGAAGTGTATAAATGAATAGTTATAAAGCAGTTTGACATTTATCATTATGTAAATTCCTAAGCAGGTTATAGGTACCATAAATATTTTCACTCTAGGTGTATATTTATGAAACACTCTTGCTAAATTGTTATACAATGCATCAGTAAAATAAAGCATATATTCAGTGAAGGATATTTTTTCTACACTTCCAATTAAATAACCGTATTTTGCTTATTTTGACTTAAAATCTTAATAATACTTACTGTACTTTCAGTAATACTTACAGGTAAATTAATATTCTTAATTTTTAAATAGACAATAAGCTCTGAAGAGAAAAGTACAATATATAGGTCTTTAAAAGCTTTCCAAAGGAATTTTTTTGAAAACAATTTAAAAGCAATCACTTTATATCAGTAATATCATATAGTTTGTTTAAAAACAATATTACATTCTAATTCAATAACCATCGGAAAAAGTATCAATTCAATAGTTATGAATATGATAAAGTTTTTCTGATTGATTTTATATCCTGTATGTTGTCGTCCGTTGAGCTACCTCTCCTTTTACATTTTCATGTAAAGGATCATTAATAATGTTATAGCTCTGACAAGGGTTATCCTCTATATATAAAATCATTTTTAAAAAATGGACAATTAAAAAATAGGAATGATACAGAATTATGTCCAAAAGAGATTCCCTGAATTTTTGTTCAATTTATGTCATATTTACAGACACAGTGTATAGATCTTTATTAATATGCAAAATCTAAGGGGAGTAATATGATTACCTTGATATTATTTATCTGATATCAATTATCACAAAGTTACAATCATGTTGAACAATTGATTAGTGAAGATAAAACTTCTGGGAAATTGACACACTTCCTGTCTCAGAGATAGGTACATCATTATAAAAATATATACTTTTATAAAGTATATGTGATAATATGTGACAACTGATTTCGACAACATTTAGGTTTATTTAAATGAATTATTAAACAAATGGAAACAGTAGAAATATTGTTTAAAAACAATATTATATTTTCAATTCAATGACCTTTGTAAAAAAATTGACAAGACAATAATTATGCAATAGAATAAAATTCTTTTGATAACTTTTATTGGGTTTATGTAGTACATACACAGTGTGGTCTGTTTAAGAACTAGCAACCCTTCTTTAATTATTGAGCAATTTTTATTTTTATTTTTATTGGACACAAAAGCAGAGAGGAAGGAAGTGGCTCCTCTATGAAACAAAAATAAATATATTGACAACTATACTTTGGACGGTGTCGCATGACATTCATGTGTAAATTCTTAATTGTAAATATAATGTTATGTTTACAAATACCAACCAACCTTTGGTATGAAAGATTTTAAAGGCCACATACAGGGTGTTTGTAAATAAGTGCAAAATATTTTAGGGGGTGGTTGCCGAAGTTATTTTGTGAAATAAAGTTCAAGTAAACATAGGTCGAAATATGCTTCGTTTCCGAGATACAAAGTGTTTAAATTTTAATTTTTTACTTATTTTTATTAATTATTTCAGAGTTTTAAATATATTGACTCGAAATTTGATGTTTGTATTTTATTTAGAAATATTGACAGCGCACCTTATAGATAATGTATCAAGAGAAATTAAAAATACACAACTTGCAATAAAATATGTTTTACTTTTTCCTCAAAAACGGTGCATCTTACGAAAAAAATTGAAGAGACCATTCATTCAGAATTGGTGGCGAATTTCCAAAAATATATCAAAATGTGAAAAAGTCAGTGGCGTACCATTTTTTTTATTAAAAAAGGTTGTGGCATTCTCGCACAGAGCGCCACTGGTGTAAGTAGAAATATTCTGATCACCCCAAAAAATGCACATTTATCCCTCCAAAGCGTTTTTCAAATTTCGAGTCAATATCTTTAAAACTCTTAATTAATAAAAATAAAAAAAAAAATTCTCAAAATAAATTCGGCAACCACTCCTTAAAATATTTCGCACTTATTTACAAACACCCTGTATATCTGTATTAGTAACTGGATTGACATGTGTCTGGTAGGAAGTTTTAGATGCACATTCCTAAGGCCCACTATACATTTTTGGACAAACAAGATGTGGCATAATTATGATGATATATGTTATGAAAATTCATTTGAAAATCTATTCGAAGGAAATTATATGAATTCGTTACAAATTATTTGTTCAAATACAGTGATTTGTAGCTTCGTACTTCAAAAAATAAAGTAAAATCAATCAAAAATGTTTAATATTGCAGTGACCACTTATGTATTTGTTTTAATCTGACATTTGATATGAAGAGATTTTCATACAAATTTGCATCTAATGTACCTGCTACCTTTGCCACATCTGAGTATTGATTTAGCTATTATGAATATTTATTTATATTTGAAACAAAACATTGATGAAAGTACCGATTTTAAAAATAATCTTGAAATTTTGAACAAAATTAAAAACTAAAATAAATATTGTCATAAGAATTTGAAAAAAAGAAAAGTAAAAACTGTGAGATGACATTTGAATAATATTTTAGTTTTGTTTGTATTTTCCGAGGTATTTTCTATTAAAATAAATTTACTCTTCAACTATTCCACATTTTCATATTTCAGAACACCCTGTACATCAAAATCAAAATTTTTCTATAGTAATATGATTATTTTAACAAGGAAAATATTTTTTTATGAATAACCTCAAAAAAAAATCTGCCTTCTCCAAACAAATCCATTGACATATTGTATTTATTAGCAAATAATGTGTTAGAAAAAGTATTTTTAAAGGAATGTCAATATGTATTACTCACCCTGAATGCCTAATATCAGGCACAGCTCTACTTAAAGCTATTTTATCGCTAAGGGCAGCATTGAATCCGTTCACCTTATACAACTTGTCATAATTCTGGTTTTCGGAGGAACTCAAATAAGCTGGTTTTCCTTGCTCCCCAGGCCCTAAATTAGAACATGTAATATGAAGTACAAGAAAATAATAACGCGAATCGGTTATCAACTTAAAGCTTTATTAAATATGACTACATACTTAATTATGATTTGTAACACTTACTTTTCACAAGGTTACAAATTTAAAGAGAACAAAACACATTTATAATCATAAACTGCAAAAGAGTTTAATTTTTGTCATCTTATTGTTATATTTTCAATGATTTTATTGTTATATTTTGAATGATAACATTGTTTTTTAAATAATCCATCTGTAAGTAAATATTGATATTTTTATGCTTGGCTACGATTGTTTTATTTAAATAAATATATTTTTCAAAACATATTTTTTTTCCGCAAATTAAAAACTCAATTAGTAGGTTTTTAAAGCATTAAACCAAGAAGGATTAATTATAAATATATTCAAACTCCTATATGGGAAAATTATTTTATGTATTTCAAGGTATCATGATACTGCAACAAACTAGAAAGTAATACAATTTATTAATATTAAAGGACACTGAAAACTACACAAACATGTGACAGCTTCCTACATGATCGAATTATTATGAAAGCATTTTACTTTAACTCTAATTTTAGAAGTAAATTTAATATTACTTTATATTTTTGATACTGTACATATAGGGTGACTTTTTTTTGGTTTTTAGTGTAGGGATCTGGCAAAATAGCAGAGATACAAAAAGGGAGGAAAGATGTGCAGTTTTATGATCCTTATAAAATGTTCCTTTTATTTTTTGAAAAAAACGTCATGCAGCTTAATTAAATTAAAAGTTAAAAATGGATGCAGTTCTCTCATTTTTCAAAATAACAATACCGAATATTATATCGTTGGAAACCACACAAAAAGACATTTTTTCTAGCTCATAGCTAACTATGGTTTACATTTAAAAAACTTGAAAACGAAAGTGTGAAAGAACTATTTGATCACACTGTCTTATTAACACTGCAAAAACCTGAAACTTTGTAATTTTGTAAAATAAATAGGCAACGGAGCTACACGCATCTGAAAGAATTGGCAGAATTCGGATTTTTCTAAATATTTAGTCAGCCATGACGTTTATTTAAAAAATAAAAGTAATATTTAATAAGGATCATAAAACTGCACATCTTTCTTCAAGTAGCTATACCGAAACTTTCTAAATAATATTGATAATAAAAAAACTAATTACCAATATAATGCATGTGAATGACTGAAAACACAAATTTTAATTTATTTTCTCTAAAAACCGTAAAGATAGACAATTGATTTTTTCATTAATTACATTTATGCTACAGTTGTTTTAATGTTATTAATATAAATAACAGTTAGATATATATGGTAATTACTTTGGAATGTCAATATGAATATATTATTATGCATGAAATGAGAATTAAATCAATAACTTATGTACTCCACCTTCTTGAGAAATAATAACGGTAACACTTGTTCAACAAATAGCAAGTAGTTCTCGAGGTAGTTCTTATTAAAATTTTTAGTGTTACATAAAAGTTCCTTGAATTTAATACGCTACCCTGACTCAAATACATATAAATCCAAAACTGGAAACATTTTCCAAGTACATACACATTGAAAGCATAATATCTTCTTTGTGACTACATTAACAGAAAATTGCTTGGACACTTATGTATACTGGGTGTTTTGGAAAACAGTACTATAATTTAAGGAATAATAGAACATCAAAAAATGAGAATAATTTTTCCATGTAGACCATCTTTAGTTTTAAAGAGAGCTCTAAGAAGGATTTTTTTAAATTTTAGCCATCTTTCCAAAAAAAATAAATAAATTTGGTACAAGTTTTTGCAGGCGCTAAAGATGTCAGTGTTAGTTTTCACCACCATTTTGGGTCACTAACTAAAAATTTTTCCGACATTTTTTTCTGCGGTTGGATTTTATACAATATATGCCACACTTGAACTGTTACTCTCTTGGGTGGAAATAAACTAATTTAGATCAAGTTTTCTCCAATAAGTACAATTTCATTTTCTTAAAAAGTTGTTCTTTAATATTACATTGGGCTAAAAAAATTTTTTGAAGGCTGATACATCTTTTAAAAGCAAAATTATACAAAGGCAAGTTGATCTAAATCGGTTTATTATCATCGAGGGAAACTACCCTTAATATGGCTCTTTCGTTTCTGGTACCCTAAGTATATCATAAAAAATAGAAACTAGTTAACTTTAGCACAGTCATTTGCGTTTCCCAAAAATGATGCATTAATGATTTCAATAACAGTACTTTTTAATTCTAACTTCAAAAGAGATATGTAATAAAAAGAAAAATACCCTGTATACAAGAGTATTACCACACTTTGAACACATCAGAATTTCATTCAGATCAATAATAGTAGAGCTTCCCACATTCTAAGAGAATTGTATATAAGGGAATTTATATTAACCACCAATACGTTTTATTCCACCACAAATAAATTTTGCGTAAGCCAACTTCTATTGTTGTATTTCTAGATCTTTTGCGCTTTTAACAGTAATATTTACGTAATAAGGAAAGAGGAAATTTTGATTTGATCACTACCATTTTTGTATGTTGCAGTAAAAAATATTTTTAACTAAAACTAACGATATTGTGGGGAAACTCTACTTTAGGTTATATCTCACCCACATTCAAAACATAATGTGTTAAATACTATATTTAAACAAATAATACATAATGACAATGAAACAAGATGACCAAGTGGCAGTGTACTTATGCCAAATAAAAGATAGACTGCATTTTAATTTTATATAGAAGCACTTCCCTTCATTAGATTTGAACTTAAATACTAAAACAAACAAATTCATTACCTGTTCTTAATGAATCAGTTTTAATTTTTTCATAATCGTGCCAGTCAATTTTCTCATTATCCACTAACTCAAATTCCTAAAAAATTATCTAAGTAAATAATTCATCATAAACCACAATTAATTAATACTTAGGTACTTACATTTTGTGGTGCTATCGGTTCAAGTCCATTAATCCTATTTTTAATTAATAGCTCGTTCTGTGGATACTGTTTACTTTTAAATATCCTGAACAACAAAACAGTGAACACGACTGTAACGGCTGATAGTAAAAAAAACTTGAGCACAGTTTTTATGTTCCTTTTCATAATGATTTCTGTGATGTGGACATGTTTTCGTTAATTATAATACCTTATCATCTCATAACATTAAGGATAGTGATAAGATTTTAAAGAGGATTTCAACGAAATAGTCTAAATTTTCAATGTAAATAGTTGAAAAAAATCACATAACCTCACTTGTTCTGCACAGCGCGGCAGCATCGCAACTGTCACCGAATCACCTCGGACTCGGAATAAACATTAATAAAAATCTAAAAACAAACTTAAGATAAAGCATTCACCTTACATGAGGACTGACTGCAAGAACACGAGTGATTCTCACGACCGTTCCCAATTGAATTATAATAACAAAAGCTTACAGGAAGTTATGTACAGTACAATTATTGTTGTTGCTTAAAACTTTTAAGAGCGAAAGTCTTTAGAAATCTTTTATTATTAAATTAATCTTTATATTATTGCTACGAATAACTTTAATATTTTACAATACCCTCAAAACCAGTAACAAATGTGTAATCATCGAGCTTTGCCATAATTCACAATAAACGGAGAACGGAGGTGTTGTTACAGATTTTAGGAAATTTGTCATTGTATTTGAAGTTCGATTTGATTGACTCCTTAGCTGAGCTGACCTTGACCCTGCATTCTTTCAAATAAAAGGGAAGGTAAAGTAAAAGAATGCTAAATGCGTTTCAATGCTGAACTGAGCGTAGCTTTTATTTACACATATTTTGCCTTAGGGCATTGTCCTTCAAACAAACTTATTCGTCAGTATCGCCAGTACCTACCTATAATATACTATAATATACCTATATATAGTTAACTACTATTTTGTTAAATAAAAATTATAACATTCTACCCATTATCTTTTTTACTTTTCTAAATACGAAAAAATGTAAACAAAGATTTAGAAAATATTATTTGCGATATTGAAGAAATAATATATATAAAAAAGAATTGACTTGCATTTCGAATACCTATACAAACCAATCTTTTTTTTAAGTACAACACCTTGTACTTATGTATAGTTATCGCTTTTTGCAATCCTCTCATTTGCTGACCCTCCACAAGTCCCTAACAGAGATATACATATCTCTGGTCCATAGACAAGACAAGATACAAGATAAAGTCAAGATTACGATTGAACTAAATGCATCTTCGCTAAACGGATCTTTATTTTATTAAAAAAAAATTTGGTTGTTGATTATAAATAAAAGTTACATTACCTAATACCTATTGTCTAAAAGGGAGACACTTCAAGCATAGAAAATATAGTACTATATTTTGTATGACTTCAAGAGATGATTATATGAAATAAAAATAAAAAGGGTTATTCAAACGTTAATGTATCACTGTCATAACTCATAACATACTTGATACTTTGGTTGCCTAACTACTTCCAGCGACCAGAGTACGGACTGTACTGGTAATAGACTCCATAGATTAGAGTTACAGACGACGTCAACTACTGTATTATATGTTTTGTGACGTCAACGAAGGCTGATGCTGTTGGCAAAGGGACTGCCAACGACGCAACGCACGGACGCGCAGATAAACCGCCTCATATTTGAATTTTGGGAAATAAAATAAGATTTCCCATTCCCAAATGCGACGAAATTCCAGTTGTGGCAAGAAGAATAATTACCATGCTGAACGACAAGCCCAGATATTAGTACGAATCAAATTCTCCCCAGAAGACGGAAAATCCGGAGAGGCCAAATATGAATCGAAGGCGAAGATTCCTGTAGGACCACGGCCGAAGCACCATGGGATGTGATCGAACGTCAATTCCGGTACTCTGCAGTTCATTAGCCAGGACGCACCTTTACCATTATACTCGGTAGGTTTTAAGCTTTTGTGTTATAATAGGTACTTATATTAAATCAAGCATTTACTTATTATTGATAATAATATATTCTCGGCAGTCACGTGGCTTGTAAACATTTATGAAGGCTTTGTACGTATATGGTGTGTATGTCCATATGTATGTATATTTATCATATCTCAGTAAAAGGTTTACAGGTTTTGAAAAATTATTTGTTTTATTTTCTGCTTCACCCAAACATAAACAAAGTTTTGATCATTAACTGTTTGTAAAAGTTATATTTTGCTTTCGTAATTTATTACATCAAATTTCATCTATTTTATAGGTTTTATAGGTAGGTACCTATTTGATTTCATCTCACACTTATTTCAATAATGTTTACACATGAATTAATATATTTTATAGACAACAGTCCATTTAAGTATAAATTTTATTGGCATAGGTACCTACCTATACTCTTGTTACATTTCTTTGCCACAGATAAAAAATATTTTTTACGAGAAATATTTGACAAACGATAAAATGGTGTTGCGGTATTATGCTTAAACTGATAAACTGTATAATAAATTTATACATTTATTAATATTACTTAGGCATTAAATACAGTAAAATAATTTATTATTTGAATATTTGATATTTGATATTTTATGGTAACATTCGACTTTTTTGTAGGTACTTTAATGTATCAAGAAAAACAGGAAGGTAATATTTCTTTTTAAACATATTTTAATTTCTAAAGATAATTACATATTTGTATTAAAAAAAGTAGGTATATGGTTTGAAATAATATCACTGTAGTGAATCAGTTTTTTTAAAAGACTAACAGGAAATTTTTGCCATTTACTATTTTCTTCAAGGAGCATCAGGTTAATTTTCCTTGATTAAGTTCGTCTAGTATCATTCTAAAGTCTTCTGGTAACAAATCAGGTTGAACAATACGAGGCATCGCTTTTCTTCGGATTTCCGTCTTCCAAATATTAACTATTAATACTCTGTCTTTGGTAATAACTGTTCTTAACGTAGCCAAATTACATTTATTGGACACGACATATCTTCTGATCATTTGACGATACACTGCTCCATGAGTACCTTCATTTTCTTGATACTCTGCTTCTACGGTAAAGGCATTGGGTTTAATAACTCTCACGGTGATGTTCGCATTCGTCATAAACTGTTGAATGTCCAAGATGAGGTGGAAGCCTTCTGCGGAAGAACGTACGAGTGAACCAACATCCTCGAAGAAAATTTCTTGGTCAGCTGTAGCTTCTATCCACGGTCTAACATAGCCGGTATGATAGCGCAACAACCTCCTACGTCTCAATTGGGTCTCTTGCAAATTCCTTGGCTCTAAGCAAAGTCCAAAAAGATTATCAACTAATGATTCTATGATATTCTCTCTCAGCAGATGTGGCACCACAGACATTATCAACTGTTGCTTGGAAAAAATTTAAATAATCTTGCACTTCTTATATGTACGCGAATTCTTAAAATCAAATTTAACTGAAGGAAATGGCAATAATAGGTAATAGCACGAATAAATTGCCTTTTATAGGTCTTTTATGATTTCTAGATGGCTCTGAAAGCAATAAAGTTCCTACCCATTGGCGGGGTAATTCTAAAATTGATTTACAGTGTTCATCGAATACTACTATTACTACTATTAATCCTCTAGGGTTCTAGGGAGGTTCTACAAGAGTCAGTGGCAAAAAAATTGTTTAAATTTACTAAGCCTAGTTTTTTATAGTCGATTGCAGTATAGTTGCGTAGACAAACATACTGTGGTCAATCAAGCGAAATTGAAAACAGGTGTCTCAGGGCTCAGGGTACACTATCAAAGTTGTACCTATCGAGATAGTAAAATAAATTTACTTATGGTGAAAATCGTTATACTAATTCTATGCTAATACCCTCACAAAAGTTTTGAAGTCTAGTAAACGAATTACACGTTATTTATTTTTTGTACATATCTACATTCTACATAATTATGTACATTGGTATGCTGACTGACAAGCTCTGTCCCCATATTCAGCTGACTAACTGACATAACTTTTATTTATATGCAGTATAGAATTTGTATAACGATTAACGAAATATTTATCCGCTGAACGACTTTGGACGGTCCGACCATTCGCTGAACACAACTGCTGTAATCAACTATCAAAAATCTAGGCTAGTAAATTCAGACATTTTTTTGCCTAGGGCTCTTCGTCTACTAGGGCGTTCTTTTAATGTTGCAAAGTGGAACTGAAGACTGGTGCAAGAGAGGAAGACAACTTTTTTGAAAAATGAGATCCACGGGGACCCACACAGTGTGTTAGATAGAATCTGAATCTGATTTCGCCAAAGGAACTTTCGTGATGAATGCATATGTGTAGATAAGCTGATAAGGGTGATTAGAAACAGAAGACGGTACTTTTTTTTTGGCAAAACTGTGTCTCCATGGGCAAAACATTAATATTTTTCTAGTTTCAACTTCGCAAATGAATATCTACTATTTGTGACACACATTTTCCATATTTTTCGTGTTAATAGTCAATAACATTTTTTCTATAAAGCCCGAAAACTGTTTCCATTGGCTCCATTTTACGGTAATCAAAATTTATCATAGAAATCTGTCTGCCTATATGATCTTCACATATATTGAAAATATTGCATGGTGAAAATTACAGTTGAATGAACATTGAACAATTAAAAAATGATCTGCAATTCAATAATCATTTAGCAACTGCAAATCATTTAGCAAATTTAGAAATTGACTAAACATAACAATTAAAATTGCTTAATTTTTCTTTTGATCAAGTACTCTACCAAGTTGTTCCAATTGGGCATCAAAATGCCTGTTCGAAGCAAGTAATTTGCAACAAATCACTTATTTACTTTACTTGCTTTTCTATTTGACTAATGTAAACAGGTAGGTATATAAGTATTTAATCTATGCAATAGGAACAGGCCTAAAACCTTTTATATGTTTTGTGCCTAAAACTTACCATTGACCATCAACTGCATCATCAACTCCAAACTCCAATAAGAATAAGTGACTTCCTTCTTCTTCTTCTTCTCAATTGACTGCCTAACATTTAAATGTATTTGGTCAGGTTCACACTATTTAGGAATAAAAGTGACAAGAGCAAGAGAATTGACCCAATTGACAAGTGACATTGACAGATGACAAGTTATCGTTTATCATACCTTGTTAATTTTGTTAACTTGTTTCTTTTGTAATACACGGTTTAATAGCACATAAAATCTTTGTTAATTAATCAGTTAATAACTATTGCCACTTGTAGTAATTTATTATGGCGTAAGTATTTTTATGAAGCTGTTCTAACCTATAAGTAAACATATGTTTTGTGTTTTAGATCAAAAGTTACGTTCAAAATTACTTTAACATCTGATCCTAAACTCCCATTTAAAGTGTAAGTAATATCTTAGAGACAACCTTAGTTCTTTGTTAGTTACTGTCAGTATGTATTTGAAATTTAATTTATTTAACATATGCATTCTTTGTTAACAGATGAATGAAGAATTACTCTTGACAGTAACCACCAAAGGACAAGTTATGGATGATAATGCAGTGTCTAATATTATACAAATTCTGAGATCATTCGATAACTTTGTAATAGTTGTAGAAAATCCAGTATGGATTAAGACTGCCAAGGCAGAAGATATAAAAAATGGTTTTAAGTTAGGTTCCTTTATCGAAAAATCTTTGTCTAACTTTAGGAGCAGAAATTTAGCTTCAGATTTTTTTATTGTATTAAATCAGTGGTGGAAGACAAAAAAACATAGGACTAAAATCTATGGTGAAGATTTCTTTCAGTTTGCTTGTGATCGGTTACTTGCTAAATTTTTTATGTATGAAGATATATTGGAAGCCTCACTTGAAATAGCAGTCAGGGTCTATACGTCAATATTTCCAAAAAGACGTTTAAAAAAATGTATAAGTGATCTTATATTGACATCAAGTTCACAAAAGTCTATGAGTGATTTTACAATAGCCAATATAACAGATAACATTGAGTTGAAAAAGTTGGAATATAGTTTAATACTTAGCAATTGGTGTAACGCTTTACAAACTGGTAGAGAAATTGATGTAAGAAAAGAAGTTGAAAATAAGTTGTCGCTATATAAAATAGAATCTTCTTTGCATCTGTTGATAGGAATACTATCCTTAAGTACTGTTACAGATTCTGAGAAACACATTCAAAACATTGTCTTGGAGAATCTATTACAAAAAATGCTAGACAGATGCTTACTAAGTAAAAGTTTTTGGTTGACAATGTTTAAGAAAGTTGATTTACTTTATATTTGTAGGTCTTGTAATAATTTTCACGACTTTTTGGTGTCATTATTTAATTTTCTAGTATATATTGGAAGTATGATGAAACATGAGGATGGTTTGTGGCAGAGTGATGAAAATGTGTCTTTATGCCCAGAAATTACTTATCAGGAAATTTTAGGTTTTATTAAAAACATTTATGATATAAGTTGTTCTTCAAAACATTTTGTTAATCAGAAGTTAAAAGAAGCTCAAGATAATACAAATTCATATATTTGGAAATATATAAAGCAAGATTTGTAAAACACTTTTTTAATCGTAAAAAAATATTCTTTATGTTCTGTATATTTAATTTTCAATTTATCAGAATGTTATATTATGTTAACAATTATTGTGTTTGGTTATGCATATTTGTTTACACAATTTTTTGTACATAAGAAAGTCTATTGAAAATATTAAATTTTATTTTTAAACATTTGCTATTTAATTCCTCAAAGCATTATTTATGAAAACTATTACTAACAAAATATATTTTTTAATCCTTTTTTCTATTTTCATAATTTCTATAGCCATAGGGAATATTAAATTGCTTAATTAAACCAGTAAAATGTACTTTATCAAATATTAAAATTCAGATTAGTAGTAATTATTAACTTTTTGTATAAATGTGATTTAATTTTGTACTAAAATTACAGTAAGTAATAATATATAATAACAAGTAAACCAAATGACATAACTACATTACCTCATTGTATTATAACAATATTACTTAACGATTGTATTGTTATAACGATATTATCTCTTTGTATTTTATATAAACGATTGATATGATGTCAGTTCTGGAAATCGGGTTGGAAATTCCTTGTTTAGTAATAATAATCACTTAATAGTAAATAAATTTACTTGAAATTATGATTACTTTTTTAATTATAAGCGAATACATCTAGTTACAAACAGAGTACAATAATATACTTTACAGGGTGTCCGCAAATTTCACCCACAACGGGGGTTTAACGACGATAAATAAGTAATATGAAAAAAAAATTAAATAAAAAATTTTTGGTTTTCGAGTTACAAGCCTTCAAAGTCAAAAATAAAACTAATTTAATTATTAACTTCATAACTCTTTTCCCGATCGCGTTAAAATTTGGGATATTTATTTGGACTATTATGGCGAATTATTTCTTAAAACTTTAGTCAAACTGATATAATGGGTGACAGTTTTCTCTGGTTGCTTCTCCCTGTTAGCAGTCAAAACTTTTAGTGGTCATATTTTTTTAAAACTTGGCAACAACATTGAAAAGGTCGTTTTATTTAAAAAAAATATTGTCTCTTGAGAAAATCGCCTTCAGAAAGCCATTCTCGAGAAAAATTGCATTATTTGTAGGTCTGTATATTTCGATTTGCGTAGCAGTGTCGTGGATCTAAAACTTTGAGTTCAGTAGGCGATGAAAACAAGATGTTGATTGCTGTGGCTATCAGGTAATGTCATTGTTGTTGTGTTTCTTTAGGATTCTCATCAGTCCACACATGCAAATTATGAAAATTTACCAGTCCGTTCCTTGTAAACCAAGAGCGGGAGTTAAATGAAATGGCCGAAGAAGTTGCTTTTTCAAAGTTTTGTGAACAATAATTTTACATATATCTAATTGTCTTGATACGCTGCAGACACTTCATAATGTGCATGTGTAGCGTGATGAGAGTCCTAAAGAAACACGACAATAATGACATTACCTGATAGCCACTGTAATCGACACCTTGTTTTCATCACCTACTGAACTCAAAATTTTAAGTCCGTGACACTGCTACGCAAACCGGAACGTACAGACCTGCAAATAATACCATTTTTCTCAAGAATGACTCTGTAGGCAATTTTTTCAAGAGAAAGTTTTTGTTTAAATAAAACGACCTTTTCAGTGTTGCTGCCCGTTTTAAAAAAATATGATCACTGTAAAAGTTTTTACCGCTAACTTTAAACCTAACACCAAAAGGTTTTTATTTAACTTTTTTCATAAATCATATTTATTTATCGTCGTGAATATGCAGTTAAACGTTGTTGGTATCATTATTATGAAAGAAAATAAGTACTTGGGTTTTACTGCACAGGGTTTCCCACATAGGTTGATCGCTTGATCAACTGGCGCTATCTGATAATAGATAAAATAATAATGGGGAGTTTAAGTATGTGAGAACCCCCAAAAAATGATATTTCTTTACAAATTCAAGAAATATATCATACAAACAAAAATGTGTACCAAATAAGAAGTCTGTAACTAAAACAATTTTAGAATGACATTAAAAAATGTTTGTTGTACCATATTCAGTAGGATAAATGTAATTCAATAGGTGTTAACTTTCGTACATAGGTAATTTGGTTTAAATTATTACTTTGATTGTGTGTAATCAATCGGTGTGTGTTAAGAATCTCAGAATTTCAAACATTTCTATTTTACAAATTCGATTAGTGCTTTTCATTACCAATAGCAAATATATCTCTACCATTTGTTAAAAGAATGAGACATATTAATTTTAAAATGAGCTTGTTTTCCAAAAATAGTTTATGGAAATTTTTTAGAAATACTATTTTAGAAATACAATGTTTGAAAAACCCTAAAAAATCATTGGCATAGAAGTTTCTAACTACAGCTCCTAAAAGAATATTAAAAATCCTAGGTATGAAAATGCAATATTTTTGTCTCATTTTAAGTCTCTTGAAAACAAAGTTTTCTGCAACCCATATTCATATGAACCTTTTCGTTTAAAATAATTTGTTCTATCTACTCGTAAAGTTTCCAAATTAAAACTTAGACCACCTTTATATTATGTCATTGCTCTATGGAACCAGTTTTATATATCAGTTCAAACTTAATAATATCTCTAGCACTTTTAATTGATTATTTTTTCTGTTTAAAAAATAATTCAGAAAATTATACAGAAAAATTTATGATAATATTTTAAAATAAATATATTTTTACATTACCTATACATTTTTTTTAAATATTTTGTTTCCCTGTGAATATATAAAAATATGGAAAATCACACTTCTTTTTCAGCAAAGATAATCTATTGTTTTTTATATTTTATGTACTTTTTTAATTATTGTTCTAGTTTGAGTGTCCCAGAGGCTACACCATTTACGGCAGTACTTAAGTTTGCAGCTGAGGAATTTAAGGTGCCTCCAGCAACTTCTGCAATTATTACTGATGATGGAATTGGTATTAATCCACAGCAGACTGCTGGTAAGATCTTAATCTGTCATTTAATTTTTCTGTGTCATTAAATAAAAAATCCTAAGGAGTTGCTTCTTTCAGGCAATGTATTCTTGAAACATGGATCTGAATTAAGGCTAATTCCAAGAGACAGAGTGGGTTTTATGTGTTAGTAATAATGTAATAATGTACAAACATAATGTTATTTTGTATTGAATTGTATTATGTTTAAATTATAATAAATATATAATTATTTCTTTCTTATAACATTAGTTTCCTTTTAAGTAAGACTTATAATTACCGTGGACTTATTTGAAACTTTTTATGTAAATCTACAACAGTAATTTTTACTTAGGTAGTGAGTTTAAAATTTTTCATTAATTGCTCAATTACTTATTATTTAAATTATAGAGGCTATAAGGTGTCTGCAATATTTGAAGAAATCGTCTCGTCAATCTTTCAGAAAGTTTTTTTAAAAAAACAATTTTTTGAAAGGATTATCATTTAAGTTTAGGATACCAGATACCTACATAAATTGAAATGATTTATGAAATCTGAACTAGGTGGCGTGTTTGGTAGTTTCCTATAGAGTATACTCATGAAGTTGCATTTGTTTTAATGTATCAGCGGTTAGGGGGCGTAACAATAAAAATTATATAATCGTTTACTATATTTTCAGTTTTGGTAATATTGCTAAAAGGTATATATTATAATTTAATAACATACAGATAATACGAAACTAATATTACTTGGTAAAATATTGTTACAATTGCTCTAGACCAGATGAATATGGATATAAAATATTTTTATCTTTTAGAACAAAAGTGCAAACTGCAAGATTTGTCTACAGTTTCATAATAGTTGTGAACTTATACTAGTGGCGCCTAGGGGGCACTTGAGTAGGTAATAATAAATATCGACCGAGTTGCCCTCTCGACGGCATTGCTCAAAGCTAAGCAAAGCCTAAAATTGTGAGTAAATATCGGCTTAAATTGACATATCTATACATTTAAAAAATCAATGGTCACATATAAAAACAAATGTCATGTGGTTGTTGCCATTAGTGTCAAAATCGTTGGTAAAAGTCAGAAGAGCTGGTGTTTGTAGTATAAGAATATTGTCTAACAAACATTTTTCCATGTACACAGTAAATATGAGTGAATCTTTAGAAACTAAGGTTGCCGAAAAAACCAAGCAACTGGCTCCACCTCTTACAAATGATCGGCATAAAGGTCAAGCCGGGAGAATTGGTGTATTCGGCGGGAGTCTTGAATTTACAGGTAAAGCTTTCAAATTTTTTTTTCCAATAAATACTTATTATCCGTAATTTGTTTTAAATTACCTTAGATAAATTATTTTGTGTAATATCTGTTGAACGTCACATTACACAGATTTTCTATAAAAAAATTATCTATACTTCGAAAGTCACGACAAAGTATAGGTATACCGGGTATTTTATTTGCGACATACTCCAACAGTATGTAGACCGAAAATTAAAAAATGCTTACGGATTTAGTTTCCTAAACTTTTCTGATCGGAGATCTTAATATTATTATATACATATTTGTATGTTATTTGTTTATCTATAAATTTGGACGATTGCCAGTTGTATTTGATTTTTTGGAAGCTTGTAATATACAGGGTGGTCCGAACTTTATGCAGGAAACTTCGAGTGCAGATAGATCTCTTTAAAATAATATGCGTTTGCCTTATAAACATAGGTCTGGAACGGCACCGTTTTAGAGATACAGGGTGTTGAAGTTGTCAAAAAATTGATTATTTGTTTGTATCTCCGGAATCTATTAACCGATCTCAATAAAATTTGGTACATATAATGTATGATAGTAGGCCTTATATTTCCTGAAATATGAGCTTTAAAGGTTCAACCAGTGGTGTACAACTGGACAGGGGTCACCCCCTTTTTTACAAAAAACCTACGCCACTGCATTTTTTACATGTCATTGTAACTGATTTATATTTTTATGCACAAAATACGTAAAAAAGTGACTTTAATTTTTTCCCTAAAATTCGCTGTTCTCAAGTTATTCATACCAATACAATCCCATTGTGGCAGACACTTCTAACGATAAAATTACAAAAATATTTGTTTATGTTTAAAAGTAAGTGCAATTTGTAAGCACATCAACAAAATTATTTACACACCTTTCTACACCACCTGTGAGGTAGTGTGCAATAGAGTGTGCGATATAAACAAAAAATCATTTTTTTTAAACCTCAACACACTGTATCTCTAAAACGGGGCCGTTCCAGACCTATGTTTATATGGCAAACACATATTATTTTAAAGAGATCTATCTACCCTCGAAGTTTCCTGCATAAAATTCGGACCACCCTGTATATTCAGTTCTATTTAAATATAAATAAACATGTTTATCACTATTAAAAACAATAATTAGTTTTATAAATAGATATCTAAAATTAAGAAGTCCTTGTTCTTATTCTTAAAGTTAGGTATTCTACTGAAAATCTATGCAGGTAGTCATTGTCGTAAAATTAATATATTTTACCAATGTTTGTTGCAAAAATCGAAATTAAATTGATCATTGCAAATTCAGATCTCTTTCATTGCAGGTGCCCCATATTTTTCTTCTATAAGTTCCTTAAAAGTAGGAGCCGACTTGGTATATGTTTTCTGCGCTAAGGAAGCGGGATTAGTTATTAAATCCTACAGTCCTGAGCTGATAGTTCTTCCAATTCTGGACCAACCGAATGCTGTAGAACAGATTGAACCGTGGTTAGAGAGGCTACATGTCGTCCTCATAGGACCCGGCTTGGGGCGACTTCCTTCCACTTTTTCTGTCATCGAGAGTATTATTAACATATGCAGGAATAAAAAGAAGCCACTTGTGAGTAATTTTAAAAGCTTTAATTTACGCGTATGACATCTATATCCATATCTGAAATAAACGAGAAATGTGCTTTCCAGGTAATCGACGCCGATGGTCTAATTTTCATATCCGAAAAACCAGACATTATCAAAAACTATCCCGCACCGGTAGTACTAACGCCAAATGTTATGGAATTTGGTAGACTGGTGGGCCAAAACACCGGCGATGGTACTAAATTAGAACGTTCCTCGACATTTCTAAACAATCTCGGTTGTCAAGTCACTATCTTATGTAAGGATCATGAAGACGAGATAATAAGTGGCGGTAAAAGCGTCAAAGTGTCAGGAGGAGGTTCGGGAAGAAGGTGTGGTGGCCAGGGCGACTTGCTGGGGGGTTCTTTGTCCACCTTCTTAACGTGGGCTTTGGAGAAGCAATTTGAGCCAGCTGTGGCTTGTTTCGCTGCCTGCAGGTTGGTCAGGGATTGCAACGCCAGGGCTTTCGCGAAGTTTGGAAGAAGCATGACCGCGACGGATATGATACATGAGATCCACGACGTGTTTCATGACAACTTCGAATTGAAATAAGCGGGTGGAATGTATAGGGCGGCTCGATTGTTGTCGGTTTTGGAATCTTAACCAGGATTTTGTGTGGAACTGATTATTAAATACTTTGCAATGCATTTCTGAAAATATGTTGTGGGAAGTTATGGTACAAAACATTTTGTTATTTATCAATAAATTTTTTGTACAGCGTGGTGGCAATAGAATTCTTAATAATTTGTATATGCATACATAAAACTTGAAGAATATTTTTTATCCAGATCAATTTTATCAAAGATGAAATGGTTTATTGAAAAAATAACTTTTGTAAACTAAAAAAAAATAAATATATTTTAAGAAATAAAACAATGTTTCAATGTGTTTTTAATAAACTTGTTGACAATATTTCTTTTAGGTTTTGTTTTTATTTACTTTAGTTTCCATTTCTTCAGTACATTTACATTTTTACTATTTTTGATATTTTATAGTTCGGGAGCTAGCGTCAAATTTTCATGGGTCATTTCAGCGAAGTTCACTTTTTTACCTCAGATTGTTGTTTCATAGTTTATCGAAGAATCATGTGTCAGCTGGTCCAAAAGCGCGGCTTAAGATGATGAGAGATTGCGAAACTCGTAAAAAAATAGTTTTTTGAGTTATTTCAGCAAAGTTGAAAAACTGTAGCTAGTTTACTTGATATTTACATAATGAAAAAAAAATTTGTTAGCTGCATGGAGCAGATGGAGCCCGTGTGAAAATGTATGGAAAAATACGAAAAATCAAGAGATTTCAGCAAAGCTGAAAACAATTTATACGGGGTGTTTTTAAATGAAGTAGCAAAAATGGTGAATGTAGAGCCAAAATTTAGAGGATTGAAGTAAAAATACCTTATATGAAAGTAGCACCCCTGAGGCGATATACCTACCCCCTTAAAGGAGGGGATTGAAATTCACATTTTAAATTTTTTTCTTTAACATATGGAATGCTAGAGACACGAAACATGGTATAAGCATAAAGAGACAACTTTTCAATATTTTTTCGATCATTGGCGTGTTTTATAAAGGAGTGAAACAGTCAACCCCATTGCAATGTTTTATTAGAAATTATTTATCAAATATTTTTCATTAATTAATAGCAAATTATTAATGTTATTATTAAATTACTAGCTTATTGACAGTAAGGGTCAATTTATTAATATGATAAATAACAATTTATTTGTTATGACAACCGTCTACTTTATTTTTACAAATTTTCGCAATTACTCCTTTAGTGAACGATGACACAACTAATTTTTTTACTAGAAAACTATCGGTTTTATCGAAAAATTGCAAGAGGTAAAAAAGTTGCGCAATAAATCAGCCTTCTCAATAAATATTTTTAAATAAATAATTTGCTTCATATAAAAAATTTCTAATAAAATATTGCAATGGGGTTAACTGTTTCACTCCTTTATATAAATATTTATAATAGAACAAATATTGAAAAGTCTTTTTATTGCTCATACCAAGTTTCGTGTCTCTAGCATTTTTATTTAGTTTATTTTTACTTCAATCCTCTTATTTTTGGCTCTACATTCACTGGTACCATTTTTGCTACTTCATTTAAAAACACCCTGTATAATTATTTTACGATTGGAAAATAATATAAATTAGTTGGTACTAAAATGAGAAAACCTGTTAGCTGGGCTGTCAAGGTGTATCCTAGCGTAGAGGCGCGAACAGTCGTGCATTTTTAATGATCCAGCTAATTTTTTTACCTTGTCTTGTGACTCCTTTGTTAATTTTAGGATAAACAAATGAATTACTTAATTTCATACTTGCTAATATCACTGAAGAAATCACTGTTATTTAAAGAGAATACTGAAGTAAAATGATATCATGTATTGTATATTATATTACTATAAATAAATGAAAATAGTATATTAAAATAATTTGTTTGTATATTTATCGAATATTAATTTTATATCGAACAGTAAGAAAAATATGTTTTCCTAGAATAAAATAAGTAAATAAACAATCGATATGTAACTTACGCATATTTTTGTAATAAAATAATTTAAAAAAAGCTAAACATAAAAGGTCTGTTCCAACATGAGTCAGGAATTGGTTCCAAACCGTTCGAAATGTGCATCCAAATAATTCTTGCGATATATTCAGTGAAGACACATTTAGAACTTAGCTGGCCAAACATTTCGAACGGTTCGGAACCAATCCCTGACTCTTGTTGGAACAGACCTTATATCAATAAGTTTTTAAATTATTCATATTCATTATCAAAATCATTACCACTATCGAATTCGTCGTCTTCTTCTTCTTTTTCTGAACTGGTGTCGGAAACACCTACGTATAGTATTTACATGTCTCTTAGCTCCTTGCGTGTCATCGTCTTCATTGTCATCTTCCACAATATCTGTAAAAGAACAAGAAAATTATAAAAATTAATGAAACAAAATTTATTAAAAAGATAACAAGTGTATTATCGCATACATTCGTTATGCTGTTTATTTTCGGTAACTGTTCGCTTTCAACCCATTTGAAAATATATCTACATATTATTATCTCGTTTCTTCCATACAAAATCAGTTGGCGATGACAAAGTTGTAGTTGAGATATAGCCATGATTGCACAAACCATATAAGCGGCAAAAGAATTCCTCCAGAACAGCGAAATTGTCTTCTTCCACATTTTGAGATTCTAAGCTTGAAATGTTAATCAATGCTTGTATTACATTTTGGAGAGTTGCTGTAAGAGAGAGGGTTCAGGTAGAAAATGTGCGTAGGATTTTTAGTCTTTTCTAACTACGACAATATCGTATATGTACTATACTATTACAAGACATAGTCTCTGCTTTTCGAAATAATACTCTGACAATCGAAAAATGTAAAAATTATAAAATACTCCATTTTCATTTATTTGTAATATTATCATACAATACTTGATACCATTTCACATCCGTATTCTCTGGACGAGGTGTCCAGGAAATGGTGGCATCTCGGTATTTGTAGACCTTTCAGAAATAATGTCACAAATATATATATTTTTTATATTCGGACTCACCCTGTAGAATTATGTATTAGTTCTTGAAGTTTACAGTTGAAAATTGATTTTACAATATGACTGTTGCTTTTCATTCGATTTGGGTAATTTTTGTATGAGAGTTACGCCATTTGAAGCTGTTTCTACTAATGTATTCAATTTACTGATAATTACTTTGGAGGTCTGGGGGTCAGAGCTCTCTCGGTAGTTCTCAAAAAAATAGATCTGTTTAATTTTTTATTGCCGTTGTATTAAGACTGTCGTATTTTTTTTAATGAATGAATCTTATTCGAGAATACGCGATTAGCTAAAATATTTGAACACAAAAATTAGTAATATTTTGGGACAAAATGCTATCCTACGATTCCAGTGATATAAAGTTTGAACGATCTATTTTTAATAGCAGGGGAGATGGCCAAAAAAGTGTGTCATAAAACTAATGTATACAGGGTGTCTAAGTACTTGATACAAAAAAGTCGAGTACAAATAGATGAGATCAAAATAATATCAGTCCTCAAAAGTGAAAATAAAAAAGTTATTTTTGTTTACAGTCTCTAAACTATTAACTTCAGCATGGTGCAAATTTGGTGATCGATAACACATGCGTACAAATTTTTTTTTATGTTGTAAGTGAAACTTCATTATGCTCAGAACGCCAGGGACGGACTCTGCCCAATGGTTAACAACCCAGAATTTTTGCATAGATAACGATCGCAATCTGCCTGCATCAAAAATAAGTTCCCTGAAGAATTTGTCAACGATAATATCCTCTTGGTTCAACTCGGTAAAATTAACAGTTTAGGAAATATTTGTGATTTTATATCACAGTGCATGCATAGACCTATTAAATGATTACCCATTATTAATGTATGGGCAAGAATAATGGGTAATAATTTAATAGGTTCATACGTCTATGGACCTATTCAAAAAATAAATATCAACTCGAGAATTCAGATATTCATTTATATTCAGACTAATTTACTACGCACGCCCTGTATGGGTACATTAATATCATCATGCGGGAACTTCAAATTTGATTGATGATATTTACAATAATTATTAGTTAAAGATGAATCCATTTATGACACATGTGACTTCCTGCAAAATTACTTCTAAAGATATTTTATAAAAACTACTGTTTTCTCAATTCAATCAATACCCAATCATTAAAATATACTCAGACGAGTATCGGCGGCTTAATGAATTATTTTCGTGACCCAGAACGGAACAAACAATGCAACTTTTAGTTGCTTACTTTTTGCCTCCCCATCCCAATGTTATTGCCGAAACATCCTCGGAACAATGTGAACAATGAGGAGCATTACAAAGCGATTTTTCACGGAACGTGCACCGGAAACAATTAAAATTAATTGCACAGCCGTTAATTAACCTGTTGATGGCTTGTTTGGAGAATTAAGCCCTTGTATCTTCTTTAATCATTACGTAAGCACGGTACAACCGGAGTGATTTTTTTACCCTTTTAGACTTATTTTTGTGGGGATATATGAAAAGTGTTGTGTATTAAACGGAAATTTGAGAGAACGTGGCAATGTTGCAACGCGTGCGAGCGAATTGGATACGTCACGCTGAAATTTGTGTGCAAGCAAATGGTGGGTACATCGAACAACTTCTTTGAAAATCAGCAGTTCTCAAAAGGTGGCTCCTTGCAATGTTGAGGTAAGTCAGATTTTAAAATTACGATTTACTCGACACAAATCCGTGTATTTACCTCATTTTGACATAACGCACATATGGCAAAAATATTTGACATAAGTTCATTAACACCCTGTCTGAACATTCGCTGCTATTTGAATGGCGTTTTCTTTCTTAGCATTAAACAAAGAACGAACTGAATATTGAGTTATGCTTTTGCCAAGGCCAAGGAAAGAATTGAAATAAGATATTTTCCATTTGGAAATACAGGCAGAAATAAGGAAGACGTCGGAATGAGCCTGTTATAACCAGGAGTGGCATTAGTATGAGTAGTGGAGCGTCTTGTTAGGCCCCGCGTCGCCTGAAAGATCACGTTTAATATTGCATAACGCATCGATCTCAGAGCTATGTGCAAGATGGTGCCAGACCCGTTCCGACCGTGATTTGTTGGACACTGACACCGATTGCCGAATACATTTCGGATTCGTGCTAGCTGGTATCTCATCGAGATATTGTCGGAATAAATTAAAACGCATAATAACATAATGCCACCTGATTTTGAGATCACTTTTTGGGATCACTTTTTGAGAAGATTACTAAACGTGAAAAAGCATCTTATGTGTCTGAACGACGTAA